CGGAAGCTATGCATTGGGTGCGGGAGTCACGGACCATTGGCCGCGCAAAGGGACCCCTCGGAGTTTTATATTAACTCAGGTTTTCCTGTTAGTATCTCCGGACTCCTGCATTTGTCCGGAAAAGTTGCAGGCAAGATTAGAACTTAAATCTCTAGTCTTGGTCATGTTGTCAGTTGGCTGGCTTTGAGTATCAGATCAAATCTGGCTCATCGTCGTCAAAAGGTGACATGTTCGAATCCTCGTTAACTCAGTGATACTTTGTTTTTTTTTTTGAGTAGCAAAATATGTATATTAAAGCGATCTATAGCAATAATCTACACCAAAAAGCAGCACCTCTACATTCATAGACCCCAAATAGGATTCTCCAAACGACGACGACCGACAAGTTGTCGCGCAATACCCTTCATGATACAGAATCCAACACGGCGGAAGACAAAGACAAATTTCGTGATCTATGAGCATTTGGTGGTCTATTTACTGGTACTTTAAAAATATGCTAAGTTTGTCGAATATACAGATCTGTAGTTTCCATGATGTCTGCACATAAATGTGAAGAACTTGCCATAGCTAGTCCAAAGAATAGCGATCCGATATAAGGAGTATACCTCATTAAAAGGTAGAAGGGCAATGTGAAGCTTGCAATCACAAACGTATGTTTATGAAACCATTGCCTCCTCTATGAGTAAAAGTGGTATAAGCACCCTCAAGAGTCTTTATGCAAATCATTCGGCTATGTTTAGATATGAACAAGAAATCACAGGCAATTACCTGTTTGTCATCCATCTTTGACCTACAGAGATACGGATCCAGTATCTCTCTAGAAAGAGCTCCCATCCTCAACACCGTAGTGACGACATCCTTGGCTCGTATTCTAGTACCCAACGACAGCGCAGCAGTTCCTACAGCACCATACAATCCGAAAGTGGTATACGTAAGATATGCAAATGTGAGATATGACAAGTACTGCCCTAGAATCTGGAATATCACTGTCTGTAAGATCAGTAGCAACCCTAACTTTATCGATCTTTTCAAGAAGAGCCTAAAGCGTTTCCACGTCGAGGGCCTTCCTTGCAGTGTGGCCATTCGAGCAATAACTGGAGGAGCAGAGGTGAAGAAGAGGTCGTCCATAGGAAGTGGGTATATATCTGTTTGAGGGATATGACAGAGTGATGAGCAGACAGCCAATTGAGACAGTGGTGTCCCAGGATACCAATAGGTGTCATTCGTTGAAACACGTCAGGGTTACTCACATCGAAAAAAGTAGACAAACAGCTCGGGTATAGCTTTCACGGCATTAACAGAAGTTTGCTCTAGATGATTGGCTACGATGGTTTTGTCCAAAGATGGTACGACGAATGCGGTGATCCTGTACACGAACCGTATTGGCAGGAAAATCATGTTTAATGTCACGTATGTAGCAAGCGTGCTTGTTGCCACAGATAAGAAGGCTCTAAGTAAAGTAGCTCTTAGAGCTTTGGTGTGGGCGACATTTAGGGTGCCTGTAACTATTATTGGGGTTGGCTGTCAGTATACTCTCAGTTGCTTCAATGCTACAAAACTGCGTACATGCAAGATCCAGTCCGTGAAAGATGGCCGTAAATATATCAAATTCCATGATTTACTGGAGTGTAAGAAGCGCGAGGTTAACTTGGCTACACGGTGCTTTCTCGAACGTCTAAAGTAAGGAGCGACCGTTTTTGTGTGTTTTTGTGAGAAGTTGGCAAAACAGGCTGTTTCTCCTATCGTTCGCTGACACGGTTTACTACTGAAACATGGCGACATTGTCTCCGGTAGCGGCATCGCCGGCTGCGGTCAGCATCGCTCCATCTCCAATTGCTAGTGTCCAAGCTTCGCCAATCCCAACTTCACCTACTGTTATTACTGCATCTCCCTCTATTGCAATTGCTGCCACTACTCTTGCTGGAACTCTGACTGGCACTATTACTGCTACGGCTTCTGCTTCTCCTGGTATTGCATCGCTTGAAATCTTGTCGGTGGTTGGCCTGAGTCCTCACACATTTACTCACATCACATCCTAGTCCCATCATCAGGACCTAATGTTGGAGGTGCGAATTGTTGATTATTATATCTCGTCGGAAAACTCGAACGCTGCTTTGTTCGCTTGTGGTTAACTCAAAATCACTTTTCTTGCAGCCATTGTTGGCGGAACTGCTGCAGTGCTCATAGTCCTCATACTTGCTGTTGTCGGCTATCTCTTTTATCGAAGGAGACAGGGCCAAGGATTTGGATTTATTGGGGGTGGTTCGAAAGCTGAATCTGGAGCATTCGATATTGCTGCCCCTGCTGCTGTACCATTGTCCGAGTAAGGCCGTTTGTTTACAATCCTGTAAGCTCTCCCCGAACTGATCTCTCCCATTTTCTTCATCTTTAGCATGAGCAGCGTGGAAGCACGCATTAGTTCGTTGCTGTGAGGATTGTTATTAGCTTTGTACACTCTATTCGTTCTTTTGAATCCTTTCCTGTTTTAGAAACAAGCTGGCAGTCATCTTTGATTCTGTCGTGCCTCAAAACGACATGACTAAACCGCCATCTCACGTAAAGACATGGGGAAGATTTCAGACTCTTCCGTCTGACCTTGTAACAGCGGGTAGTTTCTCTTCTAGAACGGCTCGAGAGTATATAATGTACAAAGCAATCGGGACTTGTCTCGTATCTCAAGCTAGAATATCGGGCTCGGATATCCAACAGGCTGTGCAATCTGTGTTGCCAAGACCATCGGCTCCCAGAATTTCTGCAGAGTAAGTAAAGTACTTTCATATGTTGGCAGCAGGCCGTTAATCTCCCAGTTTTGCTTTTGTAGCTTCGCGAAAGATTTCATGACCATCAAAACGCTGGAGCCACTGTTGGAAGTTAAAATGCCAGCAGATGGGTCCACATTCGATCCGGAATTGCACGACCCAGTGGACATATACGCTACTGGATCAACGATTGTCGCCTTGACACCAACTTTCATCGTCGGTGAAGAAGTCTATGGTAAAGCGAAGGTCCTTAGAGTTTAAAGTGGACGCGCTCATGGACAAATTAATATGGGGTGGTTACTCTTTTACAGACTCATACCAAGTAATATGCCTTTTTCGTTGCTTGAGAGATTTACTACTATATACTCAACTCATCAAGCACATGGTTGACGTGTGTTTGACGGCGTTTGAGATGTTGAATTCGTGAATTTTGAAGATGACTGAGTATTCCAGCACGATACAGGCCTGAACACGCGTCGAATCACGCAAAATTTAAAAATACTGTGAATAATCTAGAGTACTGAATGGTCGAAATGTTCAAATTGTTACACTCGGTCACATTTCAACTCGCTTCAAGATGAACGTGTCGGCCGACATGTCGGCACCGAGAGCAAAGTATGCCTGGGAAGCTGTAGGCAAGTGTATTCCTAGTTCTGTCCTTCTTTTGACCAGTTCAGCTTGTTTCTGAAGCTGAGTTTGTGAAGTGCGATTCACGACAAACTTCACCTGTAAACTGTTGAATAGTGAACCGTCACTATTTATCCAATTATGAATTAGTTGCTACGTTCCTATCTGGTGTTGCCATTTACGTACCCTCTACTCTCTCTCTAGATCAGAAATTCGCAAAAGCTCGATTGGATCAAACAATCAAGTTGAAGGAATCTGGCGAATACGTTTTGCCAGAATCAGCTAAATCACCCAAGCCAGTCCTCATTGAACGAGGAATTGAACCAGCTCCATATATTACATTCAACAATATCGCAGACTTGCTTCAACTCAACAATGTCCAACCACAAACCGATACTCAGCCTCAAATCTCGCTAGCCTCAGTTCCATACGATATATTCGAACAGATATTCACGAAGATACGGGACCCGCAACACCTGGTCGCGTGTTGTAAAAGCACTTATATAGCAGGTCACCTCACATCCTTGAAGCTCGCTTGGATGAAGGCAAATATCGGGCGTGATCAGTATATATTCCGCTCAACAAAATTTGAGTATGTTGGTCAAAACCGTGGCCAGAAGACTCCATTCCCTTTCAAGCTCATGGATGAAGCTGTGACTTGTAGTATATTCGAATATTACACAAATCAGCACGTTGGTGCTATACAGCGTCATCTAGAAGCAAACTCTCCAGCAGGTGGCTGGCAACAGCCGGCAGAGCCACTCAAAGATCGTGACTCTTGGATTTCGCAGAGGATTTTTGAGTGGGGTGTTGTGAATGGATTTGTTGGGTTTGTCAAGTCGGTTTTACGTGGTGCCGACAATGCACCTTGTTGGAGAAAACATGTAAAGTGGTACGTCCTCCATTCACATTTGTAGTGTGCTTGACTTCCTGGTGCAATGCTCCTTCTGCTCTGAATCGAGCTCAACACGAGATTGAAGTGTTTACACCTCTGGTTAACCAATTTTTTTTGCAGGTGGAGATTGGGCTTATGTGTGCTGGACGCAATGTATCGAAACTATCCTGATATTGCTATTGATATGCTGGAAGCAGGAGCTCCTGTGCTTACCCAAGTAGAGTCTCTTTTCTACACCCCTGCTGAAACTCTGGGTCACCTCCACTTTGAAAGATTGGTCCACAAAGCAGTAGACCGCAACTGTAAGAACTGGTGGTTTGAAGTTACATTTCTATTTTGCGACCTTTAAACTCTTGGTTTTCTGTATTCTAGACGAACACCTGGTTCGATTATTGTTTGACGCTGAAAGCAAATTTGTTACTCCAGCCCGATACGTACCATTCCTGAATGATATGGCACTCATCGCTTCCAAGAATCGAAATACGAATCTAGTTAAATTTGCCTTGTCGAAAGAAGAAAGTATCAGGCACTCACTGTACTCTAGAGCCCTGGTAGATGCCATCGAGGACGTAGATGTGGCCAGATTATACGACCTCTTGCAAGTACCTGGAATGAAAGTGAACTTTGGAATCGAGCTGTTTCCTTTATTGACAGCTGTCAAGGTTGGCAACAAGGATATGATTCGTCTTTTGATGGGTAAATTGAAAATCGATACTTTGCATCAAGTCAAAACACTGAGGAATCAATTCTACTGCTAGATCATGGTGCCATGTCTATGCTCCTTTTGGACTTTTTATTGTATCAACCAATTCCCGAGAACCAATGTTTAGAATATGTCAAAACACTTTTCGAGGCGGGCGGGATGTGTGATTTGGAAGGGAAGAAGGATTCCAAATTCCTTGACCATCTGCTTGTGCTGGCCACAGACCAAGATACGCATAGGGCCAGGAGGTTAACATTGTACAGGTTCTTGATCAAAGAAGGTGCTGATCCAGAAAGTGACCAGCTCAAAGAGAATGGATTGACTCTTGGGAAGTGGTATGAGTCTGTCAAGGTTAGTTTCATTCAAGGTCGCAGATGTTGTTTCTTCCACAGCCTCCGTCACTTTCAAGACTCTCGTCACATAAACGATCAATCATATCGTTCTGTAAAACTCACCATACTCTCGATGCCTCTTCCAAAAGGATACGCCAGAAATAGATCCAAAGACTGTCTTTGCCATTGGTGCATCGAACACGTCTCCGTCTGGTTCCTCCGTAGTGAGAAAGGCCTATCCTAGGTCACATGCAAAGGCCAAGAGTAAAGATGTATCACCTGGTGCTTCCTTCAACTTCTCCTTCGCACCATCTCCTCTACAAAATGATAACAATACAACGTCTACGTTTGGAGCAGGAATTCCACCCTTCGTATTTGCGCCCATCTCTCAATCAGTAGCATCTGATGCTCCATATGGACCATTCTCATACACGCCATCTCCCAAACCAACAATTAGTTTCGAGGCTACCGAACAGCCATCGCTCTTGTCAGGATCCGCCAATGCAGCTATCGCTGCGGTATTATCTCAACTAGGCCGTGACTCTATAGATAATAATAGTAATAGCAGTAGTGATACAGAACCCACACCACAACTAAAACGGGAAGCATCTCGATCTCCAATTCCCGCATATAGATCAGTCTCACCATCGCCAGCCCCTGTACCATTATTCTCGTTGGGAACTGCTACCGACTTCAACTTTGGCCAGAAGAAGACTACACTTGATGCCATCACTGTTGAAGATCGAGATGTGGCAGTGCCCAAGTTGCTGTCAAAGTCTCGTCCATCTTCATCTTCTGCTGTGTTTCTAGGCACAGGTCGTTATGGTGCTACGAATGTTGAAGCGTCTCCGTTCAAGATACACGTGAGTTGTCCACTTCTCCTGTTTGATGTGATAGTGGTGTGGTTGTTTCACTGTTGTCGTGATTTTAGAAGGCGGCATGACTTTTTGTTTCCTTGCTCACATTTTGCGTCTCTTTTAGCATGGGCCTGACAAGGATGATTTGTTTGGGGACCGTATAACTCCAGCGGTGCATTGGAGAATGTCGAATCCCGACCCACCAGCAAATACGAATGCCGATTTTGATGGTGATGATAGTGACTAGGAAGTCTTCTTGTTTTCCTTGAGTTATGAAAACTGTAGTTGCTAAAAATCAGAATAGACTAAGCTCCCTCATATTCCGTGGAGTGCTGCTCTTTTTTTCGAGCTTGGGTCTTTGAGCTTGTAACACCACGTTTTCTAACTTTGCTTTTAGCTAGCAAAATCACAAAGTCTCAAACCTTAACCACAAGATCAACATAAAGATGGCATCAACCGAGGGAGCGCTCTCACAATGTGCAGGTATGCTAAGATCTTTGTCTGCAGCAATAGAATTTTAAAGTAAAGTTTGACGATGGGGCCTGTTTTGAGGCAATGACAGTATGTGATGATGGCACTGCTGACTTTTAATTTTGAAACAACAGTAGAGGACGACGTAGTCCTTTTAATTCGATCTCTATGGAATGAGCCCTCTGTCTCATCTGTAAGTTTCCATCCCTTGTGGGTCCTGTCCCACTTCAACAACCCCATTCTGAACGATTCTTCTCAACAGTCAGCACACCGTTATAATTGGAGATGAGTCTTATTTTTGGTCTTCTGAGATTCTTGGTAAATCATCAGAATACTTCGCAGGGCCAACGTTGACGAGGCGAGACTCTGGATTCGCGGAAGCTGTTGTCAAATAAATGAACTTGTCCGCCAATGACGACGAGAACGGCTATAACAATGACATCTGCTTGGCAAGTACTCCGTTTCCGAGAAGTGACACACGCTAGTCTCCGTTTCATTGACTGTTTGCCACCTGCGCCACTTTTTGGCCTGACGCTTTAGCTGGCACTGCGATTTGGCTACTCGTTTGATATTGATTTGGTCGCTATGGATCTTCAGAGCATCATACAATTGGTCGCTGCTGAAAACAGATTCACGATCACTGGTGTGTCTTTGAGAACAGTTAGGACCAGTGGGCCCTCCCTCGTTTTCGCAAGGCAACGGTCAGCAACTTTGACAGTGAATTGCACTTTTCCATCACATACGGGCCGACATGCTACAAGGCCGCCATCGAAGATACTATGGAAGGATTTTGGGTGGATCCTGGCGTCTATAGGAAGGGGTATTATGACTTTGCAGCCCTGCTGAAACGCGCGGGTCAATGCCCAAACAATGGTGGCCAGTTGAAGAATTTGCTACCCTTGTTTCTGGTTCCAGGACTCCATTCGATGTCTTTGGCTTGCTTCTTTAGCGATGCCTCCATCCAAATCAAAGACCTCGTCGACTCCAATGCATGGCGATTGGATTCAACAGCACTTCGGCCGACGCCACCCTTGTCTCAAAGCTATGACAGTATGAGACGACAACGAGAAGGTTGCTGGCCATTGAATACCATCGTGAGAAAATTGGAGACCAAGTCGACGTACTTTCTTGTCGCTACTCAGGCACAGGTTTTTGCGGCTGCAAGTACTGATTTCAAAAAGGCCTCGAAAGCGATGTAGTTAAAGTCTGTATGGATTATTACAACCACAAAATATACGTTGCATCATGTGAGTGACGCGAAAATACCAGGGAAAATCGAGAAACCACGCTCGTCATCTGACAAAATTTACCGGATCTGACCTGCATCTTCTTGGCCCCTTCTGTAGAACAGAAAAACCGAAGCTTTAGACCAAAACCACCGATCGCTTCTATTGACACAGTACATATATGACATCAAAGTCAACTCCAGAAGCAGAGAAGCCCGAAAAGCACTCTCACTCTGTATTTGAAGCTGTCTTGGAAAGGGTTGAAACTGTCTTTGGGCATGGCAATCACAATCAGGTGTGTTGACATGAGGTCGAAGTGCTCAGATATTCTCCGTACATTTGAACATGACATGGCTATCATTCTGAATGCATATTCATTCGGTCACTTCACGCGCTTGACGTGTTTGACCAACTAACATCAACCTCTTCTCAACAAGGTCAACAGAGAAGAGGGAGAAAAGATCCAAATGGACTATCGTGTTGGTCTCACGAGCCAACATTCGATTCAACCAATACCAACAAGTGACGTCGCTCATGAAAGTCAAAAGATATCAGAGCACCAGCCCACGAATCAAAACACATCTGACTTGGAAGAAAGAGCTCAACATGTTAAAAAAGAGCTAAATGAAGCTTTACAATATGTGTTTGGCCACCATGGTGTATAGGTTCGTCACGTCTTGCAGCAAAGCAGTTTTAACATCACGTAGTAGTATTTTAGCAATGTTTTGTGGTTATTTGTGCAATAAGATGAAGCAACAGTGAAAAAAGTTTGAAATATAACACCCAGTCACGTCGAAGTTGCATACAAGTTTCTCGTTTCACTCCTCGTTGCTTTCGATCTTGAACCTCAGTCACGAATCATATTTGCGAAATTAGCTTGCCAAGACCTTAGCTCACAGTCGGTTCTGCATTGAATTCAGATACATTCTAGTCGTCGGTCGTCTGGCTTTCTATCCTACTCGAAACTTATAGACGCCTCTTTGTTCAAGATGGAAAGTGAGTTGAAGAGGAGTTTCGATACGTACTCAATATCGACATGTCTGTGATCAATTGCGTATGGCCCCTTACGTCGTCATTATCGAGAATCCGTTCTTTGACTATCGACATCAAACCCTGACTGACCGTTCAATTATATCTGTTAGAACACCTCTTCAATCTCAAGGTTTGGCCTGGATCTTGTCTTTTATTCTCCTTTGAGCTCCGTATTTCGTACATATACGCTAACATTCGACGCTCCTCTTCCAGTTTACTGCCAAACAACTACAACGCAACGCGAAAAAGTGCCAAAAGGATGAAGTCTTGGAACGAGCCAAAGTAAAGAAGGCTCTTCAACAGCAGAATACCGAAGGTGCCAAAATATATGCTGCAAATGCTATAAGGAAGAAGAATGAAGCATTGAACTTTTTGCGGCTATCTTCGAGAATTGATGCTGTGGCGTCTCGTGTACAGACTGCTGTGACTATGAGGGCTGTTACTCAGAGTATGGCTGGTGTAGTCAAGGGTATGGACAAGGCTATGGAGGCTATGAATCTTGAACAGGTACGTGTCGCTTGATTCCTTTGATAAAAGTATGGAATGGTGCTTTCGCACAATCGTCACGCTCTTGGTTGTTGGCAAAAGGGGTTGATATGCTCTTAGTTTACACTCTCATGCACCTCATATCCATACCTGTAATGCGCCCTCTTAAATATGCGAAACTAATATTCAATTGTCCAAACAGATTTCTCAAGTGATGGACAAATTTGAAAAGCAATTTGAAGATCTGGATGTACAAACAGGATATATGGAAAACTCCATGGGTCAAACCACTGCACAAACAACACCACAAGATCAAATCGAAGACCTCATTCAACAAGTTGCAGACGAAAATGGTCTTGAATTACAAATGGCCATGCCCGGTGCCGCAACGAAAACACTGGGTACAGCTACAGTCGAAAAGGAGCATGATGAATTAAGTGAACGACTTGCAAAGTTGAGGAATGGTTGATTTCAAAATATGTAGTCTCTCCTTTTTATGTATACATAGAACTTTCTTGCGAACAAAGTACGTGTATTTGATTACTAGGACGCGTATATCAAATCCCAATTGTTGCCATTTGTTCCTTTCTATGTCTATGATCAATTAGTTCGGTTGAAGAATCCATTGTTTTGAGAAGCGCAGTGTCTCCAAGTATCATTTCGGGACAGCCGGGTAACGAATTATATGGTGATTTATTATCAGGATTGTGTCCTAATCCCTACGCTTACAACTAGGTTGACCGTGTTTTGTCCTATTGCTTGAATTGTCTGAAAACGTGAACTACCAAGAAAACGATATTGGGTGTTTAGAAACAAGAAAAAGTACAGTGCGTACTCGCATTGATCATCATAAAGTAGAATGCCAGCTCGTTTGTGCCGTTTCTTTCAGCAGACCATCGCAAACTCAAAACATTTCCTTTTTGCAGGCCCTTTGTCGCTCATCTGAACGCATCCACGGAATAAAGAGCCTCTAATAGATCAGACATTATCGTAGACACACATTCGCATCCATAGTCACCTCTAAACCTCACTGGATCAATCGACAAACCTCAATAAATTAGAACACTTTCACAGAATCAATGCCAAACTAGCTACCCATATTAATCCCTGTACATAATGGCAGATATGAATGGACGAGCTCCTTCTTATGAGGTTGGACTGATGCACCAGCAATGGGTTCGAATGAAAGATAGATCTAACTTCGAATTGTTTTGTTTTAGAACCTACGCAACACGGGTGTTGAGACGAGGCTATCGAAGATCAGGCAAGACAACCCTTTTGAAAAGTCGTATCATCACTTTACACTCACAGTTTTGCATCGCTAGTCATCTCATTGCTCAGAGAAACACCAAAGTGAAGGAACTCTATATGTTGGAGACTATGGTAGAGCGACCTGAAGACACGAATTTGGATACTCTCTTGTCTGCCAACTTATATGATCAAGATCCACAATATGCCAATTACAGGCGGCAGCATGGTATACAACTGTAAGCACAAAGGGACATGTTGAATTTCAATAGCTATTTTTTCTCCCCATCTGTCCCGAAATTGCTCACGAATAAATTTCTCGCAGGGCATCAAATGACCTTCCAAATGAAGTGACGAAAGTAGCTCAGGGCACTATGCTAATACCTCCTCAGTCACCTCCTCGACCACCGATAGCTCCTCCACCATCGACTAGTAGTAAAGCGGCAGTAGACGCGATGCAGAGTCAACCTCCTCCTACAGCGCCTCAGCCTGCACCTGCGACTGCGCAGCTGCCAGCGCTGGTCGTGCCGCCGTATACTGGAAACAAACTAGTGGATGACTTGATGAAAGACTCACCAGCCCCTGCCACGCCGAATGGAGACATGATGGACGTTGATGGTTCCGATAGTCGAGGACGTGGTACTAGTGGAACACCAGGACCGTCTTATGCATCGGCTGAGGATCGACTAAAGAGGAGGAGCATGTCTCTAAAGGATCGGACAGTGCTGAAAAGTATGACAAAAGCAAACGATGCTGGAGATACACCGGCCAATGGTGTTTCCACAAAGCCTAAATTACAGAAATCACGTAGTCCTAATAGTAAACAGCGTCCATCAAGTCCCACCAAATCATCTGTGCCCGAAGAAATTCGTGGTTATCAGTTGGCTGGATGGCGATCCCTTGTATATAAAAAACCAGTATCGAGTTTCCTACAAACAGCACCAAAGGTGTTGTCAACCAAAGATTGGCAGGTTGCCAGAGAAGAACAAAAACATTTTAAACTGCTGAGTCGAATAGAGGTTTTGGAAAAGGAAGGAACATGGGCCTTCAAGCAACGAGTACCTCATCAACCACCGCCACGGCATAAGTCACATCATGATTTACTGTTGGATGAAATGAAATGGTTGGGTCAGGATTTTCGCGAGGAAAGAAAATGGAAGATTGCTATGTGCTTTAAACTGGCTAGATGGGTTCTGGAATGGCATGCAGCAGAAGACAAGTCTACCGTATGCGTGGATAGAGTAAGCCTACGTTTGACTCCGTTACTGCGACGCAAGTCGTATCGTTTGAGTCCTCACTAATGTTTTGGTCGTAGCGTCAACATGAACGTTCGGCTGCTGAGATGATGGATTTAGACTTCCTTGCTCCACAAGATTCTCTGCCACGTAGATCATTGTCATTACCAAAGGATACTGACAACGCTATGGAGACATCTGAAGACGATGCTATGGCAACTGTGAAAACAGAGTCTGATAGTACAAAGGCACCAGAAATTGATGTACCTGAAGCCTCTACAGAAGAAGAAAGGGCTTGGAAGGGTAGAGATACAGAGCCTCGTGTTGGTGTTGATCCGTCATCGATAATGCCTCCAGCTTTAAGTATACTGACCTCAAGGTCACGTAAAACCGAAAGCCCTGCGTTGGTAGTAGATCCCGAGTCTTTGGTGTATATCGTCACGTCGTCATTTCATCTGTCATCACCACCTGAAGTGCCGAGTATGCCAGTCTTCCCAAAACCACCGCCAGTAGTCATAAAACAGGAAGTCCCACCGCCAGCAGCAGAATCAACTACTTTAGATCAGCCTTCTGTCGCCCCAACTTCGATAACACCATCTAGTCAACCATCTGTTGTAACACAACCGCCTCCTGTTGTAGCAAGTACTGCACCAGTTCTACCAATAGTGCCGCTACCACCAACAATAAATATAACTCAAGCTACACCACCACTTGCATTATCACAATCTCCAGCATTACAACCACTTGCACCCTCAGCAACGCCACCACAACAACCACAGGCTCCAGTGATAGCACCGTTGCCAATACCGAAAATAATGCTTCCAGCACCTGATACGCCATATCAACCATTTGACACGGCCGACTTGTATTATGATCCCATGCCATATCATCGCATCATTCCCGTCTCTAACCTAATGAGCACTAAATTTATAGTCAAGGACAATCACCGCTATGATAAGTATGGTCGCCTGCAGCCAGAAGATGTGTTGGACATTGACGAGGAAGTGGCAACGGCACTCCCTTCAAATGAAAGGTATAATGCAGCCTTATTTACGTCGCCACTGTTTATTGGACGACGAATCAAGGACGATAAAGGGTTTGAACCACAGCCCTCAGCCCATCAGAATGATCCTAGTCGAGTAGTAGTTCCTTGGACGACAGAAGAGGAAGATATGCTATTGACACTAGTAGCACAGTATCCATCGAATTGGGATTTGGTTGCTGATACATTAGCATCATGTCGTCTTGGTCCACCTCAAGCTATTAGAACAGCACACGACTGTTTTATACGCTGGGGTCGTGCCATCAAAGAACAGAAAGCTAATGCGGCTGTAGCTGCCAACGAAGCCGCTGCTGCATCTGATGCCAGTACACCCATCATGTCGCCATCTACACCATTTCCAATGGCTAATGGTGGTGCATCTACTCATGTAAATAAAAAGCAGAAGCTGGAATCTCAGCACTCTAAGTCATTGAGGAGAGACGAGCAGAAACGAATCAAGAGGCATAGTGCGGTATTCGACTTGATACGGCAATACGCAGAACAACGAGAAGCCAATAAACCTCCACCTGCTCGTCCACCAAAGCAAATCAATATGACTGCTCATGATACACATCAGCAGTCACAGTTGCAAGCAGGAGTGAATCTGGATAGTTCTCCGCTGACTCCTGTACAATTGGGTATGTTGAAGGAGAGGAGGGATAAAGAGATTCGTAGCAGTCATGAACAAATGAGAATGATGGGTAGGCCGCCAGGAATGGGTGCTCCAATGGGTTATGGTCCAGCATATCCGAATTACAGAATTGCTAGACCAGCAGTGCCACTAGGTAATGGTCAAATTCCACTCCGACCGCCAGGTCAACCGATGCAACAGGGAATGCCTCAACAAGGAGGTACAGTGACAGCTACTCCATTACCGACAAATGTTACACCGGTTTTACAACAATCTGGTATTTTAGGTCTAGTTGGTGGTATGCCTCGACCTCAGCTGAGTCAAGCAGACTTGGGTCGTCTCTTGATGGCTCAACAACAGCGACAACAGGCAGTGCAGCAGGCACAGCAACAACAGCAGCTACGACCACCTTTCCAACAGCAATTGACTCCTCAGCAAATGCAGCAAATAATCGAACAGCAACAGGCCTTTGCTGCATTGCCAGCAGCACAACGTCAGCTCTTGATCAATAGACAACAAGCTGCTGCAGCAGCAGGCGGAGTAGGAGTTGGAAATGGAGTCGTAAGGCCACAAGGACAAGCGCCACCCAATCCAGAATATTTACAGGCTCTTGGACGTGGAGCTGTTGGCACCGTTGGCCCAGGAGGTTTACCGTCTCTACAGTTTACACCCGAGTTGTTGCAACAGTTGAATCTCCAACGAGCACAAGTCCAACAACATCAACAACAGCAACAAGTCGGTACACCATCATCTACGAACGCACCACAGACACCAGGACCAATGTCACCAAATGGAAATGTAGCAGCATCACCTCGAATGGGAACGGCAGGTGCTTCTACACCAGCAGCAGCATCAAGTCCAGTTATAGAAATGATGGAGGATGTGATACCTGGTGGAGCAACCAATGATAATAGTGTAGAGAATAGTAATCAGATTGTTGATGAGTCCGAGACGTCGCCTCCTCATCGAGAAACGAGGGCAACTAGGGCAGCTGCTGCAGGTACTACTCCTGGACGTAGCAGTAGGAAACGGAAGGTAAAAAAGCTGCATATTTGTTTAATTTATGGCCGTTGCTTCTACTGACTTTGTGGTATTTGTATATTATAGTAAGGACTTGCACTTTTATAGTCAACAGAAACAAAACGTTGTATTTTGTCGTTGTAACATTCCGTGGTCAGTAAAATATATTACAACATTGGTCGCTTTTTCTCCGTAACATGACAGGGTAGTGTTGGTAAGCCAAGATGGACACGAATCAATACGGTATTCTTGCGTTTTCGATTCTTGTTTTTTTGCTACGCAAACACCACGCACCTTTACTGTTTCTATCCATTATTTCAGCTGTGTGCCACGACACGGGCTTCATGTTCTCATCGTCCTCGGCTCATAAGGCTACCCTTGTTGCCATCCTATCCAACAAAACAGAAATTGCGAAAAATCAAATGATCAAAGGTTTGTCTGTCAAGTGAGTATATTTTTACAAGCTACGAAATACAGCTGTTTTGGTCTATCGTGATTTAGCTAGATACAAAAATGAAAGTTGGTGTTAGCAAACAATCTGAAAAGTTGGGTAAAACCGAGTGTTGTGATTTACCTTGGACCTTTGGTGCAGCACCTTTTGACTGCTGTTTTCCAATCTTTGGTGCAGCCTTTCGCGCACCAGCAGCAGTTGCCGAGGCAGCCTGAAAATGCAATGAATTGGTGGGTTTGACCAAAAAAAATACACACACACACTACCGTCGGTGGCGTATCATGAAAGCACGATATTTACCTTTGCCTTTTCAGCCTTCTTCTTGGCTTCAGTTTCTTGCTTTTTGGCCTTGATGGCACGGACAGCTTCCTGTCGAGCAGCAACACGGACTTCAGTCTTTTCGTTTCGTTTAGCTCTGATGGCATCCAAGGAAGCACCGACGACGGCACGTTGAGCCTTGACTATGTATGGATGATTGAGTGAGACATGCATCCTGGGGAGTCTGAATATTTCCGTGTTGGCGATTCTGAATCTTTCCATCAAAACAGTCCAGCTAGATCAGATATATCTTTCATCCAGGCAACCCTCGTTCACAACACCACTAATATGCTGCATGTATCTACTAACCAGTTCGCTTTGTTCTCTTCTTGGCAGCTTCTTCAGTCACACCCTTCTTGTGTAGCTTTCGGAAGACAATAGTCCAATCGAGCTTTGATGGTTTTAAGCGTTGTAAAAAGTAGGATTCACATTTGCCATTGATGAATCGGTATGACTTTTTACAAGAGTAGGTGGTAGAGTAAAGATGGTTAGTTGTGTCTGGTAGTAACGAGTTGAAGCAGCACTGTATGTATACCTTTGAGTCCATACGGATGTACATCTTGCCATGGCCAGGGTAGATTTTGAATCCACTGAAATTGCAGATTTCCGCCCTATTTTATTATGTAGTGTGAGCAAAGGTCCAAATGTTGAGTTTGATGTTGGCACGCAACACGACCGAGAAGAGATACGAGTGGGAGAGGGCCGTCACTGCTATTTTCTGCATTCTACATAATCTAAGCAACCCTCCTCACTCTCTCTCCTCTGCTGCACAAGCTTTACAATTCCAACACTGCCAGTGTCAGGGCAGGACATCGCATCCATCCATCGAAAGCGAATAAGAGAATGAGCGAATAATTACTTCATGATTGATGGAGGGCGTGCAAGTCAATAAGAGAATTCCACTAGCAGAGTCCACTATCTGCTCGTATGTCCACCAATCCACAAAGTGTGTCTAGTTGAAGTCTCTGTGTGTTTTGGCTTGGACACAAGCACCTCCCTCAAATCAAATTGCTGGCTTCAGTTTTCTTTAAACAAGTTGTTGTTGTAAAAGAAGATAGCAACGATGCCTCCAAAACCAGCTGCTGCTCCTGCTCCTACGTACGTTAATCTCTCCTCTATTCCATTCAAAGTCGAATACTTCAAGTTTGCAAAAGAGCTAACATTCTGAAACAAAAAATTTAGAAAAACCGTCGTGCCTGAATCAGTCCTCAAGAAGAGGAAGACAACTGAGCGCATCCTTGCTGAACGAAATGCTGCTACCGTCGCAAAGAAGCAGGTAATTCATGGACTAGACTGGCCAAGCTTATGATGCATCATCAAAGCTCCATCACAAAAAAGAAAACTACATCAGACATATCAAGCATCAAGCATGTCTCATGCAATCCATGACCACAAATTATCGAATGCAAAATATAGCATCAAAACGAGTCGGTGATGACACTGTTAAACCAAACAAGTAACGAAGCAAGAAAATTATGGGTTACTCCCATGTTTTTGAGCAGTGTAGTTATCTAATTATACCATCTTTCGGGACTGAGACTCTTACTTACTCGATAATGGATGATATGGTTGCAAAGAGGATGCTTGATGTCATGATGAACAGATTGCTAGATATCAAAAACAAGCACCCAGTTTAAATCCAGCATCTTAGTAATAATCCCTCCTTGCATCTCCCTCATAGGCCAACAAGACAAAACGTGAGGTCATCTTCAAGCGTGCCGAACAATTCGCAAAGGAATACAGGGATGCTGAAATGACTGAAGTCAGAATGAAGCGTGAAGCTAAACTCGCTGGAAGCTTCTATGTACCTGCTGAACCCAAATTGGCCTTGGTTATTCGACTCAAGGGGTACGGCTTGACAAGACATGTTTGAAGCAAAAAAACAACTTTCAATAGTGCTCGATTTCTAACATTCTACCTCCTAGTATCAACCACATGGCTCCAAAGCCAAAGAAGATCTTACAACTCATGCGTCTCAACCAAATCAACAAGGCTGTATTTGTCAGACTCAACAAGGCTACATTACAGATGATCAACTGGGTCGAACCTTTTGTCGCGTGGGGGTGAGTCTCGTTGACGAGATAAATATCATTTCGTATCATCGTAGCTACTACCATCATCGTGTGATACGTCATGAGTCAACTTCTGGATTATCCTCTCATCTCATGCATCGTTTTTTTTCGCACCACCTAGATACCCAAACCTCAAAACCGTCCGTGAACTCATCTACAAGCGTGGATATGCCAAAATCAACAAACAACGCATCCCAATCCACGACAACTCAGTCATTGAAGAAGCTTTGGGGAAATTCGGAATCATCTGTATGGAAGACTTGATTCACGAAATCGTCACTGTTGGTCCTCACTTTAAACAGGCTTCAAACTTTTTGTGGGCTTTTAAATTGAGCAACCCAAATGGTGGATTCAAGGGTAAAAAATCAGTACATTATGTCCAAGGTGGTGAAGGTGGTGGCCGTGAAGGTGCCATCAACAATCTAGTGCAACGAATGATTTGAAGAGGGTGTGTGTGCTGCTTGTTGATCTACCAATATAAAACAAAAAATTCAATGTAAAGTCGCACAGGTCTTGTAATAGATTTGTTTCCGAAGAATGCATATCCTTCCTCTAATATTTCTGAACATTGTTCCATTTAATAATGAAGTGGCGAATATTTTTCTTTTTGATCCTTGAGTTATTAAAGGGCGTGAACTAAGACGTCGCACAATAGTTCACTTGACAATCCATTTGTCCGTTTCTACCATGGCCGATAATTTATTTTGCTTGAGATCGTGATGATAAATTCATTTACACATTTGTATATCCAGCTGCACAAACTTACAGCCCCGCAAAATTTCACCTCTGCCGTCGCTTATTAGGTTTGCTACTGTTCGTCTCTTTCTTGTTAGCATCACGAAGGTAGCCTCCGTGTTTCTAAAAGGAAGGAAACCGTTATGTGTGAGACACTGTGTGAGACATTTGCACCTCGTCCACAAAGCCGACACAGGAGCATACCCAAATAAAGATATCACAGCGATGTTCGGTAACCTGCCCAAACCGTGTCTTTGGCTGCCCATTTTTAGGACCAACAGGTCGAGCGCAAAGATAAAAGTACCTAACCACAAAAAAAAGTTAGAAAAGTACCTCATAAATCGACACAATGAAATCTTAAAGCTTGCCTTCCATGGTAAACACCAGGCTTATTCGTACGATATTCACGACACGGTTCATCGTGGTGACATCTCGGCACATTAGGTGCAGCAAACAATTTATTCCATGATGCTATCGTTTCTTCAGAGTTGACTTGAACGAGCCATCGTTCATCCAAAAGGTCTGATAGATCTTCATTGTCAGTATCGGATGGAGAGTTGTTAGTTGTATTGAGTACTTCTTCATGTATCTGTTGATCTGCTGAAGGTTGAGGAGCTTCTTGAATTGATTGTGTCGTTGATTGGGATGTAGTTGTTGATTGTGAAGTAGCTAAAGTTAAGGGTGGTGGCTTTACGAAAAAGGATGATAACTTTCCCTGGTTGCCAGGTTTCGTCTTCTTATTTTTATTCTTTGACTGTGGTGGTGACGTTGATTTACGTTTGGTGGTTTGTGATGTAGAGTCTGACAGCATATACGATGATGTAGGGTCTTTTGAAAAGAATCCTAGTACAGACAATTGTTTTCCCTTCAATTCCTGCCAGTTACCAGTACACAGCGCTGGTGGTTCTGGTAATTTACCATCTACTGATCGAATGGGACCTAATACATCTGATAACAACACTCCTGTAGCGGGATGTTTATCAACCATCTCTGCTACGACCGGGCAATGGTCACTGCCCTTTACGTGATCCCATATTTCACAGCCAGAAAACCATGGAAGTAATGCTGGAGTAACAAGAATATAATCGAGTCTTGTACCGAGGTTCACTTCTCTGGAAACGGTGAGTGCATGTGGTTGTCAGAAAGGTGTAATTGACAAACAAAACTCGGAAACATTCTGCATACCGAGCATTGGTTTTCGTATTCCAATGTGTAAACCTGTTTGGCTCATTCTCGTGAAATACTCGATATAAATCAACTAGTACTCCTTGAGGTGACAGAAACCCGTCAATCCATTGACGACCTGGAAGATCTTCAAACTTTTCTATTCCCCAATCTATACAGCTTTGAACTGGATCACCATGGTCGAGAGCAGTGTGGACCAAATTCACCTAAATAGAATTGGTATTAGTTTAATCAAGGAGAAAAATAAATGAACAAGACAGTGACTTACATCCCCAACCAAGATGACCTCGCGACCCTGAGCGATGAATTCCTTGACTCGAGCCTCAATAACGCGAGAGAACTTCATTTTGAAATCATCCAGGCCATCATGGTCAGATCCAGCGGGGAAGTAAATATTCAGGAGTACAAATAGTCGATGGTCTGTGATGTTGACACGTCCTTGAGTGTCTAGGATCTTCAATTCTTGCTCTGGCACGTCCGTGAGATGTATCAATTTATCAATGACTTGACGACTAGTCTCGTTCTTCAAGCATCCCAAGAAACAATCGGCTGCATCCACGGCTCCTGTTTCCTGCCTAGTGTAAGTTGTAGTTCCAGAATATCCAGATTTGGTTTTACAGATCGAAAAGTACTAGTAGAAGCAGATTCGACGTGAAGCGATGAGCGTTTGTTCTCGAGACTTGGTTGAGATTACGGCTTACCGAGTCAAATCCAGGAATAATGGCCAGATCAGAAGAAACTAGATGCCGTGGTATCTTTGCTTCTTGGAAACATATAATGTCTAGAATAGAGACGTAGAATGCGTCAGACATAATGACGTTTGGAGAAAAAAAATAGAGTCACTGCAGTGCTTTTGACACGTTCTTGACTGAGGGCAGGTACGCACCTGATTTTAAATTGTCTATGACTCTAGCAAAGGTGTCGACGTGTAGCTCGTCCTAGAAAACGAAGTTGAAGGCCAAACTTGATCAGAGTGTTTGTGATTTGTATGTGATGTTGGGATGAATTACCAAAAGAGTCTTCATGCCTGGGATGAGAAAGAGTTAGTGGATTGCAGTTATTCACAAGTTTAATGCGAGATCAGCTCCATACCATTAACATTCCACGTCATGATCCTGGGCATGTTTGCTCAAATGTTGCAACATGACAAAACCAAGCAACGACAAAGAAGAAGCCTGAGAATCAAGACTAAAGTTGGTCGAGTAGAAGGCCAGAGTATGCGCCACGAACTGACACTGATCGCTGTTGTCTTTAGCTGAAGAGTGAGGTATGTTGCCTGTTGTAGACACACTGAAAGCTTGAAGATCGAACGCGTTCTGACCTGACGTTTACATAATTGAAGGCGTCTACAATAGTCTACAACACTCAAAACATTGAGTTTCTGGTATTTGATCCGTTCTTTTGATCTGAAACGCGTCGATCTACCACATTGTTGAATGTATAATACCATGCTGAGGAAGATCAAGCCCCAAGAACGGAGAACTAGCTCGATCTTGATGGAGTAAGTTAAGAGTCGAGTTCTTGGCAAGCCTTGTCCATCTGCGTAGTCGTATTTTCCCGGACACGGTTGTCATGGAACTACCGCATCCTTAACCTACTTTAAATTATAGATCACCCAAGATCAGAAGCAACATCATCTCGTATAAATCATGCCAAATCCTCCCATGCATAATCGCAATACTTCAGCTGCTACCTTCATCTGTGATCCCATACACGACATTGACGATCTCCTTGCTTCCGTCAACATCCACCCAACTCCACAATCTCCATCTTCTGCCATTATATCCCCATCAGCATCTCCAACCCAACTATCCTCGGGCCTCAAGTCTCTTCGTGTGGCTGGTCGTGTTCGTGGCGATCTGACTGCCGAAGTCGAACATTGGTCAAAGCAGTCCGGTGGGGGCGATTCACTACTCATACCACCACCTCCTCCACTCTCGCTGCATCCAGATGCTGGAGTGGCCCTTGCTGCTGAACAGCCAACGGTTGCACGCGATGTTGTCGTTTCCGAAGAGACATTACGCAAATGCAGAAACACTGAAATATGTAGGGACATGTATGGATTGTTGTCTTTCGATCGAATCCCCACTCATCATTCAGTCCTTCATAGACTTTCTCGATTACTACTTTGACTTGTTCACCTACCTCCATCAACGAAAGCAACGAACTCGGGATTTCAGAGATCAACTTGCTCAACGACACGTAAGTTGATCATAAAATTATCATGTATGCTATATTCACTCTCGCAAGACTAACAATCCATCTCTCCCCATACGTCCAGCTGAGTGAAGAACAATGTCAGGCTGAATTGAACAGTTTTCAAACTCGAGAAACCTCTACTCTTCGACAACGACGTACTCGGACAAAAGTGTCACACTTCAACGTCATCGCACAAGTCGGTCAAGGAGGCTATGGACAGGTCTTTCTTGCTCGAAAAAAAGAAACTGGAGATATATGTGCTCTGAAAAAAATGTCGAAAAAGTTGTTGCAAAAGATGGGAGAGGTTTGTGCAAGCTGTGTGCGGGATTGCATAATATTTTAATGTTCACTTTGTGTCTGATCCCCGAGTCTCTTGATTTATATAGGTCGAGCACATCAAGACAGAACGAGAAATTTTGACTCAAACAGATACTCCTTGGCTGGTCAAACTCTTGTATGCCTTCCAAGACATCAATTTCGTATATCTCGCCATGGTAAAGATTTCAGAAATTATATCTGTGTTGTCCAAGACCGTATGTACGCATTCTCACAATTCGCTCAAATAGGAATTCGTGCCTGGTGGAGATTTGAGAACTTTACTCAACAACAGTGGTGTCCTCAAGGAAGATTTTGCTCGATTTTACGTTGCTGAAATGTTTGTCGCGGTTGCTGAGCTTCACCGTCTTGGTTTCATTCACAGGTATGTAGGCCTGTCATCATAGGACACAAAATCGCACAATGTGTCTTTTCCGACGCAGAGTAATGTCTACAACCTCATATCAATAATAGGGATCTGAAGCCAGAGAACTTCTTGATTGACGCTGGAGGCCACATCAAACTCACGGACTTTGGTCTCAGTCGAGGAACACTCAGTCCAGAAAGAATGCAGTCATTACGCACAAAGGTGGTTTGAAAGCGGTTTGAAAATAAGTAATTGAAATGCTGCATCGATACTAATATGAGATCTCTGTTAGCTTCAAAGGGTCAAGGATACAAATCTCGTATATCGCTCAGTCAAAGAACGACGTGACATTTTTAAATCAGTTCGCAGAGAAGATATGAGAGTAAGTGGTTGACCCGCGCTGCGACATCGGTTCTCACAAATTCTCATTGATTTGATTGTGTTTAGGCGTTTTCGTTGGTTGGATCACCAGATTATATGGCTCCTGAAGTACTCTCTACCAATAATTCTCGTGGATATACCATGTCGGTTGATTATTGGAGTATTGGTTGTATCTTGTTTGAATGTCTCGCTGGTAGGAATGGGACTCTTCCTCGCTTCCTTTTTCTGCACTCGCTCCAACATGCCACTTCGTTATCGTAGGCTACCCTCCATTCACTGCCCCAACCACTGATGATGTTTGGGTGAATGTGTTCCATTGGAAGAAAGTGTTGGAGAGGCCAGTGTATGCTGGTGTTGATGAAGAGTTCAACTTGTCCAATGAGGCATGGGACTTGATTACACAGTAAGCATAATTTAAACACTATTTACAAAATGGCGTCATTGACTCAGTGCATCTCCTAAATCAACCATATATAGTCTTGTTGCTGCTCCAGAAGACCGATACTCGTCATTGGGGCTCGTTCAATCACACCCCTTCTTCAACTCCCCCAACCCGAAATTCGGCAAGCAAGTTGACTTTTCATTGCTTCGTACAGACAATGGCATGGCACCACCTTTTGTGCCTCAACTGGCATCCGAGACAGATGTTGGCTACTTTGACAATTTCGATTCGGAAACAGACATGGCCTTGTACCGTGAGGTGCGGGAACGAGCCGCCGAATTGGAGCGTGAAGCTGGTGTGGATGCTTCTGAACGTGTCAGGCGTGATACCTTCCTTGGGTTCACGTTTACAAACAAGGATTCCAAGAATATTCATATATAGCACTTACATTTAATTGCACGTTGAAAATTCAGATCAATACAGAGTCTCATTCCGTATTGATTTATGCGTTCTGATTAAGATCTTACGCGTTCGTCCCACAACAGAATTTAATTTCTGACTCTTCTGACTTTTAGCCAAAATACAAATATCCAAACCTCGCGCAACACAGGACGACAGAACAGACAGTCGAGTAATGAGACACGATGCATATGCTGGCGCATCTAGCGATCTCGGCAGAAGAGCCACAAATCAAGACGAACACCTAGAAGCTGAAGACGTCTACGACGGGGAGAAGGCACACATCTTTGGAGTCTTCGATGGTCACGGCGAGTTGATCTACGCAACATTTCGCACCCAAATCACGCCCTAACACCTCACATTTTCCCTAACAATCCAGGCAGCGACGGTGGCAAATGCTCCAAGCTCTGTTCATCGCTGCTCGTGACATTACTCCAACAACGGTACAACCGAGATAACCCCAAACAGTGGCTCACGCACGTCTTTGCTGATTTGCACCAGGCATTATTATCGAATATGACGCTGGACGCTTACATGTCTGGAACTACGGCGTCCGTTGTCGTTGAGACAACGACGAGAGTTGTTGTTGCTGGTGTTGGGGATAGTCGAGTTGTTATAGGGAAGCGGGGACGTGAGGTGGGGACGTGGGTTGGTGAGCAGGTTACGGTTGATCATACGTGTCAGTCGTCGGAGGAGTTGAGTAGGGTGCTGAAGTGTGGTGCGAGGGTTGAGAAGCTGAGGATTGGTGATGAAGAAGGTATGAGGATTTTGGTTGTGGTCTCTCTGAGTTAGGCTGTAGTGGTCAATCTACTTGGTGTATTTGTTGTTTGTTTGATTGAATTTGACACTTACTCTCGAATGATAGCCGGACCCCTAAGGTTATTCAAAAACTCGCTGCCATATCCAGGATTGGTGATAACAAGATCCTTAGGAGACTCGGTTGCTACAAAGATTGGTGTACTATGTGAACCAGATGTCACCGTCCGTGATATAGATCCGAACAACGACGTTTTTATAATATTGGCTAGTGATGGTGTATGGGATGCATTATCAATACAACAGTCAGTGGACATTGTGGGACCGTTTCTCGAAAATGGGAGTGCTCAAGAGGCATCTATTGCATTAACGCAGGCGAGCTTGACCGCTCTTGATGAGGATCAGTTGGATGATAACATAACAAATATAATCGTGTTCTTATGAATGAAACAGCACTGTGTATATAGAGGTATTGCTCAGAAATAATATTTGTATTTGGTAGTCTCGAGCTCAAATAATAGCTACTTCTGTTTATATACAACGACACGAGATATTTTTGCGCAGTGAGATCAAGCAGTGATTCCTTGAGGTTGTCCAACGGCACGTCGTTCTTTCTGGTCTTGAGATAAAGCATAGAGTTTGGATCGTATGATGTCCATCAACACTAGTACGAAAAAAAAAACGTGAATAAGCTTTCCACTTGTTTGGGTTGCAACCCTGCCCATATACCTGTATGTGAGTTACGTCTGTCGTTGATTGTGGCTTGTAATTCATCTAGTCTGGTTTTGATGTATCCAACTTTGCGCTTGTAGAATTCTTGAGCGTCAGGTATGGACTAGGTGTTGGAATAAATTGTCAGCAATCAGAATAAGAGTAACATTAAGAGTAACATTAAGATCAGAATAGTATCCACCTTTTCAACAAAGTAGCCAGTTCCAACATCGACAATGACCTTGTTGTCGTCACCAATCTCTCCTGGTACATATAGCGAACTTGTCAATGGCACCAAGATTGCTTTGCCTGTGAGGGATTGAGGGCAGGGATTGATGAATATTGATAGTAAAGAATATACTATGATCGATGATCGCCTTTTGGTTGCGTACCAGAGTTTCCCTTCACAGGAGCCAAGACCTCAATGCTTTCAGTGAATTTGGCCTGCGCTTGTCGCAGTTGAGCGAATGAGTTGGTCAACATTTGAATTTCCTAATATAAAAGGTCATTTTAAATTAGATGTTAAATCTAATTGTGTGCATTGAATAGAACAAGAATGCTTCTTCCTTCAACTCGTTTAGTTCACCAAACCTGTTCCATTTGTGTCTTTATTGCTTGTAGCTGGTGGACTGGAAGCTGGCCAATGTCGATTTGGCCTCCATTTTCATTGTTATCCTGTCCTTCTGCTTGGGAAGACATTGTCTGTGAGGGCTGGTAAGGTGTGTGGTTTTTCGAAAGTGGAACAGTTTGCTTTTGAACTTTTAAACATTTGCCAAGTTGAAATGTCAATTTCTGACAAGATTTAATGCGCGTACCAAACTGCACTTCTATCCGCAATCTCGCAAATGTTGTTTCCTCACAAAACTTTCACGCTTCTAGGTTGCTGGCACACACACTTTCGACATCTGCCGACCATGGAAGAGGCTCTCGCTATGAACCGATTTATGCTTTATGAAACCAAATCTCGCTACTATGTCGTCGGAACAAGCACTGGTGGCAGCCAGTTCCGTGTCCTCAAGATTGATCGAACTGATGCTAAAGATATCAACATTGTCGCTGATCCAACCACCTATTCAGAGCCCGAAGTCACCGATTTGCTCAACATGATTGCTCAAGGCAATACAAACGACTTTAGACTTGTAACGCCATTCTACGCTCTCATGGGCTTTATTCGATTCCTCGAAGGGCACTATATGATTCTGGTTACAAAGAGAAAGGTCGCTGCTGTGCTAGGTGAGGCACAGTCATGTCCCAGAGTATTCTCGCTGTAATCTAACTGAACTCAAATGCAACAGGCGGACACTGTATTCATCACATTGAGGGCACCATGATCCTTCCAGTGTGGGGACCTTTGACCAAAGTAGATAGAAAACCAGACGAAACACGATATACACAACTACTAGCAACTTTGGATTTGACCAAGGGCTTTTACTTTTCATATACTTACGACTTGTCACAGACTCTTCAACTCAACCTGACGGGTCAAGCAAACAGTACATCGTCAGTGCTCCCAAGCAAGTTTGTCTGGAATACCCATCTTTTGGAATCGGTAGAGCCAAACTCTGAATGGTTTATTCGAGTCATTTATGGATTTGTTGGTCAATTCAGTGAGTATGGGAGTGTGCTTTTTTTGCGGTAGGGCCTTGCCGCAATTAGACTGAAACTGATGCTGTAATGCTACTCCATGTAGAAATATCCGTGTTGGGCAGACCACTGTTTGTCACCTTGATTGCTCGTCGATCCAGTTGAGTAGAAATGCTAAAGAGTAGAAATTGGCAAGACAGCTTATTCATTCAGCGTGACTGACTCATTGTTTAATTGTTTAATGTTTTAGGACAATTTGCTGGGGCACGGTTCTTTCGACGTGGAGTCAATGACAAAGTCCGTGTTTTGTATAATGAATATTTGAACAGTTGTTGAAATTCTGTTACATAGGGCGCCGTCGCAAATGAAGTGGAAACAGAACAGATAGTTCATGATGGCAATACAACATCATTCTTCAGCCCTGCTGGACGATTAGGGCACAAGCCATCCTACACGTCATTTGTACAACATCGCGGGTCCATTCCGCTCTTTTGGTCGCAAGAACCATCAAATGTTGTCGCCAAGCCACCGATAGAATGTAATTATGCCATTCGATTGGAGATTTGGGATATTCCGAGTACTAACCAGTTTATGTCTTGTAGTGACACGAGTGGATCCATACTTTTCTGCCGCTGCTATGCATTTCGATGATCTCTTTTATCGTTATGGACCTCGTGTTATATGCCTTAATCTTGTCAAGGTATATGATACAAACCATTTAAATTATTTTTCAAGCAATCTAATTAAATTAATCAGGCCAAAGAAAAAACTCCCAGAGAATCAAAATTGCTGCACGAGTACACGCGATGTGTACAGTACTTGAATCAGTTCCTACCCGACGACCGCAAAATCAAGTATTATGCTTTCGACATGGCAAGGGCAACCAAGTCTGACGACCAGAATGTGATTGAATATTTGGAGAACTTTGTAAGTGTGTTTCTGGTTGTTACTTAACTAACAATTGAACTGTTCTGTCGCTACCTAACGAACAATTGAACTGTTGTGGATTTGGCTCATTCACATTTTTTTCTCATTCCTAACGTTAATTCGTTTTGATATAGGCCGACAAAGTATTGGCAACCACAGGTTTCTTCCACTCTGGTGCTGAACCATTCGTGAATGCATTACGAGCAGCCAACTCTGGGTCGACTGAAGTCAATCGTATACTGGCGAGACGACAGAATGGTGTGGTCCGAACAAACTGTATTGATTGCTTGGATAGGACGAATGCTGCTCAATTCCTGATCGGCAAATGTGCTCTGGGACATCAGGTATTAGGCGTGACATTTCTAAAGTGTCGATACAACGTCCGATTAAGCGTTTTGGTTGACCTTGAACAATTCGTAGTTGCATGCTCTAGGCCTTCTTTCTTCACCGAAGGTGCCATTCGATACCGATGCTACTATTCTATTCAACCAAGCATACCATGAGGTAATCTTTTTGCTTGTTTTGGGGGGGGGGGGGGGGGGGGGTGTGTATACTGAGTTGAAATTGGTTTTAACCTTCTCGTTTTTCGATAGCATGGAGATGTGCTAGCTATGCAATATGGTGGTAGCCATCTGGTCAATACCATGGAAAATTATCGAAAAATGTCAGACTGGCAATCACAATCAAGGGACATGTACGAAAGTGTTCGACGTTGGGCTTCGAATTCATTTACAGATGCTGAGAAGCAGGTAAAACGATTCTTCTAAACTCACCTCAATATTGTAAAGCTGATCTTGGTATTGATAGGATGCAATTAATTTGTTTCTGGGTACATATGTACGTGGACACGTTGGAACTTCAAAAAAATCGCAGTGAACTGAGTTCTGTATCCGTGTGTTTAGGTCCCTTACGAGAACACAACAGCTCTATGGGATATGAAGACGGACTTCTTCTTGCATAATGAAGATCCTAGATCACGACAACCACTGCGAAGGTATTTGGAGTGTGTTACGTTGGGTTTTTTTGTCTCAGCTCAACCAGCTCAATATGGTTTTTTTAGCTACACTCAATGGTGGACTGCCAATTCATTTACCTTTTTGAATGATTCACCTGAGAGACCCATGAAAGACTCCTATTTTGAAGAATACTATCGACTCCGTGCTCTGACTACATTTGCAGAGTCTTTTGCCTTCACTATGAACTCGACAACCAGGTGAGCAGACTTTTAAAGTTTTCTATCTCTCGATCCTGGCTAATATTTCCTTGGTAAACAGGATTCTGCGAGATGATTCATCTTCTCTCAGCCCTTTTGTAGTTAGGGTGGATCCTTCGCAGCCTACTCGGTATAGAGACACAACTTTCAATGCCTTTTTTTCTTCGTGTCGTTTAACCCGTTGGTGAGTAGGTTCAGTATGGGTGATGTCAAGCGATTTGTCACTCTCAAAAACAAGGAGCAAACTGATGAAGCTCCGAGTATTGGACCAACATCTAGTGGAAAGCAACAGAACGGTTCAGGTCGTGACCAGGATATTGATTGGACTTCGACAAAGTCGGTTGCATTACGAATGCTTTATCCAAAGCTGTCATCAGCCGAATTCAAGAATTACAAAAGGTATAAAGCGAGAGAAAAAACTTGGTCCCGTGTTCAATGATATGGATTCGTATTGAAACGTTTCTAGGTATACGAGTGAGTTCTCTACCGGACCACTTGCTCCACCTGCAGATATCCAACTGGGCAATGCGCTATCACCACCACAAGAAATAGCTACTACCGAAACAGGTCCACTACCCCCAGTTCCGCCACATCCTGAAGCGAGCCTCTTTGCCTCATGGGTAAAATCCACAGGCGTCTCTACAAGTCACTACGACAAGTCTCTTTATAATCAATACTGTACAACTGCGAAGACCTCATACTGGATATCAGCTACGTTTTCTGAGAATCAGAATGCTATGGATAGTTATGGCCATTGGTTGAAGAAGGGCCAATGGAATGCTTCTGCTACTGTATAGATCCGTAGATCGCAGCTTAATTGTAAAATTTGGGCTCATCATAATATATTTCACCACACGCATCTCTACATTTTTGGTATATCTAATTCCTGGTGGTATCTTTTTTTATGACTGCGTAGCACGATAATTTCCAACAACGTTAGCCATCACCAACGTAGGATTCATTTGAGCGGCAGTCGAAGGAGTAACATTGGCAGCGGGTTTGTTGAATGGCAAAGCAGTGTGCAGGAACTCGTAACATGCCAACGTTACTCCGAATTGGGGACTACTTCGTGCAACACGTAAAAGTCCACCCTTGTATAAAGCTTGGAATCCTTCTTCTCTAAAGATTTTGGAAAAGGCGTCTCGAATTCCTGCGTAGGTTTGTTCGCCTTTTCTAGCTTGCACTTGGAGACGGGTCTTGACTACGTCGGCGGGAGTTACGAGGTATGCGGCTGGGATACCGGCCTATGAGGTGAGGGTGTTTTGAGTTTGTGGTGACTGCGGTTTATGTTATTTTCATCACTTACAACAGCACCAGACACTAGCAGCTATGACGCCAAAAAATAAATGTAATTGTGATCATTTGTATGAATTTGACGTAACACCTTCACGAACATACCTCAACGGTATTGAGCTTCTTGCCATTACGTCCTTCTCCAAACACATCAGATTTAATATGGGAGTAAACGGGGAAGTAGATACCAGAGAAGGGAATGTCTCGTAATAAACCTAGATAGTTACAATAGTCAAGGCTTTGGAATTGACGTGACTGCGGTTTAAGAACTTACAAGCTAAAACACCCTTGTACAATCCAGACAATCCCAATGACCGTACGATTTCAATAGGTCCCTGACGTTCTGATGCTTTTATGAATCCTTTAGCGATGGATTCGCCTTGAACTTGTAGACGGATCTTGACGATTTCTGCATTGAGGCTCTGTCGTGAGTTATGGTGCTTCAAAAGAGTCAGATGATGATGTAAACTTGCCTAGAGGGTTGGTGAAGATGACTTGCGACATTCCAGCCATAGAGCCAGCCATGATTTCGCCTTGTAAAGGAATTTGACCAGTCCGTGGGTCTTTCCAGGATCGTCTGACTGCATCATTCATGGCTAATTTGATTGCCTTTTCGGGAGCAACTGAATTTTAAAAAGTGTCAAGCATGTCAGCAAATGGTCATATGCGATTTGAAAGCAGGCCAAAAAAACATCGACGAAATCTTGATAAGTGGCATACCTCCAACTAACTGAGGAGCAAGACCTCTGTAAAATCCCCTTGCACCTTCAACTCTAGCAACCGTCCTAAAGCAATCCCAGTACGATGTATAGAAAACACTCCCAACTTTACCACTTCGCTGATTCTGCATACGAGTCTTGACCAAATCAATGGGATAAACAGCAGAAGCACCCAGTGCACCCGCAACACTTCCAAGTAAAAAGTTGTAACCGTTTTCTAAACCAGCTGCCCCAAGTCCGGTGACATTAATGACATCTTTTTGTGATAAGACGGCAGCTACAGCACCAGTTGATATTGCAACTGTTCCGATAACTGATGGTGAAGTTAACAGACTTCTGGTTGCTGCCTGAGCGACTTTGGATCCAATTTGCTGACGAGGTAGTGCATTAGTGCCAGCATTGATGGTTGTGCTTGATGGTTGTGTAGACATTCTGAGTGGGTAATAAGTGAGAAATACAAATCTCGTAAGAAATAGTCAAAATGTTCGATGCTGAAATGGCACTTACAATCAGTATGTTTTTTAAGAAATCTTGTCGATAACAAGTGTATTGAAGTTCTGAACAAAGGGAAAATAGCTTGGAGAACGCTGTCCAGAAATCGGGTCGTGGTCTTTGTGTCAAACAGGGGTAAAAAGGCAAACCACACCCGGAATTTTTGAGGGTGAGTCGTTCTTTGATTTCCATGATTTCCCTTTAACTTCACTCAAAACGCATGACGCCACTCACTAGACCTACTGAAGACTCTAATTGTCGTGGTAGTTTGTGTTTGCGGCAATCGTCCTAAATAAAAAATGCTAATTCTAATTGACTGACCAAGTTGTCATTGAAGTCAAAGATAAACGGAAACGACGCGCTAAATACGCGTCGGATAAAATTTTGGAGCCTTTAAGGTCTTGCGTACAAGTTGTATGTGGTGCATTTCCGTTCTTTGTTTTCTTCTAGTGGTTTGAACATTAGTCCGTTTTGGTTGGCTGTTTTCCGTCATAGTACTCGGATTTGACGATTTAATATCGTGTCTTTAGCGGCACAAATAATCTTCAACGAGCTTCATGAGTCTGACGGCGGGCCCTTGGGCTCCTTGCCTGTTGCGTTTACTCAAAGTGTTTGTAAATGTCGCCTAAATCAAGGAAAACGGGTCGGGAGAGCATTCTGGGAGACAGGTAGTATCTTTCCTACATGCATGCGTTATGGCTCTTAGTAGCAAACGTCGGCAATTGTAACAGCCATATATGAGTTGTCCTGCTAAATGTCGTGTGTATATATGCTATCGATACAATTTACAATTCTTATAAACATGTCTCATACAATTTCCTGACTGAATGACGACTGTTCATTACCGACTACACGCGTAATCGTCATGATGGTGGTTTTTGCACCTTCTTTCTTTTGGCCGTTTGACTTTCTCCCACGACAGATGGAGGGTCTTCCACAACGTTCTTTGTATCATTCTTGGAATCTTTTCGTTTCATTGGCAGCTTTGAATTTGAGGTATTTGCGGGTGGCTAGTAATAACGAATGTCAGTCATCCAATCAGGTATTAAAATTCAGCTTCTCGAGCAAAGCTTGAGACAATGCTATGAGACAATGTGTACGTACTTCTTTTTCAGCTTTGGTGATGGATCGTATAAATGGGTCTGCTTTTTCTATCGTTATGACTGGGGTAAGATGTGGTGAGAATCAAATGCTTTGAGTTCGAAGTTGAGCATAGAATTGCAACACACGCCATGAGCGTACGTTGATTTGAAGGAGGAGATGTGTCATTTTTTGGCAGATACGTTGGTGTGGCCTAGAGCCAGGAGGTTTGAAGTTAGCATCTGGCATTGTGATGTTGGTGTTTTGCACCATTCTGAGCAAAAGTCTGAAAGCTCTAGTAGCGAAACGATCAAGAGTGTATGGGATCCATGCGAAACAGCAGCGAATTGCAGAGCAGAAAGATCATCCAGCTTATAAACGACACGTTCAGCAACATTTAGTTTTCTTTTTGTGCTCAGCTTACTCTGGCACCACGCTCAATTCGTGTAAAGCTTGCAGGATTTGTGACTGGCAGTCCTTTGAGCCAATCCATTTTTAACGGCTGAACTGTTTTGTGAGGTTTGGTGAGTGCTCGCATGTGCATTTGTCAACAAAGGAAAAACATACATCCAACCAACATTCACGCAAAACAAACAACATGACTGTCGCTGAAAACACTCGAGTTCTATTCAACCGCGAGCCAAAGGGCCTCCCTACCAACGACGACTTCAAAATCGTCAAGGAGCAAATCCAACTAGACACGGTTCCGCTCAAGGATGGAGAGGTCCTCGTCAAGGTAAGCACGTATGCCTCTTCTATCTCTGGGATATTGCATTCTGAACGGCTTAAAGCCTTTCGATCGAGTCTGTATATTGCTCGAAAACAACATTTGCGGAACTCGTGGAGCGTGACATGACACTTTAGAGTTTTTTTTGCAACATATGTATCTATCTAAAAGCCATTTCTAACTCATTTTCAAATGATTCTATTAGACCCTGTTCTTGTCTCTTGACCCCTACATGCGTGGTAAGCTCCACAGTGCCTTTCAATATCTTACAAGTTTTCTGATCACTACCAAATTATAGGCCGAATGAGAGTAAACGTAGCTTCCTATGCTGCCTCATGGCAAATCGGGCAACCAGCTAATGGAGGTACATGACACTAGTCTGGCCACCTTAGTATCATCCCTCACTGAACCAAAACGTTCACCTTTATATAGGTACCGTTGTCGAAGTCGTTCGATCTCTCGACCCCAAATTTGTTGCTGGTGACAAGGCCTTGTCTTTTGGAACTTGGGAAACGTACACTGTCGTAGCCGGAAAGAGCTTGACCAAGGTGGATGCTCCAGCTGGCATTCCATTGTCTTACTACTTGGGTGTTCTCGGCATGTAAGTTATAACACTAGGCCTACGTCTTCACAGTCATTAACTTGAATCGAACAGGCCTGGTCTTACTGCATACGCTGGTCTGTTGAAGTTGGGCAAACCAAAAGCTGGAGAAACCCTCTATGTATCATCCGCTGCTGGTGCTGTTGGACAAGTCGTAGGACAAATCGGAAAGATCAAGGGCCTCAAGGCTAGTCTAGGATGTCTTGAAAATGCCATCACATCCGGGAGCTCACAAAATTCTGTAACAGGTTGTCGGATCTGCTGGTTCTGACGACAAGGTCGAATTCATCAAGACACTCGGATACGACAAGGCCTTCAACTACAAGACCATCAACCATGACAAGGCTTTGGAAACAAACTGCCCAGATGGCATCGGTAAGCTGCAAAATCGCGCATTGTACAACAAAACGAAGTTCTCCGTCTCAACAACGACGATTTATCAAAACTAGATATCTACTTTGAACAAGTCGGAGGAGGCAAGTTCAGGTTTTGGATTTTGGTCTTGAAATTTTGCTTGAGGGCGAGGCCTGATCCCAGATATTCTACTCAACCTACAGAAATGCTCGATTCGGTCATAATGAAGATGAACAACTTTGGCAGAATCCCATTGTGTGGAATGATCTCACAATATAACTCCACCGGTGAAAGTATGTGTTTAACCATTCAACGTCAACTTTTCATTTTGAGACAACAGACACACTATCTAACATGCTTCAATCCCTCATCAACAATAAGTGTATGGAGTAAAGAACCTTATCCAGGTATGTCAAAAGATGTTTAGATGTTCATACGACATTGTTTGGTTGCCGGCGTTCATTCGTTGGACTTGGCTTCCCACCACACTGTGTCGTCACTGACACTTTTCGTACTATAAAGGCTGTTGGAAAAAGATTAGAATTACATGGGTTCATCGTGTCAGACTACTCCCAGGAGTTGCAGCCTCAATTCATGGCCGACATGTTGCAATGGATTTCCGAAAAGAAGATGGTCTACAAGGAAGAAGTTGCTGTAGGTCTCGAAAGCGCACCAGCTGCATTCATCGGTATGCTTCAGGGAAAGAACTTCGGCAAGCAGGTCGTCCAAGTTTGAGTTGAATGATTGCAAGCATATTGTTGTCCACTTTTTTTGAATAAAGAGCACATGCCATACTCAAATTTACGTCTTGATCAATAATTATTCTATATTATACGATTCATACGATTAACGGCTGCCAAACCACAGTTTGTAGCAAAAGAGGTGGAAACGTGATTGAAAATTCGTCAAATGGACCTGCGATCGGTCATTGACGAGTAGCGCGATTGATTACAAACGACAACATTTCCCACTAAAGTCTCTGGAGATTGCTGTGATTGAGCGTGTACGTCGTGTTATTTCCAAAGTCCATGTCACCTGTCACTGGTTTGAATCCACCACCATACCAAAGCAAGGAGAAGACCTGAACCAAGCGAGGCCCTCATATAACTTCCAAAGCAGATGAACGAATAACGTTATTCTCTTACACCGTACGACTCTCGGGGCGTCCTCAAAAGTAAAACTTAAAACGATAACCATCACCAAATCACGACGAACGATGTTGTGGAAGGCAAACATTGTCGCTTCTCCTGTCGACGTAGTAGGCGCTGATCGCGATGACGAGGAACAACCGTTGCTATCATCACCACCGACTACAGTTCTGTCATCAAGGTTTGTCATCAGCAGATGTATTGGCAGCAAGACCTCCATGAATTGTGCAGACATATTCTGGCTTTCTGTAACCGAATGAACATTTTGGTTATACCGTCGATTCACGTTCTTCTTGTCATCCAAACTTGACTTTGACATAACTTTACATTCGTAGAAAACCCGCACCATATTGGGCGTATCTCATCATACCAGTCCCAGCTCTATGTCTTGCCTCAATCTCAATCAGTCATGCTGCCTATGAACAATTCGTATTAAAAGTCGCCTGTGATCGATACTATGGACGTTTTATTGAAAGGCCTCATGCTCTGGATTGTAGTGTGGTAGCAGTCACTAGGGAAGCGTCTCAAATCGCACGGCTGATTAGCGCTTCACACTTGACGCCACTCCTCTTCTCTGCTTTGATTGGTGGTTACTTGAGTGACAAAATAGGGAGGAGGCCTGTGATACTCTTTGCGCTGATGGGTGTTGTACTAGATTCAGCGATACCGATATTGGTTACGAACTTTAAGATACCAGCCTTGGAATTTATGATTGCTGGAAAACTCTTGGCCGGGCTATGTGGATCTTTTCCACTTGGTACAGTCATAAGCGTTACAATCTGGCAAATGCTCTATTGTTTGAAAGCTTACAAACCACTTCTATAGTTGTCAACGTATGCTTGGCCTCCATCATCGACGTAACAACGAGCAAACGACGAACACGAATTCTATCTACAATGTTTGCGTCATTTGGTGTGCTAGATACGATAGGCCAGCTGTTTTCTGGTTGGCTAGTCAGGGAATACGGGACATATATCCTCAACTTTCGCTTTACTCTGGGAGGATTAATTATAGCATTTGCGTACATGTTGGCATGTGTACCAGAAACCAGTCCGTCCAAGAATGGACTAGTTACCAAGGCCGAAGGAAGCAACCATAGTAGTGTCACTAGTCCTGTGAAACGAAATTGGATTGTCACCGAATGGAGGTCTTTTGTAGATTGTACAAGATTTTTGCCGTTGGTAATATTGATACCGTATCTCGCTGCTACTATGACTCAGCAGAGTCACATAATGCTGTTTGTCTTATATACCACGTTCAAATTCAAATGGGTAAGCTGAACACATTTCCGCTGTATCTCATTTACTAAAACTTCCAATTCGAATATCTAGGGAGCTTATGAGGATTCCATATTCTTTGCTAGCACGTCGCTCTTCGTTGCACTAATGCTCGGAGTAGGACTGCCATATCTCGACAAGTGGATCAAGCATATAATAAAACAGAAACGCCCATACCCCGAACCTTTGCCAACAATTCCATCTATAATGTCATCAACACAGAATAGTCCCACCACAACAGAGGAGGGAGCAGGCTCATCTTCATCCGAGTATGGTGCAACAGCACAAGCTGCAGATGTCCCAATAATCGACACAGAACACGATTTGAGAAACGCTCGAGCAAATATTAGAGAAATCCAGATCGGTGAAGCAGGCATGACGATTTATTACACTGCGTTTGCTCTACTCACTCAAGGCTGGCAGCTCTTCTTGCTGATACCGCTGTTTACATTCTCGTTGATGGTTAATGTTGCAATGAGAGGGATCATAGCAGAAGTCATAGAACCTAGTAGGATTGGGTTTGTGTTGACCGCCGTAGGAGTGCTAGACCAGTTTTTCATACTGATTTTCCAACAAGTAAGCCATCTTTACTCAGTCTCTAGTAAGCTGCTCACCCGCTGATCCATCTTTCTCAATCTCTAGGTTGCTGGTCTCATCTACTACTACTCTGTCTCCTGGGCCCCAAATCTTGTGTATTTTGTCTTGGCAGCTCTGAACTTTGTTGGACTCGTTGCTACATTTTGGGCACGGTTATCTCCCGCAAAAGTGTAGATTATGTAGATCTGATACTCCTTGGCCTGGACTGATACTTGTATTTACTGCTAATAGTGTGATTATGGTTTTATGGAGCAATAATATTTAATCTATATAAACCAGTGCTTTTATGATGATTGTTGCTGATGTTCGGCAACTGCTTGTCTAAGAGAGTCTCTATCCTGAATGTAGTGCCAGAGAATCTGACTTGTGCTGTATTTACTTGAAGGAGGGCAATTCTGACCCACTACCTCTCTTAGTGCAACCCAATCCTTCCATGTCCAGTTTTTGATGCCTGGTTTGAGTACGTCACTTATTAGCGCATCGCCTTCAGGCCATGGATTCTTTGGCAGTATTGGATCAGGCTCGTCATATTCCAGATCAAACACAATTGCTGCTCGAAAAGCAAACCTAAGTGAACCGAGTTGAGAGCATCAGCTTCAAGACGTTGTCTGCACATGCTTGCCAAACTCACCATGGACCTATAGGAGCTGGTAGTACACACAAATGGGCAGCTGGATTCAAAAACGCAAATCCCGATAGCTTGCCCAATTTTTGGAAATCGACCAAGTTCGAGTCTAGAGATGTCAGAGATTAGCACGTCAAGTTCTGAAGGAATGCACCATTCCATGCGAAAGACGCACCATACTGAAATGGATACCGATTGTCTGTTTCGACTCCGACGTTTTGCAAACAGTCCTCCACGGCATGCTTAACATAGTCATCAAAGGGATGTTTGCGTTCAGTCCAGTTCAGATTAGTGGCACAATGATTTAGAAAGCATGGCCAGACGGTTTTTGATGAACCAACGAGTAGTCCAAATGTGTGTGATTTTCGGTAGGTGGGGAGTGGCAAGACACGTGTCGATCCAGCGATGACCTTATTATAAGATTGTATAGATAATGGATGCACCAAATCCAGGCCGTATGCTTGTAGCTTTGGTTTCAACACGTTCATCACTTCCTTCCATTTTACAGACATCTGGAAAGTAGCTCAGTGAATCAACTTGAGACGGGTAAAAGGAAGCAAGCAATGGTAGTACCTCCAGACTGGTCCAAACTAGATAATTTGGTGTTTGAACTACAGCCAAACAAGACTCTGCTCTACTCTGAGCTTGAAAATGATTTCTGGAATCTCGTGTTGATAATGTCGACGGAGGAAGGGAATTATCGCATACATAAGCTGTCTCTATTCTATAGTGACCGTCACGGATTTCTACAAAAGCTGAGGCTCACGAATTGGTCAGATTTCACTACAAGATTTGTATGCATCAAGTTCATTTCAACTTCATTTGGACGCAATTTTCGCTTTATTTGAATTTAATCACAAAAGCTACACAAATATTCTATATCTTAGGCTGATGCTGCTCGTGCCAAACAATATGAATGGAACGAATCCAAATCAGAGCTAGTGGTCGATCCGCTCTCAGGAAGGCCATTGAAGTTTACTCTCGAGAAAGAGCTCAATACAAACTCAACTCTCGGCAAGATTGTCTTTCATATGGCAGCAAAAGGTGTGGGTCATGGGGAGGAATCTACCAACAACAACGTGCGCGTACAGCAGCTGCAAGAACTGGAGGCCAAGATTCAGAGGCTTGAAAACGAAAACCAAGCTCTTCGCGGGCAGTCATCTGGTGGTTCCACATCTTCTCAAACTGGGGCTAGTCACCCTACTACAGCAGGTACTTTCGGGTCATCGAACACCTTTTAAAGGAATAGTTCACTGACACAACACTTAGGTTCGAAAGGCAAGAAGAGACCAAGAGGAGAAGCCAGCTTTGTGGCAATACCGAAGAGAACAAAGTAAACTTAAGCACGTGACAACACGAACTTTGGATACTGATCAATAACTGTATCTTTTTCGTTGTAGTCAAGCGCCCATTACATATGAGGAATACAAACCTGATTAATGTTGGTAGTACATGTGTTATTGTATCTTGATTTCAAGCTTTCCAATATACGACCAAGTTAAAGCCCAGACTGCTTCGCACTAACTTTTTCTCTGTCGTCAAGAGTCTAGAAGTCACTCACTTTTTTTTTTCGAAAGCGAGCGATTGATCCCTGTTAGATCCCTTTGCGAGAGATATTCTAGACTGTGAGTTATCTATTCATGACGCTGATTTGCCGGTGGAAAATGTTGCTTGACTTTTGTTGCGCCAAATTTGAGTTTCTTAAAAACCACAAAAGCTCACACATTTTATACTATTGCAGGCACTGTAAGAGAGAACAGGAGGTAAATCTCTCTAGGATTGCTTGAATATTATAGAACGTGAGTGCTTGCTTGACTGGATCTAGTCCATTTACACGTTGCTTTGATTGACATCAAACTGTCTGATTTTGCAGTTCCCGCACCATCATATATCACTAGATCGCAATCATGGGAGCAGCAATAAGGTAATTGAATCATAAAATGATGGAATTGCTATTCCAACCCAGTATCTCTACGGAACTGCAGTGGAACTGGTCTAAAATAAGAATGTGTTGGAACTGACTCCCTCTTTGTCATTCGAACCTAAAGCAAAGCGCTTGCTAAACTATTCGGAAACAAGGAAATGAGGATACTCATGTTGGGACTCGACTGTGCTGGAAAGACAAGTGAGTTCAACTACCCTCCAAGAGGTTGTTGCGGTCATGATCATGACGTAGTGTAAATACTCTGAAGAGAGAAAAGGATCAAATAAGCTGATCATATTATCATAGCCATTCTCTACAAACTCAAACTCAACCAGCCAATTACGACAATTCCGACCGTTGGGTTCAACGTTGAGAGTGTCACTTACAAGAATGTCAAGTTTAATGTTTGGGTAAGACAGAGATTACGCACAAAACAAAGGATTCACTCCTATAGTTTTGATCACCTGCATCAACAGGATGCACTTTCTTGTTTCTTTGCAATCCTGCCACCTCAACCATACTCAACCATACTCAACACATTGTAACTTTAAAGGATGTCGGAGGACAAGACAAGATCAGACCATTGTGGAGACACTACTTTACTGGAACTCAAGGATTGATCTTTGTCGTGGACTCGAATGACCGTGATCGAATTGAGGAAGCTCGTCAAGAATTACATCGTATTGTCCAAGATCGTGAAATGAAGGATGCTTGTGTCTTGGTCTTTGCCAACAAACAAGATCTATCTGGAGGTTTGTCTTGTTTTGTTTGAACACAGGCGTTTAGAGTGTTTCTTGGTTACTCATCACGTTAAATTAGCCATGTCACCACAAGATATCACCGAAAAACTCAACTTGCATCGATTACGTGACAGACCTTGGTATGTTCACCCATCATGCGGAACTTCTGGAGAGGTAAGAGATTGCTGTTTATTTTTATTCGTCATCTTGATGAGTTGCTCATTTCGTAATTGTATTTAGGGATTGATGGAAGGCTTGCAGTGGTTATCACAAAATTGCGGGGCTCCCAAGAACGGAAGCAGTCCTGCAAAAGAATGATTGGGTCAATATCACCATCACCTTCCACTTTTACCCCCCATTTTAAATAATTTGTAGATTACATTTCGTTCGTTCGCTTGCTTTCATCCTCATCGTCGTTTGTAAGAATTATAATGCCAAAACAACATATATTTTGTCCAACACTCAAATACTTGTCAAAGAATATCGTTGTACTTTTGAAGTTATTCAGATGAGATCTATATAAATGCTTGTCCAACACTCAAATACTTGTCAAAGAATATCGTTGTACTTTTGAAGTTATTCAGATGAGATCTATATAAATGCTTGTCAAGGATATATCTACAAAATGCGTTACTTTTACACGTCTATGTGTTTCCTGAAGCCATCTGGACAAGCAAAACCACGTTGAAAACAGTCAAGGCGGTTGCAATCAGATATGCCAATGCTTGCATCACGATCCCGTTGGCATAGCACATCTCCGTCACCTCTACGTCGTGAATATGTATCGAGCGTTGCGTGTTAAGCGACGCCCCACGGGACATTGATACTGGAGCTACCAAGGTTGGTGCTATTGGTGCTATTTCCAAAATGGATCTTGTAAGCAAATCTACCAGAACAAAATTTTAACGTCACTTACGCCATGATGCTGCGACATCTACAGAGTCTCGAGGAGAAGATCTAGATCCACGTCTCGTGAGAGAATTGGATTTCCTTGCAGCAACAACAACGGCTTCTCCATCATTTTCTTCGTCATTCGTGGGACCTACTGAAGCAACGTTCCTCTCCTCATTCTCATCAACGTCATCACGATTGAGAGATGACTCTGTTTCAGCCTCTTCAGTTGATTGCCTGAATTTCACAGTCATGATTTTCTTATTGCTCGTAAATATTACGAGTGGTATCACGGCAAAGGGAAGCTGAAGTGATAGGATGACTTGAGATAGTACTACCGAGGAGATCATTTACTTAGTACGTTGAGATCGTTTACAATCAGCGATCTCATATACTCACCGAGGAGATCGTTCACGCCGCCATCTCCACGAATGATGGCTACTACTACAGCAGGTATGATTGCCAAGGTTCGAGTTATCAATCGTCTAGCCCACGGTGGTACTTTCCATGCTGAGCCCAAAAACCCTTCCATCACTATCTGACCAGCGAGAGTTCCAGTAAAGGTTGATGACTATGTTTGATGTTCAACATTGTTAGTGAATGTTCTTTAAAAATTATTAGTGCATTTTTGTGAGTGAGGCTGGAGGTGACTCTTACCTGACCAGCCATCAGTAATCCTACTGCAAAAAGGACACCAGCGGACGGTCCCAAGAATTCTACCAATAAAGCATGTGCGTCGGACAGATCAGCAACGTCATTTTTGCCCTGTTTAAACAAGGTGGCTCCTGCTACTATTAAGATTGACGAGTTCACTACAAGAGCGATTGTGAGAGCCAAAACAGAGTCCACATTTGTATAGTGAAGAGCAATGGGTAGATGTGCCTTTGCTGCTAGTGGACGAGAAGTGTCATCAGATGCTCTCTCGTCATATCTGTCTGACGAATGATTGTAAATGACTGGAGCTCTAAACATGACGATATTCGAGTGCAGATACAAATTATGGGGCATCACAGTCGCTCCCACAATACCCATAGCTATGTATAAGAAGCTGGGATCTGATATAATCTGTCTCGTTGGGACAAACCCGTAACTAAAAGAAAACGAAATTATTATTTCTCTATTGAGTCAAGGATCTGCAAAGTAATACAAGCTACCACAAGAAGGACATAAAAAGTCCGACCTTAGTGGTGCACTTACATGACTTGAGCCCAATTCGGTTCACTCTTGATGACCAAAATTATGAAACATAGAGCGACGGCCGTGACCAAAACAATTATGATGAACTCATAGAGTCGCTGACGTCTAAACAGTAGAGTTCTTTAGCATTTTGTTGTTATGTGTTTGTATCACAAGGTCTCACTTTGCAGAAAATCCAGTGAGTATTATCAGCACATCCAATCCAGTAATCAAGACTCCGTAAACAAGCGGCAAGCCGAATAGCAGACTATATGAAATGATTTGTTGGCCGATACAGTGAGTCGGTTGATTGGCCACAAAGACTTACTTCAACGCAACGGCCGTGCCAATAACCTCAGCAAGATCACAAGCGACAATAGCCAATTCACACAGAAGATAGAATGCGATATTGACATAAGGGTTGAGATACGCTCTACAAGAGCTTGCCAGATCTTTGCCCGTGACTACACCCAATTTTATGCACAATGATTGAAGCAAGACGGCCATCAAGTTCGACAAGAGGACGACAAATAATAGTTTGTATTCAAACTGGCTTCCTCCTTGAAGATCTGTAGCAAAATTTCCAGGGTCTTTGCAATAGGGAGCCAGTATTAGTACAGAGCTAAGGAATGCAATACTGTTTCGATCTCACCAAAGTAACCAATGGCAACGAGATAGCCAGGACCCACAAACTTTCCAAACAAGCCCATAGCGCGTTTGAAACGAGACATGAAATCACTCTGGGTATCTTTTCTAGCAGTAGTAATGGAAATTGGAGGCGGACAACGGTTCAAGATGGAGCCATAGTTGTAAATGGTTGCAGGCTGTTGTTCAAGAGTAGCAGTTGCGTCTGATGCATTGTTGTTCAGGCCCTGAGCAAGACTAGAGGCGTGACCGTTTAGCATTGGCTCTGTTGAGCCATTTTTGTTTCCAGCGTTCATCTATGGCGAGAAAGTGGTTAAGATGCAGTAGGTATGAGAGGTGGAGTTGGTGAGCCGAATGTTGGCTCGAGTCACAGCATCCTGCAAGTAATTGTACCTAGGTGGACAGTCAAGATCTCAGCACTGGTTCATGATCTAGCTGGATGAGATTTGGTCGTGTTCCTGTTCTACGTCCCCCACCGAATTGCCTTCGACCTTTTCAAGAAACAAGTGGCAATCAGTTTTGAGGCCAAGGATTGAATAGACAGGAGTTAAGGAGTGGACAATCTGTACATCTAGCACTTACGAACAAGTACAGAGCCCTTCGCTTACTCGAGAAATAGTCTTCCAAGTACGTAGCTCTGATTTGCCAAAACTGTAAAATTTTAGATCGCTGAGGGGAGCTTAAACCGACTCCGATGCAACATTCGAATCGACAAGATTTTCTTGCATGCAATTCAATTCGTCACTTTGAAATTGATCGCATTTTTCACTAGAAATGTCACAACCAACAAGGGCTGGGGATGCTCTCATGATGATGCTGTCTATGAGAAGTGTCTTGAAACACATGAACGCCCAATCGGCTACACGTTTATCAAATTATGCAAAGACTTCTAGCTTACCGAAAGTGGCTTCTGATCTCTATCAAGCTGCATTCACACGCCCCGCTGCACCAAACATCCAAAAGCCAGTTAGAGCTCACGACATGGATAGTGAAACTCGCGCAGATCCTATCCAGGAAGCTGTTATTGTGAACGATGCTTCAGCTCCCATACCAGAGAGCATGTCTGAACCAATGTCAAATTCTGCCGCAACAGTCAATGATACCTCTGTTTTGGACAACAAGGAACAGCTCTATGAAAGCTTGTTGGCATCAGCACCAAAACCGACCACTGAATCTCCTGGTTTGGAAGAACCTGTCTCGCAGCTACTGGCAAGTCTATGTTGCTGGTCAGTCAAGGTTGTCACCTGCTATAACTGAACGTAATCTGCCTTAGAGAGCTCCATTGAAACAATCAAGAGTTCCGTCCTCCAGGATAGAGCGAGTTTTTAGTTATAGTGGTAAGACAGAAGATAGCACTACAGTGAGGTCTGAGTAACCACTCGCTCAAGACCCTCGTTTGACAACACGCAGGTATCGCTGCCGGTGTAGGCGTTGGAATGGTGACTGAAGCTATGAGGCGCGCCATAGGCACTCCATCGTCTTCTGGTAAACTTGACAAGAGATTAAGGTTTGAATGATAATTGTTAACTCTAGCATCATTTTGACGAAGTTGGCAGCTTGGTGCTGAGCCCCGCCAATGTGGAAAGAATCGTCGCAGGACTTTCTCGAATGCGTGGTGCTGCTTTGAAATTGGGACAAATGCTTAGTATACAAGGTGAGAGTTTGATTGCCTGGATTTGGTAAATGTTATGTGTATCTCACTGTGGCATACACCACGTAGACAACAAAATGATGCCAGCTGAAGTCGAAACCTTGATGCTGCGTGTGCAAAAGAGTGCCAATTACATGCCTGACTCCCAGTTTCAGGTATGCAAAATTCAAGCTGTTATTGTTAAATAACTCGAATCACAGAGTTCCAATCTCCTACATTGTTATACAGTCCGTCATGATACGTGAATTAGGCAGTGATTGGAGAGACAAGTTTGCTACTTTCGATGAAGTGCCTATCGCAGCAGCTTCCATTGGCCAAGTCCATCGTGCAACACTACCATCTGGTGAAGCTGTCGCAGTCAAAGTGCAATATCCAGGTGTAGCAACTTCTATCAACTCGGATTTGTCTACTCTTCGGTCTCTTGTCTTGTTGGGAGGCTTGTTGCCCAAAGGCTTATATTTAGACAATACCATTCGTGTGGCTCGAGTTGAACTAGGATGGGAATGCGATTATCTTAGAGAAGCTGAGAATTCTAGTCGGATGAGGACGTTACTCAAAGGTGACAGTGGATTTGTAGTGCCCAAAGTTGTGGAAGAATTAAGTACCAGCCAAGTATTGACCTCAGAGTTTGTTGAGGGAGTTCCTATCGGTGAGACTGGGAAGCTGTCTCAAGCTATTCGAGACTCTGTAAGTCATCCTGCACTCGCAGTCTTTCTATTTGAATGTATGCAACTGATATTTTTTTGGTTTTTGATTCTGCAGATTGGTGATAGAATACTCCGTCTGTGTTTGCGTGAATTGTTTGAATTCAGGTTCATGCAGACAGATCCAAACTGGTCTAACTTTTTATATGATGCCAAGAAGGATTTAGTTTGTCTGATTGACTTTGGTGCTGCCAGAGAATTCTCAAAGGACTTTACCGACAAGTATATGCAAGTCTTGACGGCAGCCGCTGAGAACGATAGAGATGGCGTGATACACTGGTCTCGAGAATTGGGTTTCTTGACTGGACTAGAGAGTCTAGTAAGTTGTCGTCAGTCTTCGCCGCACTAGTCGAAACAATGCAAATGCACTAATACCCTCTCCGTCTCAAGGCTATGACAAATGCTCATGTGTCATCAGTCATGGCACTGGCTACACCATTCTTGTCTGATTCGCCCTGTCCGTTTAATTTTGCTGGAACAGATTTGACCAGCCAAGTACGGTCCTTTATTCCCACAATGCTCAAGGAGAGACTGACACCACCTCCTGATGAGACATATTCACTGCATCGGAAACTTAGTGGTGCATGGCTGTTATGTACCAAGTTGGGTGCGAGTGTTCGAGTGAGGGATATCTGGAATGAAACTCGTGATAGCTACCGCTTCTAATACCTCAAACATTTAGTAAATTAATATAAACGTGTATACACTCCATGTATTTCCATCACGTGTAGAGCTAGACTGCTGCTTGTTTGTGTGTGTGTGTGAAATGAAGGAAGTTTTTGGGATGAAGGAAAGAGATGGGCGCTGTGATGAATGAAAGGATTTTGGATGAACAAACTCCCACATTATCATCAAGGCTCACGAGAACTATAGGATCGCCGTAGATCAAGCCAACTTCGTCATTAAGAACGTCCCTCACAAAGTTGTCAGCATGGACGCTCTCAAACGAATCATTACCAAAATTAGGACGTCTTTCTCCGAGCGGACAAAGTCAGGCAGGAGCTCCCCACGATCGACCATATCCTCAGGCTCCAAGTCATTCGCTTCTCTTCAGAGCTGGCGAAGTGAAAGCACTCTTTACACATCGGCAGCTGTGTCTCTGAAAGGGGAAGAATCAAACCTTGTGTATTCGCCAGTCACCAGCATGCTCTCGGCAAGGAATACTTTAGAGCGACCTATAAATAGGACCAACAACTCGTTCTCGCCGCTACTGGATTTGCCCGTTGAACTTATAATCACCATATCACATCAAGCCGGCTTTCATGAGTCCATGACTCTGGCTCTCTGCTGCAAACGTCTGAACGAGATACTCATGGATACTAGGAGCTGGTATGCTTATACTGCCACCACGCCCGATATCATAGAGAGCCGCATTAATATCGTGACCAAACTCAGCACTTTTGATCACTTGCTCTTTGGGGTTTGGCCCAAGGCACCGTTATATACTGTCGAAGAGGAGCCTCAGGATATACCAATGTCGTCTAGTAACAGTAGTTTGTCGACTCTAGTTGCTGTATCTCCCGCAGAAAAAGCCCGCAAAAAGGACCATATCAACTTATTCTTTGAGCACAGGTATGTTTGTTGATATGCTTGAAGCTTTCTTCGGTTACTTCAGAATCATCCATTCGTTGCCTTTGTGCTTGGCCTGGTCATCCATTCTATTAACACAAGCCAACTAAACCACCATTGCTCGGAAAATAGAGCATTCTCGGATCGTTTCAGCTTCTTGGGAGGAGTCGAATTCGATGTCAAGGATAATGGCCGCGTGTCTAGTGACTTCTTTGAGCACTTGGAGTCTAAACCATGTCAACAACTCGAACCAACGTCACCTACATCTAATGCCCCACTTGCAATAACCGAGCATATCTGCAACGAGTGCTATAGCTACCACCACCGTAAAATACTTCGAAACTACTTTGTCTTTGACTCTCATGATCTGCAGGATGTTAGCAAGCCGGCGTTTGAGTGGACGTGGGAGTCTATCAACAAGAAGAGGATTGTAAAAATCTCTGTAGTGCCTCAACGTGGTGTATTGGGATATGCTAGTGCACGAAACATGCCGTATATACTGTCGGAAGCAGTCACCATCAATGGTAAACAGCTGCTAGGAGGTTTAAGGAGGCATTATGAACGACTAGTAGGGCACCTTGACAGTCACAATTCTCGTGTGGTGACGATGTAGAGGTGGATATTGACCGTTTAGTGGGTCAGCAGCAACAAATAGGGTAAATACAAAATATGAAGGAAACGCATACCACGTGTAAATATAGTAGGTAGTAGTAACAAGTAAATAAAGCAAGTAAATAGGCACATGTACACGTATCTCATAATGTTTGATGGGTTGGTTGGCGACCGAATTCAAACCGAGACTTGAACACGAACGTGAGTTAGGTTTCGCACACACAACACACACTCTTTAGTGAAAGATTTCATACCGGAGAAAGAAGAGACAGCTATTACAATACTTGTCAAGTAAGTTCACCTCCTCTAACCTGTTGTCCGACCTCAATTCTAAACTATGAATGAACCATCTTTTTCTGCAGCCCCTGACATTCAAACACAGCATGCTGACTGAAGAAAAGCCGGTGGAAGTCGCAAGTCGCTCATTAGGACTACTCAGGTAATCAAGAATGTCAATTTCTGCACATGAATTCACTGTTTCCGATCTCTTCATCACACTTATTTTTTCGTGTGCCTCGTGATTGTTTCACATATGTGATTGTGTCTGACCAAACACTCTATATAGGGCTGAAGCTTGGGAAGCCTTGATCGAGTTTGCGTCGCTTCATGTGCAAGAACGTTGGGGTTTCAACTACAAGCCGTCTCATGCAAATCCATTCGAACTGTTTCAATGGCAAACCGACAGTGTGAAAGAGGTAAACAATGGCAATGAACTTGCCGTGAAATCACCTTGAATCCGGGTATATCTTTGAAATCTCGCCAACAACGTCGTAACTCACACCCCATGTGACGTAGATTGTGGATACGTGGGATGAAAAGCCTCCTTCAGTCGAACTCTTTCGAGTCCTAGATGAAGAGACCATTCAGGCTGCCTGTGAATTCAGAGCTCTCAACTATCCAAACGGAGGTCGTGGCGTAGTGATACTTCAACTCGGTGCAGGCAATCACTGGTGTTTTCACAATATACTGGAAGTCCCAAATGATCGCTTCTACAAGAGGTGGCACGAGACTTTGGAAGAGGCACAGCACGCTTTCGAAAGTGGAATGGATGACATAGTAAGTATTTACTTTGTTATACAAGCATTTATTGTAGAGTGGTAGCTAAAACTTGTTGCACTCGATCAGAAATCTTCAGTCGGGGTGCCAGAACTTCATTGTGATGGCTCAGATCCGGGCGATGAAGAACAGGAGAAGGTTGAAGAGGAAGACGATTCTGACTACTGGCAATTGTATGATCAGAAGGGTGGTGCGGCTTCTAAACTCCCAGCCCATAGCACCGCCACATCCTCAAAAGACGACAGTGAAGAAGATGACGAAGCTGATTATTGGAACAATTACGGTTGATGCAGTAGTTTGGTCGAGAAAAATGGGTTGCTTTGGACGAGTTCCGTAAATTGAGCTATATACCTGTAACATATTAAATACAACAATGATTATAAGAGTGATATCATCTGTGTATTCATAGCGACGATAGGACTGATCAGATACGGGAATCTCTACATCACAACTACTTCACACATCCAAGATGCTCAAAGTGCCGCTGCAGCCACATCATATCCCGTACAGACTCAACAAAGATGGTATTGATATCGGCGAATGGAGTATACAAGTCAGAAAAGGCCCCATTGCGCCAAGTTCCGAACAGGACGAGTAAGCTCAAAAACTAAATGAAATCCAAGTAGGCAACTGACCTGAAATATACATTCTTCCATTTTAGAGCATCAGAAAAGTTGGGATTCAAGCCTCCTGTCATGTACTTCTCAAAGAATGCCCTCCAAGTACTCCACATTCCAACCAACTTGTCGGTCGTCTTTCTGCCCATGGAGGCGTTGAAGCGCATTGACATCAGCTCCACAAGTGCTGATGGGGTCAAGGTAGCCTATGCTGAGAGCTGGACCAAGAATAGGTATGTCACAGCGACGAGTGGCTCATATGACAAGTTCGACAGATTATTGGTTTGTATTGACTTTCATTCGAATTAGTGCTGCTGCAATGGAAGAAGTGACTGGTTTTGTAAAGCCTTACGACTGGACGTATACGACTGACTATACTGGCAGTCTCTATTCTGGCAAAACGAAGCAGGTAAAACACTCTGTGTCTAACAGTCCAGTCGAGCTTCCTGAAACTCAACTGATCAACTATAGATGTATTCAAATACTCATAATCGCAAATTAACCTTAGGCATGGCAAGAAACAGATCTAGAGATCGATATAGAAAGGCTGAAATTACCAGAACCCATCTTGTTTTATGACGAAGCTGTGTTATACGAAGACGAGCTTGATGATAATGGAACTGCTGTGTTGAGTATAAGAGTGGTACGTACCTATTATTGACTATTGTCATTCTTTGTTGTCTTTTTTACTGACATGAATGCGTAACCGTCAACACCGAGGCTTACATTCAATTCATCTACAGAGAGTCATGCCGTCGTGCTTTCTGGTGTTACTGCGGTACTTTTTGAGAGTAGACAATGTGATATTCCGAGTCAACGATACACGACTGTATCATGAGTTTGGCCAGTCATGTCTAATACGAGAATTCTCGAGTCGAGAAGCACCATACGCAACAGTCAGGAATAAACTACCAAAACCTGCTCCATGGGAGCCAAATAAGGAAGTCCAAGACTTGTCTCATTTGACAGATGCAAACTGGGTCGCATCGGTATTGCCCCCACCTAAATTACATAAACGAGAACGAGTTATAATACCGAAAACTGTCCAACCCGAATCGCCGGACGAGGATACGGTTTTGACAATACCGGTGCCTTCTATAGAGACCATGGATGCTGCCGAAGCTAAGGAAACAAAATCTAGAGAATCCTTGGCTGAAAGTGTATCCAACTTGTCATTGAAGCATTAAAATGTAAATATAGTTTGTGTGCAAGATGTAGCTGAAGTGGGGGTTTACAAGTGCTTTCCCTCATAATAATATATGCCTTTCATCAGACTTCTCCGGTTGCCTTAGTCCTTTTGTGCCGTCTGTTTCCACCGATAGCTACAGAGACCATCCCTATGAACATGATGATTCCACCAGTCCATGTATAGGATGATGGTGGGACATCTTGAAAGAAGACACATGCAATGATGCTGGCACCCAGCGGCTCGGTGAGCATACATAGAGAGACTAGTAGCGGTTCAATAGTCCTGACAAGAAATTAAGTTTCAGTGGCTGGAACAAAACAAGATTATCAGCAAGCTCTATTCTTTCTGCTCACTTGAGAGAATACGAGTACCCCAACGTTCCAACTAAGCCAACACTAAAGAAAAAGAAATAGAGATTATGCCGAATGTGAAGACGGAGAGTCATAGAATACTCACACTATGCCGAAATACAGTCCCAACCACCACCTGGAAGCATCGATCCACCCAAACAAGCCGACTGTTGGATCAACTGAGAAGATCTGGGTGCCCTCAAACACTACAGTACCGAGTGATACCCCAATTGTGGCAACAATTTGACAAGCGAGCACGAAATACTGCATTTGAATGTTAGACCAAAAAAACAGAACACATCGTAGTTGCAAATGAACTTACGAAAAACGGATAATTCGCATCTCTCACTCCTTTTGCACTGGAAAGTATGTTGACCGCTAAGGCCGCAGCACAAGCTAAAGCAGCCATGTCTCCAAAAAGACTAACATTGCTTCCTGAACCGGATGCACTTCCTTCAGCCATCATTATGAAACTGCCGACGATGCAAATTACAGTGCCAGCACATTCTTCCAGCGATGTTGGCTTGAATGTTATTAGTCTGAATATGACGATAAACACAGAGTGCAGGTTCATCAAGAGATATGAATGGGATATCGAGGTTTTGTCGAGCGATATCAGCCATAGAGTTGCAAATGCTAACGGAGGTTAGATAGGTTAAGCAATGTGTTTGATATAGCATAGTGTGGAAATTCGAATCGTTCAACCACTGTAGTTAGCAATAGCAAGTAGAAGCCTCACACTGCAGACTCACCAGTATACGTAATGCCATTTATCAGAATATTCGTAGCAGCAGAGGTAGCCGATCTCTTTTTGGGCTGTAAATCATCAACCACTAGTAACGGTTCAGATTCCACATATCCATTAGACGTAATATCACTTATGCTTATTGAGTTCTCGGATCCTGAGGGAGAGAGTAGGGCTGGCGATTCCTTGGATGTGTTTCTTATGGGTTCATCGTTCAGCGTCACAGTGCTATCTTGGTGCTTCATGTACCGCCTCTTGGGCGATATTGATCTTGAAATCAATGTTATGATGCTTCCGGCTATTAGGACTATTAGGAAGCAGTGCTGTCGCCATGATATCCGTAGTAGCGGCTTTACGTCCTTGATTTCGACAAGAATTGGCCCCTAATAAATTCAACAAGTATTAGCGATTCAGAAGCTACAATCATGAGAATAGTATTGAAAATATTTGCGAGCAAATACCGCGGAGCTCCAAGCCAGCATCGAGGCAATTAGCACGATACCTCCTACAAGTTGGCTAAAAAGGCGGTTGACATTATGAGACATAGCTAGAGGACGTATTACGGGCACTCGGGTCAATTGGCAATGGGGTTATATCTCTCAGTACCGAGGGAACTCTTGCTCCGTCTGTATTGAGGGGTCGGAGTTTGCGTTTGAATGATGAAAAACTTGTTGTGAACTTAAAGCAACAACGCGTAGATCCAGGAAAAGTAAGATAGTTCTCTTCAATTTTGCCAAAAATGCGATGTTTTGGACGTATCAGATTAGCCTGTTAATCATGTGCTCTGACTGGTAATCAACTTCCAACTTCGTACATTTTTGTGACAAGAACACGACTACTTCGCATTTAACTAATTGCAAATTAGAACTATTAAAGGACAAATTACATCTATTTAACAGTAGTCAAGACCAAAGTATGTGTGTTCATCAAAGTTCGCGAGGTCGAGAAGAGATACGGGCTCATAGCAATCCTTGTCAGTCAGACATTTGTATACTACAGTGTCCTCCTGGGACGTAGCTACAACATACTCTCCAGCAACATGTCGATACATGGGTCCATTCGGAGGCAAATGTGGAACTGTGGCATGTAAGAACGAAAAAGTCAATTGGCCAGGTCTGACACCGTATTGTACATATGAAATCGTACCCATATCACGAGCATTCACGACTCGATAAACCACCACATTTGCATGTTGATTAAACCAGTCGACGAATGAAGGATTACCAAAGCGAGGTGCTCCATACGTGAGGAGCTCGACAGATACTCTGACTTGAGAGGCAAAGTACGTTGCTGCTAGTGATGCTATGGCTCCACCCAGAGATCGCCTATACGTGATTTTCAGAAAGGAAAAGCCGTGTCTCTACTAAACTCGCAAAACGATCAAACACAAAATAGATAACACTCACCCAACAAATCGAACTGCTCTAATGTCGGTTTTTACTTGTCTCGACTGGACATCATGACAAGCCAGTAGACCATATTCCTTAAAGACCCTATGCAGTTGACCAGCAATTCCTTCAAACCCTTTATAGAATCCTGCATGTACCTGAGCATCCCGTGGTAGCATTAGTACATTTGGCTTACAACTTTCCTCTTCTGAGCCAGCCAGATCGAGATACGGAGTCTTTAACAAAAAATTAATGTTTAAAAGCCAGTCTTTTGGGCCTTGTGAACTAGCAATAGAGACTATGATTTGTCCTGCAGCAGAGACAGCGACAAATCCTGCATGACCCTCATGTCGGTTTGGATCAACCAGGTTAGTCACTGACTTCACTTTTGGATGTCTAGAGCAAATACTGCAATTCAAATGTTCCATGCAGTCTGCCATTTTTGCAAAAGTAGCATAATCATGTATCAATGATCGTGTTGATTCATCGACTAAGCGTTGCTTAAGAGGTGTGCCGTGGAGTGTCTCAAATGAAAGCATCCCTAACAGCAAAAACAAAAACATCATGTTATCCGTTCGTCATATATGTCTCTCTGGTTGAGAGATCATATACCGGAAAATCATCTCACGTTTCTTCTCACACAGATATATGATTACCACGTTGTTACGGTCATCGTGTGTGTTTTTGACAGGGAGTGTAACTGTCTCTCTCACATTTCAAAGTGGCGTAAGCGGCGAAAAGGAAGATCTATTCTCAGTGACGTGACAGTTTGTTCATTGAATCTAAAAGAATTGACAACTAGGGTCGCAACGTTAGGGCTGCAAATCAAACATAGTGTGCCAAGAGCTTGGCGATTTTACGTACTATGGAGTACCAAAATAATTGAAATGTGCCTCAAAATTTAACTCATAGGGAGGTACTTTGTTGTTGCATAGTGTACTCTCTGTGGTTCCATTCGCTGGAGGACATCTTGACACCACTGGATGGTTTGAATTAATATCTCCCTTGACATAATACTCGTCAATCACATGGCGCCAGTCTCCCTGTTGTGATAGTGTTCTAGTGACTGATGACGGTTTAGGAGATAATTGGTTTAGCTCGTACAATCATGGCAATTGAAGAGGAAAACTTGAAATCAAACTTTACTTAGATCTCTATGATTCACAACTCTGTAAGATCTGTTTCTGAGGATGCGACTTGCCCATGTTGCCCAAGCTCTGTTTCCTGTGCAGATGAAACAAGGAGTAATGATCGAAACGAAACTCGTAATGTATTGAATATGTGTGCTCACCTACTCTCGGCGAACCATACGTGATCAACTCGACTTTTGTTTGTAGATGAGGTGTAAAATGAACTGCGAGAAGTGTAGCAACAGCACCTCCCAGACTATGACTAAATAAGAAAAGGTTTGGTGAATGGTTCAGTAAATGGAGACGCACCACACCAAGGCAAGACACTTACCCAAGAAACCTCACAGTAGAGATCTCATTATTGACCTTCCCAACCGTCAGATTCAAATCACTCAACGTCGAATAAATTTGATCGAATATACGATCATGAGCATCCAGAAATCCCGTATGAACTCGAGCCTTAGCAGGAGAAGCAAACGATTCGTTGGTATGTCTCACTACCATGGACTTCCATTTCGTGGTAAGGTTGACGATAAAATCTTCAAATCCATGAGAACCAGAAATGACTACAACTATTGTATCGTTCGTTCGTGCTACATAACCACCATTGCCCTAGACAAATACTGATTTGATTGTGGTTTGTTAAATGCAGATCTCCGTGATCTCACCAACATGGAGGATGATTTTGCCCTAATCTTGTCAGAAATCCCCTGAAGTACTACAGTTCCATTCAAATTCCCATCACAAAGACTGCTGGGTTTGCAGGACCAAGATCCATCGTTCGACGTCTTGACGTTCTTACAAGTTGCTATTCGTGTATAGACGAAATTATCAGCTAGCCAATCGACTATATCTGGAGACACTGGCTGTGGTTGTGATGTTGCAGAGTCATTTTTTGACTTTTTGAACAGAGAACCGCCTTTGACAGCAGAGGTCATCACCAGCAGTATGAGAAAGTACCGCAATAACGGCTTGGATATCATCCTCGAAAAGCTTTCCTTTCTCTGAAACTGAAGAGTTTGAAAGCTTCAGATCTCGAAACAACAAGCAGTTTCATGGTTTCAAAACACCGAGTTTTGTTACATTGTTTCAACTCGACTGCCGAGTTCCGTACATCTGGGGCCTTTTGAGAAGCAATTTTGTGGTTTGTTCCGATGCAAAACGGCATTCGAGACAAAGGAGCACTTGTTTGCGTCTGTATTCAGCCAACGATCAAAATATAAGATCAGACCACATGAATCTAGGCAGATATATAATCTTCACAAATTTCAAATACACGTGTCTATGTACAAACACTCTTACGGGGGAATGACACATTTTCACCTATATATAAACCTATTTTTCTCACTATTGCTGCTGCTGTTGTGGATCCCCGCTCTGCTCGTTTTCGCTCTGATCACTACCACTGGGATGGCGGTTTCTCCCATAGCTTTCATAACTATTATACTGGGCGTAGTTTCCTGGTGGTTGTTGTTGATAAAATTGCGGTGGCTGTTGTTGCATGGGCGACATGTGCTGAGAAAGGTATGTTGGCGGGAATGGCTGTGGTTGCTGTTGCTGCATAATCGGGCCTTTATAATTAGTTGGATATTGGAAGACTTGTGGTGGTGGAGGAGATGGCTGAAGGCTCCGAGGAGGTTGTCCCATACTGGGTGCTGGCCTCTGTATTGGTGGCAGTCCACCAGCACTTCCTGGTCTATTCATAGCTTCTAAATTTGCAGGCCATTCCCAATTATAGTCTGCAGGGGCCATAGGACTTGGTTTTGGACTATTCGTCAATTCCACCTCGCGAGACACCTCACGAGAGTGACTACCAGCACGATCTCCTGCATGATAATAACGTGGGCCCGAGTTGTTTTGCCATTCAATTCCCATTGGACTGGGAGACTGACTAGAGATTGATGTTATAGGTGGTAATGCCATAAAGTGCTGCGGCTGCTGCTGAATGTGCTGTTGATGTAATTGTTGATGCAGCTGTTGTTGCATATTGGGATGTATAGAATGCTGCTGTTGTTGTTGTTGTTGGATATTATTATTATTATTGTTACTCTGTACCTCACCACCATACTGTTGTTGAAGTTGTGGCGGATGACTTGATGGATTTGGCGAAGGTTGGGTTGAATGGGGAGCTGAAGTAGGAGTTGAAGTTATCGGTGTATGAGGCGGATGTGCTACTGGCGGCATGTGCTGTTGCTGTTGCAGTTGATGAGGCTGATTGGTGGGTGGCACAGACATACGCTGCTCTTGATATACATTTTGCGGTTGTTGTGGTGGTGGTGGATATGATGAGGGATAGGGAGATTGAGTCATACGGCCGTTATGGTTTGGTGGACTGAGAGGTCGTGGTGATTGGGCGATCTGCGGTGTTGTATATGGCTGTGGCATTACCCACGTATGATTATCGGCATGGACGGCCACTGGCTTGATGATACGAGCTGGAGTAGATTTGGTGGTTTCTTCGAATTCGTCCGTGTCCATTTCATTTATTGGAGTAGATCGTCCTGTACTAATCACAGACTCCTTCAAGTCGTCTACCGTTATGGATGCTGCACTTTCATCATCTTCCTTTTTCCTTCCTTTGCCACGTCGTGGTCGTGTCTGTTTTGAGGCAGGCTGAGTAAAGTCTTGCTGTATGTAATTCTTGCACAGATTTGCGTTTGGCATTTCTTGAATGAGTTTAGCTATCGTTGATTGCGTAAATCCAAAATAATCTGGTCCCGATACTGAATTTGTATGTTCTTTTTGTCGTGCAGCATTCACAGCTAAAGGAATGATTTCTGTCAGCGACATTTGCTGACACGTTTCGAGTCTCAGCAGGAGCACCAAAGCCCACAAAAATCACAGGGACACAAAGTAATTTATCACGTCTGACATACCCTTCATGACAGCAGTCCATACTCCAGTTGGCGAGACTGCAACAAATTGTCTATCTGGTGCGTCTTCAGCAACGACCTGAAATCTCGGCCCGTCTCCACCATCTACTACAGAGGAAGTATATACAGTTTGCTTTTCAGGGTCTACCATACTAGCGTAACCCCTTGACGAGGTGAATCCGACAGGGAATATGTATCTCTCATTATGAAAGTTGTCCCGATCGAACACAATGGTACCTAGAGCATGTACCGTTACGACACCAGCTTGAATAGGCAGTATAACGTGCCCCTGATCATCAAAGTTGACTACTTGAATTTTCCTCGATCTAGATTGAGCAGGAGCACGTGGCTTTTTGGCAGCAGGAGTCCTTTTTGGTGCAGCACCTTTCGACGAGGTTGTCTTTCTTTTTCTAGTAGTAGGCGGTATGGCTGCTGCATCGGACACTGGCCCTTCAGTTAAAGTATTTTGAGGGACGAGGGCCGGTTGACTGTAAGGTTCTGGTGCAGGTTTTTGTCGCGCGGATCGAGGTTTTTGAACAGGAATTGCAAGCTCTTCATCTGGGGTTGAATCAGCAATGTTATAATGGTGATCATAGCATCAATTTGTTTGTTGAAGAAGAGATTGCATACCTTCCATGTCCTGATCAGAACCTTGACTCGATTCGTCACTCTGGGATTCTTGTTCTGAGGCTGTGACAGGCTCGTAGACAGACAAGCGGTCCAGGAGGGAGCTAAATATACAGAAAAAGAGCATAAGTACCATGTGTTTCCAGGGTAAGGTGGTTTGGTGTCGCTGGACTTGCTTGTTTTCGTGTTTCAGCTCAGACATCTTTGCCTTGCTCCTTTGTAGCCTTTCGGTCAAATCGTCATTTGCCTAGAATAATAAAGAAGGGGGGAATTGGGAGTCAGTCGATCGAAGTGATTCATCAATGATGTTTGTAGATGAATGTAAAGTGATGGTGGTGGTGATGAGGGGTAGTCTAATAAACAACAGGAACGTGAAATCTGCTCGTTTTCATTACCTGTAGGAGCTCCTTCATTCTCTTCTTGAGGAGCTTGTACTTCTCTTCAGATGGAGAGAACGCAGAGAGAGGCGGAAGTGCAGCATTGTAGTCCATGATGCAATGGATATACCACGCAATCGAGCTTACAGCTAGCGCTTTGTTTCTCTTCCTTCAACAAAAACGATGAATGACTGTGATTCCATGTGGTCTCATCAATGCCATTATGGACCCGTCCAATTTTTCTGCAGATTTTTTTACGTGTCAAAGAAGCCATTTTCTACTATTCATTTATATATTTTACACGTACTAGAGCATTCCGATTGGCTATTTTCCAGGGAACCTGGAATCACTTGAATGTTGGACCAGCTTTTTTGTTTCTTCAGTTGATAACCTTGCATTAACAGAACGACGTGAAAGGAACGAGACGGATGGATGCATGCATCCATTCATCTTTTGGTTCAGGTTATATGTTAGGCGCAAGAAGAATCACACGTAGCTTTCAAGATCTGCCAGAAATTCCTAGTTTTCGGCTAGACCCGTGGTTGCGACATATATCCATGCAGTTGTTTACATGTTCGAGCATTAAAACAATAGCTTTATTGAGCTTTATTGTATGCGCTGCACCGTGGATGGATGGATGGTGGTGGAAATGTAACTTTTTTTTAGTATTGTTTTAGTGGGTGTGTCGCAATAGAAACTCATTCCATACAAGTGTCGGCGTGCTTCGCTGTATGTGTCGTTCTAGTCTTATGTAGGCCTTCGATGGCTTCGTTGTGAGAGCGAGGCGATTCCAAACATCCAACCCATGCATTTCACACTACACGCACTTCAGAGGCCGAGTACACTGAATTCAGAGCATCATATGGTGCATTGGTTTATTGAACGAGCAGACTTCTAGTAACATAAACAAAGAACCCGTTTGCTGCCCCCATCTTTTGGTTTCCATCACAGCGTATTAACCATCAACGTCGGATTCCTAGACCTAGCACATCAGTCTCTCCAACCAGTACTTTAGGGTTGCCGCGCGTCCTAGGATGGAAAACGTGTGATGAAAGAAAATCAAGCTTTTGGGCCACCCTTTTCTTCCATCGCTACGAGATACCAAAGCAAAGACAAGGAATTTCCCGATTGAGCCTGGCTCCTATTGTGCAGGTTGAGAGGGTTAGAGCTAGCTTATGGTATGGTATCTCAGTCAAGCTATGCACAATGTGCATCAATTTCAGACAGTGGTTTTGATGTCGATCAGAGATTGTTCACTATATTGACATCGTCACCGAGGTAATCTCCGTTGTCCCTATTCGGTTTCTAATCATTTCGACCCAGAATCCAATATGATGCATCCTTTTGTATTGTCGACGATACATTGAAGAAAAAAAGGTCAAACTTACGCTAATGCTGATCTTGGAGCGAGAGAGATTCCATCAAGCAACGGATACCGGCCATCTAGAACGAAGTTCAGGTCACCACACAGTAAGAGCCTCGTCTCTCCTCCTTTCTCTCATTCTGGCGTGAGTTGAATGTTGATGGTGTTTGGAAGAAAGAAAACACACCCCCACTGCAGAAACAAAAAAAATCAAATAATGGGATTCAGCAATTTGACAAGTGATGCCGGCCTCAAAGGTCTCGATGCCTTCTTAGAAGACCACTCATATATTGATGGGTAAGTCTCCCTTTATTTTCAATCCAGCTTGCTAGCATTTTGGATGAAAAAAAAATATTATTGTCGACTTGGGGAAGAAAACATGCACCAGTATGGATGGTTTTGGCTTAAAATGTAATATTTCAAATCAGTCATCCATCCATCACTGCATTGTTACCATACCCTTGCAGTGCCATGACAATAATTCGGGAAATGAAGAAAAACTTATTGGTCCGTGTTTATGAACATTCAGCAGGCTTAAGACACCTGTATTAACCCAAGATTATTACCTTGTAACCAACTCTGATCCCATCATCTCACTGTTATTGTCTATTGACTGCTCTGCCAAGTGCTGATGCATTATGTTAAAGTATCAAACCAAACTTGACACCTTATGCAAGCACTAACCGTCATCACTCTCTATCTCCACCTTATATCCACTCATCTCCAAAGCTATGCCCCATCACAAGCAGACACTGCCGTCTTTGAAGAAGTCAAAACAAAACCAAGTGAAGACAAATACCCACACGCTGCCCGGTGGTACCGACACATCGACTCTTTCGGAAAGGCTTCTTCAACGTACGTGTCGTGGAACGTACTTGTATATAATGCACATGGTGCACAGTACAAACCCAGTATACAACGCAATACTTACCTTTCACACTTGACCACTTTAGCTTCCCTGGTACTAAAAAAGCTGCTTCATCATATGGCCCTGCCGGTGCTGCCGTGACAAACGGTACCGCCTCAGCTGCTCCTGCTGCAAAGGCTGCTCCAACTCCCGCAAAACCTGCTCCTGCCGCCGCTGCAAAACCTGCAGATGACGACGATGTCGACTTGTTTGGCTCGGATGACGAAGAAGAAGATGCTGAAGCTGAACGTATCAAACAAGAGCGATTAGCTGAATACAATGCAAAGAAGGCTGCCAGTAAGTTTGAATTGTCTTGTCGCTTGTTCTTTTTTCTTGTCGTCTTTGTGTTTTTGTTTTTGGAATTCCTATGAGGAAAACTGGCATTTGTCTGCGAGCATGAATGCTCGAGGATGTAAAACTTCCGAGCTACCTAAATAATCAATACTGAGGGTTTCAAAGCCAAAACACACATATTGAGAATTGTCTGCTTGAATCACTCATGTTGAGAATCAACCAGTCTAACTGAATTATTTAAATTCTAGAACCAAAGGTTGCTGCCAAATCCATGGTCATCTTGGATGTGAAACCATGGGACGATGAAACTGGTATGTATTGTGATATGATTTCATTCCATCACAGCAACTTTCAACCATCTGTTCATGCAAACTCATTTCTCATTCCTTACTATAGACATGAAGGCTATGGAAGTCGGTGTTCGTGCCATCGTGATGGACGGATTGATTTGGGGTACTTCCAAACTTGTCCCTGTTGCTCACGGCATTAAAAAATTGCAAATTACTTGCGTCGTTGAGGACGACAAGGTCTCTGTGGATGATTTGAGTGAAAAGATTCAAGAGATGGAAGACATTGTGCAAAGTGTCGACGTGGTATGTGTCTTGTTTTGATGTGATGTGAAGATTTGTGTCTGGTTTGTCATGATATCCCTAACTTTGGTTTAATCGACTAGGCTGCCTTCAACAAACTATAAGAGTCATGTCTTTTGCTTTGGAATTGTATCAAAAATAGAACATATATCTTAAATCGTCAAACACTGCTTTTTCCTTATTTCGAATTTTACTTTTGTCGAAAACCAACTACAATTGTCTTCACAAGACTTTTTGAGAAAACAAACCTTCGAAACACGTCGACCGATTACTCTCTGCCCCTTTAGTTTTTATTCATGGTGCCGTGGTTCCATGGGATTTTTCAAACTCCGACTTTGTTCGTCACGACAAATATCGTGCCTATAAAAACTTTGTGAATCTATCTTCACCACCAACAAAAAAGCAAAAAAACGATGTCTACGGTATCCAAGAATGACTGGGATTCGAAGGTCTATCAAACAAATGCCGGGTGAGGAGCTTTGCACACATTCAATTATCAGTTACCAATTCGTCGCAAACGCAACTTTCAGGTCAAACCTCCAACATATTCGTGCAGAACTAACTTTCATTCCATTTTTCAATAGTTTCGTGCCATTGCTAACCAGTGATCTGCTAACTCTTGCAAAAATCCAACCTGGCGAGAGTATTTTTGATCTTGGATGTGGTGGTATGTTGTTTTCGCATCCCTTGATCAACTTTATTTTATACAAGGTCATTTTCTTATTATCCATTGTATTCTTGCACTAGATGGAATCTTGACCGTGAAATTGATCACCGACTACAAGGCTTCCAAAGTCTTGGGTGTTGATTCTGCTGCATCGATGATTGAGAAGGCTCAACAATTGAGCAACTCTCAGTCGTTGAAGAATATTGAATGGGGAGTCCATGATTGTCAGGATCTCGAAGCCAGCGGCTACGTGGCAGAAGGTCAAAAGTTTGATGTTGTCTTTTCCAACGCTGGTAAGATCTAGTTTGGTTGATGTTGATCAAGTCGAACGTTGGAAGACAGTATCAACGCAGTATCTAGTCTGCTTGAACCTTGAGACGCTTGTACAACACGCTTCTATACCACCTCTGACATACTGCTTCTTTTTGCACGGTTATAGCTATACATTGGATGAAGTCTAATCCTGCCGGCCCACCACGAGGTGCTTTTGCATTGCTGAAACCTGGTGGAAGATTTGTTGCTGAGTTGGGAGGCTTCACGAACGTTGGTGAGTTTCAACTTGAGTATCACATTTTGTCGAACTCTATAATGCTTACACTTTTAATAGCTTCAATCCACTCTGCTCTGATTGCAGCTGTGAAACGTCGTGGCCAAGACGGCGAATCCCTTTCACCGTGGTATTACCCCTCGTAAGACGATCATTGTTTTCAACATTTTTGTTGTTGCTTGAAACTGATACATTTGTCCATCGTAACTTAGTGTCGGAGCATACGCCAAACTCCTAAAGGATGCTGGATTTGAAGTCGAGACTATTGGTCTCTTTCCACGACCAACCGACCTTCCAACAAATGTTCGAGGCTGGTTAAATACCTTTGTTGCTTCTGGTAGCTTTATGACTCCATTCAGGTAACTGAACGAACGCTAATACTCATACGATATCATATCTGACAATCACATACATCCCCGTGTCTAGTCCTCAAGAACGCGAAGAGATCCTGAACGAGGTGGTAGATCAATTGAAACCTGTCCTTTGTGATGAGACTGGGCATTGGATTGCAGACTATGTCCGCTTGAGGTTTTCGGCTCGTAAACCACTGTAGAGGGATGATAATCTCGTAGAATGTGCATGAATAATAGAGCGTCGATCAACTCATTTTTCAAATTAGAGTGTTTGTGGTTGTTGCAAAAGTAGATTGGAGAAACACAGGATTGACAGGTAAGCGATCGCAGCAAAAAACAAGACAGGACATGAGTCATCGTTCATTTTCTGCAAAGAAGCATTCCGAATCATGAAAGGTTGATTCCTTGCCAGGTTGATTTCTTTCGCGTCAGAAGTAACGTCTTTGGCTCTCAGGCAGCAGACTTTGATATGCAAACCATTTCTATATAATAAAGCTAGACATTTGCGTGCTACTTTTTGCGAGCAATCATTCCTTTCATCATATCAAATGAATTGCCATCAGGTTGTAATAAATACTCCGCATCGTTTTCACCAACACATTTCAAGAAGCCGGAGGGATCAATGCCAACGATGGTAGCTTGGGCATTTTTGTGGTCCTCCAAGACGACTGGAACATTGCTGCAATGTACAAGAATGATTGGTAAGACAACCACAGTTTGACCGTTAAACACGAAAGAACGATTACCTGTGAAGCCAAACATTGTAATAGCGAGGCAAAAAGGGCTCAAAGGCGAACTTCCATTTTTTCGTATCCTTTCCAGCTTCCTCCATCTCACGATAGTAGCATTCAAAAGTAGTCAAGAGCTGAGCCAAGACTCCTTCCAAAGTCATTTCAGGAAGTCGCAGACTCATGGTAGCATTGTAGGCTTGAATGAGTTCATTGAGAGATGTTATTGGTGGTGGATTTGCGACATTGACACCACATCCGATCACCAAGGAAAACACCCCATCGTCGTAGAAGGAGGTGACTAGTACACCGCCAATCTTTTTCAATCCATCGGGACCAGGTTTAAGCTGTGCATATATATCATTTGGCCATTTCAAATGAATTGGAAGATTCTAAAGTTGACGATTTGTTAGAAAATGTGGCATATTGTCTATATTGGTTTGCTCACTTCGTAACCAGGATTGGATTTGATTGCATCCACTGCAGCCAGAGCCATCAGATATCCTATGAATATGACTGACGACTCATCACGATGTTCCACTTTCAATGAGAGATGCAAGCACCCTTTAGAGGAAATCCAAGCATTTCCTCCTCGACCTGTAAGCGTACGGTGATTTTGTTCAGTGGATGTATGCCAGAGATAAGTAACAGCTTCCCACCTCTTCCAGCGTTTTGATGAGACGCTATGGCGGCCAATCCACTTGGCAAACCCTTTGAGAATTTAAAGTTCCTAAAAGGCAAATTCAGGGAATAAGCGACACCATTTTTGCAAATCCACCCACCGCGGTAATAAACAACTCACTTGTCGAGCATTGTCTGGGTTGAAGTGACGACTTCCGCATACATGACAGTAGATCCAAACATCAGCTCGGCTTCCAATGCAAGACCCTTCTTTTCTGCATCACCTTGTGCTATAGCCAACAGGTCGTAGTACTTAGGTAGATTGAATCGTGGAGTGTCGGAAGGCACAGGATAGTCTCCAGCATCATGTAGAGATACGTTCAGTGATATTTTAGCTTCTTCTCCACGTTTACTGTTTTGTGGTGCAGAAGCCGAATTTTTATATATGTTGAATACATTTACATCATCTTCGAGGATTTTCATGGATGATTCACCAATGAGAGCATCGGTGACGCTGTTTGCGAGTGTCTGAGTCTTCCGGGTGTTTCCAGGTCCGAAACAAACATGTAACTCAGACAGTGGGGGGCCTGCAGACGCATCATCATGTCCTTGTGCCGTCGGCTTCAACTCGTCAAGGTGTAGACCTAGCTCTGTCCCTAGTATATATCGAACCAATTCTCGTCGAGATTGTTCAGATGCGTCTGAATATGGTGACTTTATGGCAGATACGCTGTATTCGAAATGCGGACCTGATAAGACTGCTTGACCACGTCCAACCATGCACGATACGATTGCTGGTAGTTTCCTCGAAGTAGATTTGTGTGACTGGTCATCATACCACGCTAGGACTCGATTATGTTCAGGCACTACATCCACACCGTCAACACCCTCAGCCAATACAAAATATGGTCCTCCATTATGAAACATGGCAATACTAGGCTCTGCTGTTGGTGATGACAGAGTTACAGAGGGATCCAGCTTGACGTTGGCAACTCTAGCACCCATCTCAGAATTATAAACGAAGCCATCGTATACCGATCCTCGTGCTATTCCCGTATAGAATTTCAAGTCCCCCTCACCGATGACCTGGTATCCCTGCCTTCCAAGCTCGAATTCCACTTTTTCGCTAGCAAGATACGACCCAGCGCAAATGCCCAGATATCTACCACCAGATTCTACATATCGTCGGATCCTAGTAGTACCTTCAAGGCCTTGCAATGCCTTGATAAATGGTAGATCTCTGTCTCCAGCGACTACAAGTAGAGCTGTGGATGGCTCCCAAGGTTCAGTCTGAACAGTTTTTGCATCTACTACCTTGACATCGTATGAAGCTGATAGGTTTTCCTTCAAAGCTCGTAAGATATGATCTATAGCGGTTTTTCTTGTTCCGGTAGAGTATACTAGCACATTCATAGCGTTATTTGGCTGGTTTCGGGCAAATGAGTTTTTGCTGTTTGATGATCTTACATACGGATCCAGATTATGCGAGCGCATTCGGTATATACGTGAACTGTAAACTGACTTAATTGAGTGAGTTTTCGCACAGGGCAGATAATAGGCGGTGACGCTGTGGATGAGTTGCGCAAAAAGTAATAGGACCGAATGAGATTTGAACTCATGACCTAGCGCTGACTTGGCATTACTGCAGGCGCTCGCTCTGCTATTAACGATGAAGAGGTAGGATTAATGATAATCCTGTGATGAGTTCCGAGCATGTGTAGAACGTACCCACTGAGCTACCGATCCGTGGCCTTTACAGAAATTCTGAGGCCAGGAGGACAAGTGAGGCTCACTAAATGAGCCAAAAAAAATTCCCCGCTAAATCTCAATAAAATGCATGATTCAGCTCAATTCTTAGTGGCAGACTTAGGTAGACGCGTACGCTGGTCCGCTGAAATGGAATTTACAGCAAAATCGCAACCGCATTTTGAATATTGCCATGCAAAAGTCTGTAAGTGGACTCTTCCTTTCACGTTTCCTGCTGACAAGCCCGAGAGATGCAATCAAGTATACCTCTTTACACGATTCCGGACTTGCATACTTCAGCATATGGATCAGGTATGCAAATCTCAGACTGATTCCTCATTCTCTATAACTGTAACTGAATTCCCAAAACATCCTAGTTCAAGTGTACATCCATGACTCCCTGATCCCTACAGCTGCCTTACGGAAGAAGCAAAATTTAGATCTTCTTGTATTGCTTTCAAAGCTGGAAATGATCCTTACACGGCAAGGATACCTGAACTATGATCAAGTACATTTGCCCATTTAAATCTTTGAGAAATACAACCTCGAGCTCATTCAAAAGAAAAATAGGATGAAGTACAGGCCGCTGCTACCATTGATGAATTATCTCGCCTTGCCTTGCAACACAACTTTCGACTGTTGGTACGTGATCGTGAATATTATTATTATTTCGGCTTCACACGATTGCCCATACCCACGAAGCCGACTTCTGTAGGACTTTTTGGTCCAAGAACAGCTGGTGAATGTGTTTCCAAAGTCGGCCAGGCGGCTAGGTCTACCAGAAAACACTGCAGAACGAGTCGACATTCGCAGTACGTACAGAGAAACCAACCTTCGTCTCTCGATGAATGTGTGAATGGAGGGTTTAATTCTCCGTTGACTAGATTATCTCTATCAAGTCAATCAACTAAACCAAATGGTGGCTATGGCTCTTCAACTTCACGTCGATGTTAATTTGCAAAACCACAAGTACATTGCCCACCAACTCGCACTTCTCTACGTGAGTGACATCGCAAAATGAAGCCGAGTTGCTTCTATTTCTTTAGAATTGTGTTCAATAAGGGTGAAGAAGGCTGTTGACTAAAATCATCAAGCCGATCCACTTTTAGCAATGTCTCAACTTGGTCGGAGAGCCATTCAACAAATTTCAAGCAAACATTCAACAAGAATTTGATTCCATCAAGGCTATCACTTCATCAGCCACAGATGATGCTCCTCAGCTCTCAGAACATCAAAAACAGTGGTATGTCAGTCAATCAATTAGCTCCCACGCGCCACGACAACCAGGGATACTATTCTGAACCTCATTTCTCTACATACTCCACTAGGCTATCGAGTCTTACATCAGAAATTGTAAATGCAGCTCTTTACACCAACAGAAGGTCAATTCTACCAAAGCCCGTCGAAACCTTATTGTCTTAGCTCAGAAGTGCCTCGCTGAAGGGATTTAGACGAAAACATATTCTGTAAATATTGAGCTGAGACGGGTCTCTTGTAGAATACAAGTAAAGAAAAAATTTAGACGGCCGTCACGCCCATTTGGACAGTAATCCTGTGCTTTTACCTGAACCGTGTTTTATTGGTGATGGTAGCGTAAAGCAGTTGCGTAGTAGTGTTGTCAGAGATCAACAAGTTCTGAAATTTGAAAGAATCACAGCAACAGTGAACCCAAGCGCAGAAGAACACTGAGAGCATCCTGCAAAACAATCGTTCGTACATAACAAAAACGAGTTTTGTTTCCACGACGTGTATATACGTAAGGTTGTTTTAATACCAATAACTACTATATACCAACAACAGTCAACGCCATAAACTGTTTCCAGCGGCGGTCCCACTGTTAAATCCTGGAGGCAAAGAGTCCTTTACAAAGGTGCCGCCGAAATCCAATACACGAGAAGGACCAAACCCTGCTTCTGTACTCGAATTGGAATTACTAACATTATTACCACCAATGGATGTAGCACTATTAGCACCAACTACCGCACTACCTCCAGAGCCAATAACCCCAGCAGATACCTTATTAACGGATCCACCTACCGGACCTCGCTCCTCTAGCTGGTCGTAATACAGGAAGCATTCCTTCTTCACTCTTGCCCCTTGTTGAGGGTCAAAGAATACGTATATACCTCTTTCAAAGCCTGCCCCTTTCTGCAGTACCTCACTACCGGGCTCTTTTGTAAGCCAAAGCCGAAACTCTTTATGGTATCTCCAATTTCTGTTGTAGAGCTCCTGAGCCGCTGCTTCTTGTGCAGCATCTCTCGGGAGTGCGTAGAATACGTAAAATAAAGTTTCGTCAGAGAAGGAACTTATTTTCGATATAGATGGCGGTGGCGGCTGTGGTAGATTATAACACGGTGGCAGGTGGAATTGTGGCTCGGCACCGAGAGATGGTGTTTCGGAAAACGGTGACATGAAGGTTGAATATAAATTATCGGCTGACGACAGACTCAATCCTAGACTTGTCACGTCCTGACCCAAGGCTAGCATATTTAGATCTCTATCAGTCATCCGAATGACGTCCAACAATCCTAGAACCCCAAATCTCACTGTTGGATTCGGTGGATTACCCTAAATAAGTAGAGCAGAATCAGTATGGAAAAATAATTTTCCTGATAGAGCCTGTGCTCGTCGGAAGCCTCCATGAATTTGAGATCCCTCATTCAAATATTAGAATAAGCAACCCCGATGCAAGCTTCAGACTGGTGGCGTCTAACACACTCAGAAAATGGCCCGACCAAATACTACATTATTTTCGAAGGCCCACACCGACCGTCCAAGAGGAATTCGTACTTCAAACCCTTTCACATCCACATAATAAAGCTGCAAAAACTTACATTCGAGCTTAGAGAGGCCGGAGATACATTCGACGTGGTCTGTATACTATTGTTGGATATCTGGGACGATGGTACTACAGGCGTTGACGATGTACCAGCGGGTACGTTGGAAAATACAAAATCGGACGCCTTTGCAGACGCTGGAGTTGCTGGTGTTAGCGAGAAGGGAGCTCTAGAATAATCCGGGCTAGATAAGCCAAATGGTGGTCTCTTTCCCGGCGGGATTGTTGATCCAGAGAGGTCGTTAGGTAGACTTGGACCATTGGCGTTCATGGTACCATTCATTGAAGTGTTGTTCATAGATCCACCAACACTAGCACTCGCTCCACCTCTCAGCACACCATTAAAAAAGCTTGAGTCGTCTGATCTACCAGTTCTTGCCGAGTTCATAGTATTCATGTTCCTAGGGGCGTTCATGTTTACTATACTATTGATTCCAGGAGGGCCGTCTCGCCGCACAGGCATTCCAAAAGCCATGTCTCCTAACGTCGATCTACCAGTAGGATTGCTAGGAGTGAGAGCTGGAAAGTCGTCAATACCATTTACATCGACCATGTCTCGTCTGTTTATGGGAGTACTATAAAATGGTGTGCTGCTGGCAGCAGCGATGGATGAGAAGGACATTACAGATGGATTTCCAGATGGATGATCCCTGAGTGAGTTATTTGCCAGTGCAGGGAAGTCTGCCATTGAGACGCTCCCATCGCCATAACTTGATGATGGATTCTGCTGCAGTGAGCCCTGTCTGCTAGTTGACTGTTGCAGCTGCTGCTGTTGCTGTTGCTGGGCGGCTGTATAAAATAACGGGCCTCTTCCAGGCTGACTATTATAGGCCATTCAAGCACACAATCGAGTTTCGTTATTTTGGCAAAAAACAGGGATAGAGTGTGTCAATTGATTGCCAACTATTGAGCAGAAGGGGATGAGTTACATATTTCCATGGAAGTAAATTCTTGCGAATACCTATACTGTACGTCTGGCTTCTTGTCGTCGAATCCAAACAACTGTGTCAAAAGGCTTCAATGTGTTGAAAGTTGAGATTTCAAGCCGGATTTCAAGGATCTTTGTAAGTTGCAAGACCACGCCGCGTCGTGCATCAATTAGAAACTAAAAGATTCTGTTTTCTACTAGTCGTCTGTATTGCATGTTTGTAATAAATATGAACTAATGAATCTTATTGAGCACGTCGGGCAACGAATACTGGGCAAGGGGCGTGATTTACCACGTAATTCGACACGCTCCCCATCAACAGACTATATAGAGGAGTATTAGCGTCTAAACCACGTTTGTTATCAATCTCATTTCTGTCAACGTTACCTTTTGAGAGTACCACTGCCTGCATGGCCAACTACGAGGCATTCGGCACCAAAATCAGCCGCCTACAGATAAATGTATAAGCATTGATCCATTGATCTCTCTCGTGACTGCAATTTGTGTGGATGACTGTGTGACTGCAATTTTGAGTTCGAAGATCACCGTTTGGACTTCGCTGGCCGAAGACTTACCAGTTGACAAAGATCCTCTTTAGGACTCCTGCCATTTCGCACCTCAACTCTCAACGTGACTCTTGGGTGTGGGATCATTGTCGCGAGCCTCATAGCGAAATGATTGCGTATAGCTTCAGCCACGTCAACCAGAGCGCTTTTCATGTGATCTTCCGCAACATCTCCCGTGTCGATCAGCAAATACGACCCATGAGGTTTAGTTGTTACCATATGAGCCACAATAATCTAAAAAAATGTCATGAATTTGATTGCAAACAACGACCAGCACACGGCAATACCTCATCTCCATCATGAGCAACTTGGCGAACACAGAAATCAAAAGCTGCGTCTGAATATTTGGAAGAATCCACCCCGACAAGAACTGTCCGTCTTGGTTTCGACCGCAGACTAGGAACGAGTTGCGGTTAGTATGGTCGACTGATCCACCCTGCCCTTGAGAATTGATCAGAGGGTGTGCAATTGAAGTACCTGATAGAAGATATCGCCTTTTTCAGAATAGCGGCTGGAATAGATCTAGTTTAACAAGCATGTCAGCGATTGAGCAATGCCGTCCAATGTTCAAGACCTCCACCGAGCAACGAAGAATCGGAAAGCAGAATGATCTTCCGCCGACGTGAATGTACACAAGGACTCACGCTGGAGATAAAGGTATTGGCGGCACTTCATGCTCTGGTATTGACTTGTTTGAATCTTCAAATATCTGCGAAGGATCTTGGACTGGTTCGGCAAACGCGACAAAGTGATGGTCGACGACTTCCTCTTCCTTATTAGTCGGCGGCTCGAAGATCTCATCAGGCAGGTCGCTTATCGAGGCAGCAAGTTCCGATTCCATCTTGCTCTCTAGTTCTGGAACGTGTCAGAAAGAAGGCAATGGCACGTTTTTCAACACGGCGACATTTCGCGACGCGAAAAACGAGTGAATATACGTATTAATCACTGTGTTCTTTCCCATCTTAGGCTTAATATAATTACACGAGACCAATCTGAGCAAAAATATTCCTCATCAACATGAACTTGACTGACTCGATGACTACTGCAATGGACTTCTGATCTGTGGCGCACGTGAAATGTGGATAGACCTATATCAAAATGCATGTCAATCCTTGGGTCAAAATATCTGAATCCCAAAGCTATCGAGAACCCTAGACATATGTTCAACCACGATCGACACTGACCATTTTGTTCTCATTGCGATTGACTTCCACAAATTTAGTCTTGAAGTAAGTCATTGCAGCTTCAATCGTTGTTCCTAATACGAAAGGAGATGAGTCAAACTGGTCGTCAACAGTTCCAGTCATATGAATAGCTTACCTTTGTAGTCGGGCCAATATACTGCTATGGAATCATTTCCCTTGTCATTGTACTTTGCCTCTAGCAAGTCAACCTTATTGAGGAAGAGAATGACGTGGCTGGTCAAAAACCACCGACTGTTTATGATTTGATCGAACAAAGTTATGGCCTCCAGAACTCGGTTCTATTATGGTCATCATTTGGTGTTAATGTGGATGATGTGTGCTGTTAGCGTGAAAAACATTGCTCAACACTGCTGAATCGGCGAGGATTGTTTGTTGGAGCACATGCCAATACATCTAGCCAACCACATACCCGTGTTTCATCCTCTTGCAACACTTGATCGTATTCTGATACTGCAGCCAAAAATATAGTGGCTGTAACTCCTTCGAAACAGGAAACCCACTTCCGCCTCTCAGATCGTTGACCACCAACATCAATTACTTTTAGTGTCAGGTTTTCTTCTTCGAATACCAGTTCTTGATAGTAAAAAGAATGTCGTGAGTAATTGATAAAGAATAGTCACTCCAGCTTCTTTCGTGTAGAGGAGTTCTGTTTATTGCTTCGTTCTTTGCTACCCATGATATGTACGAGAGTTCAAAGACTTCAAAGCAAACAAAGGTTGTCTGCAGCCCCAATTGCGAACGATTCAATTAATATGACGCAAACGAAGTCCTCACCTTGTATACCAGTTGTCTTTATACGACATTGAAGAACATCTTGGTCGGTGGGTATAAATGAAGTTGGTGAGACACGGTCCAGCGCATCAAAAAAGCTATTATGAGAAAGAAATTTGGTTAGTCTCATCGTTCGAATTATCAAGCGATTATAATCATGTTTGAAAGAACGTTGACTCACTATTTCGCAGAGTCATGTAATTGGTATTCGTTAGAACGAGAGTAACAGATTTGTACGCCAGTATCCTTCCACAGAGATTTGATTACTTGCACTATGGTGGGGGTGAGGCCTTCTCCTTTCTGTACGGATTCGGCCAGTGTTGTTCTGTGGGGTTTACATTCTTCACTTCCGTATTCTATCGACAGTTTCTCCATAGCATCACAAATGTTGAGCTAGGAATGGTGAATTCGTTCAATTTATGTATTTACTGTAGTAATCACGTATGAAAACCATACCATGTTTGCAATCATGTTGTCGGCAATGACACGCTAGTTGAGACGAAATGTTATGTCAGGAAGCGATATAAAAATTTGGAGGAATGGTATGCACCTACCTTTAATTGCTTTCTTTCTGTGTCTCCGAATGTTGGTTCACCATTCCGAGTATGCAGCAGTCGCTAAATGAAAACGTGTTTGAATATTTTTGGGCAAGGGATGAAAACCCCAGATGGGTAATAAGCGATCGCTGGTAGAATGAGGAGGCAAAATTACCATTTGTTTCAGCACAGTCGTTTTGCCAGCCTCTCCGGCACCCAGAAGCAGCACTTTAGCTTCACGTTTTTTCTGCTCTTTTGGTATGCAATAGGTAGCGATGATAGTAGTAGTCATAATTTCAGAGAAATAGGGTTTATGAGATAGGTAATAGAAAGTGTCATAATTAGCATACTTCAGATTTTTCAAAGACCTTTTTTCAAAAGCTGGGAATGTGAATTTACCTTTGGAGCGTTCGATTATATCATTGATTTCCTTATCCCTTTTTGCAGCTTCCAAACTCTCGACAGAGACAGCACAACCCATTATTGGCCGTGTCTCGCTTGTTGGCCGTGTCTCGTCGAAACACGTCTCGAAAATGATCAGAAAATTGCAAAGTTGTGGTTTTCAAACAATTAGACCCTAATAAGGTTGTCCCAATCAGAAGATAGGGAGAAAACTGTGTGGTTCGGCTCCAACCGTGATGCATTATTGGAACAGATAATGAGTGTATCATGTAAAATCGCTCGCCCTGGGCGGGGGCGATCAGCGTACTGGGTGAATTGGATGATCGTGAATATTGGAATCTTAGCCTTTGCTCTCAAGCATTACGGAAGAACACAATTCGAACTCGACATTCGTCGCATCTCGAGACCTTGAGCATATCTTAGAAGTGTAGATTAAATTCTAGGTTTGAGCAGAGACACAAAATAGAGACGACGATTTAAGGCGACAGTCATTAAAAAGCGTTTAGAGTTTAGCACCACCGAGCTTGCCGACTCTCAACTTGTCTCCATATTCCTTGAGGACCTTTTCGGCCTTGTGGAAGTTGTGGAACTAGATAAGAAGAGGCGTGACGTGAGCAAGAAGTTTTTGAACGATAGGTTCCAAGGGTTGATTCAATTAGACGAGTACAACAAAGACAGCCATGAAATGGGTTGGATTGCCCGAATTGTCCATTTGAGGACATGCTCCAGATGCTCCTTTACACAAAACAGGTGTGTGCCACCACGTAAACAGTTTTTCAGAACGTCCATCCAACAACATAAATCATCACTTGCTCATCCCTCAGCGATAAGTCGCAGACACTGATTTCGAATTCAAGCACCCCGCGCTTCATCCCATGAAGAATATTTTGGCAAACTGTTGATTTACACACCTGCTTTGAAGCGTCCTTTCCTATAAGAAGCGACAGGAATCGGGTTATTATGGCGAGGCGAGAACAGGGACAATGCATATTGGTTCGAAAGATACGACAAGTTTGGTAATGGCAGTCGGTGTTCTCCAACAGATTTTTTTTTCTCCAATGCTCGTTTTGAAAATTCGAACTGTACATACCAGCGACACGGAGCAAGACCTTCTTGCCTCCAGGGTGTTCGTCAGAGAAGCTGGTTACGTTGTAGACGTTGCCGTCGATAATGATGAAGGCATCGGTTTCCTATGTTTCAGTGGGTAAGATATCTTTCCTTCTCTTTAGCACAACAGAGACAGGATACCTTGTTGTGAGCAGCAACTTCAGCGACAGTGAATACTTTGGACATGGCTATTGCGTTAGAATGGGCTGGTGGCGGTTAGTTACAGTTAGTTTTGAGTGTTGCTGATTGTGCGAGTTGTGCTATTCGTGGATGATGACGTAAACTCGGAAAATATTTCTGGCTCTTACAGCTCGTGCTTTTTCGTGCTGATGCAAGCAATCTTTTGAACTATTTGGCTATTAATCTCCCTCTCTTCTATCTTGTGATCGTGTCTTTTGTCTCATGAGGGGCACTCACCGTAGAAGCAGACACGAACCAATTTTTCATCCTATTATCTCCCCCTTTGAAACTGGCGTCTTTCCACCGCCGGCTCCCGTACGCTTGTCGAAGCAATCTCTGCCAAATTCATCATCTACCCTGTCTTCACGAGATAATCTACAAAACAAATCATCTTCCCCTTTCGAGCTCACTCTACAACTACCTTCTGGACACGATCTTTACCTGAATAATCTCAACCATTCTCACAATGTTAACAATTCACGTCGTCTGGAACTCATAAACAAGAAATGGGATGAGATCTGTGCGTTGCGTCGTCAAAACAGTATCTCAAGCTCAACTCGAGAAAGCATAACGAGCTCGAGAAGCAAAGGGAGCATCGGTACAAATGGAAGTCGACGGAGAACTCCAAAGGACGCGTCCAGAAGACAACACCGAAAAATCTCTCCAGAAGGAATGGCAGCACCGAGAAATGCAAGGTTTTCAGACAATGTCATTTTCAGAACTGTGAGCATCGTCAGTATAGAGACTTTTCGAACCACTACTACTACATCTCAAACGGATGAAACCACGTCTATTGAAATTGAGACCACCAGGCAAGTCTGCGATGCTTGAACAGACAGAAATGGAAATCTGAATATTTTCTTTCTACATAGGTGCAATCGACGATTTGACGATCAAAGAGCTTCGATACCTATAAGGAGAAGACCATCCCAAAATCAGTCGGCACAAACTGTGGTAATCCAATATTCCCCCATCACACAACTCCCTAGCCCTTATCTAAGTCAACAACGCCGCCCTCCAAGAGCACCGAGATCCGCCACGCGATCAAAGCGTGTTATTCACGATATTCAGGACTCTGTTGCCAAGAACGAAGTCGCTGGAGGAGCACTTGAGTATACACCGGCTATACGCGATTCGTCAGAGACTATAGTAGAAGTAGAGACCGCACCGGAACCGAGCGTAGCTGTCAGCGATAAGGAAGCACCGCCGCTAGAGCGGCACGGATTTGGCAAAATAGTCGCAGCCTTGACTGGCCTCTTTGGACGGGCTAATAGAAGATAAAAAGATTATAATTACAGTTGTTGGAAATATTAATAGAATTGCATTTAGAGTACAAAGTATCATATTTGTCTGGTTGTCGCGTGGATTTGCCCTTTCCTAGTTTACCGTATCTCCTAAGGCAGCTTTTCAGAGGGACGAGCAGTCCGTCGATAGAGCCACGCCAGTATGTACGTATTATAGCAGAAGACGGTTCTCACTGTTTAAATCCATTTCGCCAATCGAAACTCATTGCTCAAAACACAACCATCATTTTCAGGTCAAACATATTCACTAAGCGGCTTACGAAAGAGCTGCGAGATCTGCAGGCAAATCCACCAGCAGGAATACGGATTGCCAGTGCAGATGACGACTTGAGAGTGTATGTTGCAATGGAGTTTAGAACATTTGTGCATTAAGCGAGATTGACATGTTTTGGTTCTGAAAGGTGGAAGATCATACTAGAGGGCACGGGAGGATCAGTCTATCAAGGAGAAGTCTTCAAGTTACAAGTAATTCCACTTCTTGCCTCAAGGCTTACGACGGTTGTGTGAGTGCTGAACTACTTTGTCCTCCTGTAGTTCAAGTTTGGTGCAAATTACCCATTGGAATCGCCAGAAGTAGGTTATTATTGACGACATATTGCATAAAATGTATCGAATTCCGTCTTTTTGACGCTGTCGCTCGCTTGAATAGGTCATATTCATTGAGAACGTCCCGATTCATCCTCGTGAGTAATTGCAGACCTAATATGCCTCTGCCTTGCTAACATACATTCACTCTAGATATATATAGCAATGGACACATATGCCTCTCGATCCTGTATGATCAATGGAGCCCAGCTTTGACGATATCGTCAGTTTGTTTGTCGATACTTTCAATGTTGAGCTCAGCAAAGAAGAAGGCAAGTTCAATACCGTCCATTGTCGAATTATGTTACCAGACTTATATGTCCATATATTGAAGAATCAGAAAGCGCCTTGCTAAATTATACAACTTACTAGGAGCGACCTCCAGACAATTCGACATATGTTTTCAGGGTCAAAAACACGAGCCCGAAAGACACGGCTTGGGTATTTCATGGTGAGTTCGTGTGCTGCTGATGCCATTGATCCTTGTAGAAGATTGGGTTGATTTTGAGTGTGGTTGTTATCTTGCTTGGATCTGAATCAAGCGCTTATTCCTCAATCTCTCTTCTCAGATGACAAGATATAGTACATACACGTATAATGTAGATTTGGCACAATATTCTCATTTTTTGCATACATTAAACTCTCTTTTGTAAATCCTCGTTGTTTGCGATCGATCTACCCAACCAGCCACACGAGAAATGAGGTGGAGTAGCAAGACCACAAGGTCTCTCTCTGAGCCCATCATGGCTATTCTCGATGCTCAGCGTGGGATGTCCTCTGTGAAGATAACAAGAGCTTGTTGCATCCAAGCTCCATCAAGACATTCGAGGCCCATCCAACACGGTGTGTTGATGTTCTCTTCAGATTCAATAGCATTTAAATGCATTATTGTCTTTTGCCGTGTTGTTTTCGGCCTTGATCTCTGTGCAATAGACTGACATCTTTCAAAAAAAAAGGTCTTCTAAAAACATCTTTCGGATTGCCTAGCCCCAAACAACAACAAAAGGTAAGGAGAAGTCGCCATTTTATGCTCGTACCATCTTCTGACACCAGTTTCCATTCTTTACAGAGATGTTTTCACTCTACGGGTAACTAGACTGTGTTTCAACGTGTCTTCTTTCGCAATGGCCTCAACTGAAGTTTTCATTTTCGCTAGTGATGAGACGTGCTGCCAAACGAGACGCATACGATATATTAGGTGTAAATAAATCTGCCTCCGCTTCAGATATCAAAAAGGCCTACTATCAGGCTGCCAAACAATACCATCCAGACACAAACAAGGAAGCTTCTGCAAAGGAAAAGTTTGTAGAAATCCAAGAAGCTTACGAAATGCTATCGGATGACCAGAAAAGAGCTGCGTATGATCAATTTGGCTATAGTGGTGGGTTTATAATACCGATTCAAACAATTCACCCAAGCAATTATTGAAAATCGTCCAATGAACAATTCGAATTACATCTAGGTACTCAACAAGGTCCAACTGGAGCAGAAGGTTTCCAGGGTGGAGGCTTTCCAGGTGGATTTCCAGGAGGATCAGGCGCATTCAGCCAAGAGGATTTATTCGAGCAACTATTTCGAGGGTTTGGTGGATCTGGAGGACGAAGGCAAACCAATCCATTCGGCTTTGGCTATGGATCTGCTTCAGCCAGTCAAATCGGTGATGACATAACAGAAAGCATGTCGGTCTCATTTATGGAGGCTGCTAAAGGTGCTTCCAAACCATTATCATATACATCTATAATGAAGTGTGGGGAATGTACCGGATCAGGTCTGAGGCCTGGGCAAAAGAAGAGAACATGCGAGACTTGTGGTGGAACAGGGTCAAATGTATTTGTGCAGGGAGCATTCCGAATGGCTACTACTTGCTCGACGTGTGGTGGAAGTGGAAGCTATGTACCCAACTCTGCTCGGTGTCGTAAATGCTCTGGAAAGGGGGTCGTTCAGGAATCGAGAACTGTTCAAGTAAATATTCCAGCAGGTATGCTCTTGTCTGTCAGTATTCCGCTTCTGTTCGACGAGTCATGATGAGGATTTAATATATTTTTGTCGCAAATTTCATACCCTCGAATTAGAGACTAACGCTTTCAAAAAACGCAGGCGTGGACCACGGCATGAAGGTGCGACTGGCTCGACAGGGTCACGCACCAATAGAAAGTGACGGTCCTCCTGGAGACCTGTATGTACAGTTGATTGTAACACCCCATCCACAATTCAAACGAGATGGATCCGATATTCTCACCACCGTAAATATTCCCTTATCTGTCGCTCTACTCGGAGGCAAAGTGACTGTACCCACTATCGATGGTGACATAGAAATGAACCTTCCACCGGGCCTGCAGCCAGATGAGAAGAAAGTCTTGACGAAGAAGGGAGTGGTACGAGTTGGTAGGCCAGATGGAGCTAGAGGTGATGAATGGATTACATTTAAAATAGGAATACCAAAGACATTGACGGATGCACAACGTCGTCTCATAGCAACTGCTTTTGGTTCGTCTGATCCACCAGAATCATCATCGTCGTCGTCAACGTCATCGTCGAGTAGTAAATCGTCAAACCCTTCATCAACGGCATCGTCGAGCTCAAGCACAAAGAACGAAAGTACGAGTCCCGATTCTTCAAAAACTGATAATACAGAGTCTGCAACAAAGAGCTCCATCTTCACAAAGATAAAACGAGGCTTGGGAGTGACAGAGTAACGACTATAATATTGGAAATATAGACTTGTTTCTTTTATAAACAACATTTGTTGCATGACTTTTTCCATTTGCAGAACATTATTCACATAAAATGTCCAGTAAATTTTCAACTCCTTTTCAACTACAGTTTTTGAATCAGAATTGATGTTGCAGCCCCGCCACCATTGCCTAGTGTAAACAAAAAGTCGTCAAATACCAAAATAGTAAGACTTTTTTAAAAATTTACATACATATGGCAGCACCGCCGATTTGACCCTACATAAAACACGAGTGTATAAGGTAAAGTATTGCAGGGGAAACTTTACGCCAAGCGAGACAATCAGACAGTCGATGAACTTACAGAAGACAAAGCATGCACGAGTGAAACAACGATACGTGCGCCTGAAGCTCCTATTGGATGTCCCAGCGCAACTCCACCACCACGAGCATTGACCTTGGATGGATCCAACTTCATAATCTGCAACAATGGAAATGGTTTAGCACCCAGCCGAATTGTACAATCACAAGAAACCCAGTATACCTTTTCATTTGCTCGAATCACAACACTGAAAGCTTCATTGATTTCCCAAAGATTGACATCCGAGACCTGAAGACCAGCACGTTTGAGTGCAATTGGAATGGCGAGCGATGGTGCAATTGTAAACAATTTGGGGCTTGTAGCGGCATCAGCAAACGACAAGATTCGAGCAAGTGGAGTCACATTTAGTTCCTTGTAGAATTATAGTTGAGTGTTTTCGTGGGTTGGAACGATCGTGTAAAGAAATTGTTGGATTTAATCTGCACGGTAGGTACCTTGGCTTTCGATGCAGTCATCAACACTAGTGCTGCTGCACCGTCATTGATTTTGGAAGAGTTGGCAGCTGTCACAGAGCCTAGTTGATTTTTAGAGGTTCAGCATCATTGATGTATCACGCGATTTTGATGACGTTTCTGGTACGGACCTCCTTTTTGGAAGGCGGATTTGAGTTTTGGCACTTTGGAAACATCAAGATTCTTGTATTCTTCATCTTCAGTAACGCTTCTTTCACCCTTCCTGTCTTTGACTGTTATTGGGACGATTTCGTTAGCATATAATCCATCCTGTAAGACGATAAGGTCAGCACTGGACTCTTATATGGAAAGAGAAAAGCTCGGTGAGTGATACCTTCCATGCTTGGGCAGCTCGTCGATAACTTTCTAGAGCGTGTTCGTCTTGTTCTTCACGAGACACTTTGTATTCAACAGCAGTCATTTCTAAGATTACGCATGTGGCGTCAATTTGCAGATTGGACAGAGACTTCTGGTCAACTGTACAAGGTATTACAAAAACAGGACACATACCAGCACAATTTCCCATGTGAATGTCATCGTAAGCATCCCACAGGCCATCCCGTATAATACCATCTAATATTTTGCTATGGCCATATTCTATTTTTAACGCGAATAGAAGAATTTCAGACAAAACGAAGCGAGTGACTCAAATTTGTGCTCGTTTTGATGATGTGGCAAAAGAGAAAAAAAAAGTGCAAATGCTTACGGAGTCCTCTTGGGACGTAGTATGGAATGTTACTCATGCTCTCCATTCCACCGGCAACACAAACGTCACGTAAACCGACCATCATTTGGGTAGCAGCTAAAGTGACTGTCTTCATTCCACTGGCACAGACCTTGTTGATGGTGGTAGCCTCTGTCGACACAGGGAGACCAGCCTTGATGACTACTTGACGAGCCGGTGCCTGACCCACATTGGAGGAAATGACATTTCCAAAGAGCAAATCTTCAACAGCCTCAGGAGCAATGTTGGCTCTGGCGACGGCAGCCTTGACAACTAGATTTGGATGAGAGAATTAAGTAAAACCCGGATTTTTAAAGTGGCTTCTTCCAAAATCGGTGATGTGGTGACTTGCCTGCAGCTCCCAAGTCAGTTGCTGACACAGATGCCAATGACTTTCCAAACGAACCTATAGGAGATCGAACGGCGCTAACAATAACAATATCCTTTTGAAAAGCATTGAGGCGTTAGAGAACAGGAAGCTCTGATCGGAAATAGGCAATCACTTACATTGGCTTGAGTAGAATATGCTCTTGCGACCTTTACAAGATGTTGTAAGTTAATTGTGCCAACAAGCAGACGAGTAGCAAGGAATTTCATACGTACCGAACGCTTGGCGCTGGCAAAAGTGGATTTGGTAGCTCGCAATAACGTTGACATGTTGTTGTTTGATTGTTGGAGTTTTGCGAAAAAGCGGACATTTGGACTCGCGGACTGGTTTTTGTAGTGACGCCAATAATAGAATCGTTTCGAATTGATATAAGACAGAAATACTTCCTACTGCCTCATAGAGCGACCGCCTGTATTCGACGCGTCAAACACACTCCTTTTAAGCCTGTGACAAGCTTTTGTGGAATTGTGAAAAAACATTCTCGTAACGAGAAGTACTGCCACGTACATTTGTCTGTCTGAGACTAGATCTTTATAGGTATAGCTTATCTTCCGCTTCTGCTACCGCTTAGCCCATCGTGAAAGCGTGCACCAATATGGCATTTGAACAAGGACTCGTGTTGGTGTCGGGGGCCAATGGATACTTGGCTGTAAGCTACAAATTCCGTTTGTTTCGAACGTTTGGCACTCTAATCTGCCATTTTGGTGGCTGGTGAGGACGTCTGAGATACATTCAGCGTTACCATCGGACCAAAGGCAGCTTTTGGCTCCTGCTTTGATAACAAGCTTTGCTTGTGCATCATTTGCCATCCATTTCGAAACTACACGATGAATACTGAATGTCCCGTCTTTCCTAACGTCAGATGCATTGCGTCGACCAGCTGCTGAAAAAGGGTTATAAAGTACGAGGCACTGTTAGGAGTCAAGCCAAAGTCTCTGAGGTCGTCAACCTGTTTCCAGAGCACAAGGACAGCTTGGAGGTGATAGTGGTTGAAGATATGGTCAAGGACGGTGCATTCGACCAAGCTGTTGTTGGTTGCACCGCCATATTACATGTCGCATCACCAGTGATTTTCGCAAAGGAGAATCCAATCGACAATGTCATTACTCCTGCTATACGTGGTACGACCAATGTCTTAAAGTCTGCCATGGAATACGGATCTAACGTCAAGAGGGTCGTTGTCACCAGCAGTTTTGCTGCTGTACGGAACGATAGCTATGGACCGGATTACGCATACACTGGTATGGCCTTTGAAAACGAGTTTAAAAATGTATGCTGTATCGGACGTCTGCTTTTCTGACGTAATTTAATCTTGTTTCAGAAAATGATTGGAATGTCGAGTCAAGACCTGAAGCTGGTGGAATGGAATCTTATAGGGCGTCTAAAGCTATGGCAGAGGTGAAATTCAACTTGCAGAACACGCACACTGCGTGAATTATCACTGACGAATTTGGCCATTGTTTGTGTCTCTTCAGAAAGCAGCCTGGAAGTTCATGGGTACTGAAAAGCCTACCTTTAAGTTAACCGTAATAAATCCAGTATGGATTATCGGGCCTTCGATATCAAACACAGTCAACACCACGACCGGTCTGATTCTAGAAATGCTAAAGGGAGGACCGATTCAACCTTCTTGGATGGGGTTTGTTGAGTGAGTTTTGACCTGGTTGTCGGTTTGTGAAGTGACTGTCGTAATCAGATATCAAGACAATTCTTCGTTGACCTTTAATCACTGATTGCTAGCGTGAGAGATGTTGCAAGAGCCCATATCATTGCTCTGGAAAATCCTGCCACAGCTGGACAACGGTATATATGTTGTGGGACAGTCAAGTCGTTCCCAGAGGTTGCAACCATCTTGTCTAAAATGTATCCAAAGGTAAGTAATGTATGCGTTCATCGAGAAGCCTTCAAACGAGACTCACACTTTTCAAATAGGAACCAGTAGTTGCTCAAAATGGAGAATTTCCTCCAGTTCCAAGAATCAACACGGCGAAAATCGAAAAAGAAATGGATTTCAGCTTCATTCCATTCGAGCAAACTCTCAGAGAGACTGCAGATCAAGTTCTCGCGTTAGAAAAGAAGTGACACGTAAAAGTAGAGACGAATCATAGAGTTTAAAGCAATAGTATTTTTTTTGGGACTAAGGTAAATACAACTATAAAAATACAAAGAAGTTCGAGGACACACCCAACTATCATCATTATGCCTTGCCGACACTACGTACAAAGCCTAAAACAGAAAAGATCTACTCAGGAAAAGAAGCCAAAGGAGAAACACCATAGAGACACTCACCACGAGGCTGACTCCATGTGAAAGACTTTGTGGCACGGAATTGGAATAGTATGCCTACAATAGCAGCCGCCATGAAGCCAATCAACATGGCAAACATGCGCGGACTTGTTTGGAAGGGCGAGAGATTCAAGCTGTTGTGAGCGTTGATCATTTGCTGAGCAGCCAAACTGAATCCAGTATTGGCAAAGATATCCACGCCAGATATAAAGGCGTATGAACCAACGACAGCAGTTGCCACAATAATAATTGGCTTTTGAAGCTGTAGAGTTGTTTGATGATGAGTGAGTTGTCAACGATTGATTTGCATATATCGATAAGTGGCTTACTATTGAAATAGCGATTCCACCAATGATTGATAGGACACTCAAGAAGATTGCACGACCCAAACCAGAAGCGATGACGCCACCAGAGGCCCATGATAGTATGAATAATCCAAGCACAAATCCGAGGGCAGCACCCAGTAATGCAATACCCACACGCCAAAGACATATCGTCAGACATCCCACGACGAGCGCTAACATGATATGTGTCAATGAATGGAAGAAAGGCAACGGCAACATGTAATAAGGATTTGCATACCAGCGACAAGGACGACGACGAGTATCAAGGTATCACGATTTGCGAATCCACCAGCGGGTTCGGTATTGAGCACTATGATGTATGCGAGCAAGCCACCGACATAGGCCCCGATAACAAACAAGACAGGGGTAAATAGTCGGTATCCATAGAAGGTAAGGAAGAGACCTGATGACAATGAGAATGAGTAAGATGATTGTAACGATGACTGCAGCACTGGAGTGACAAGAGTGCCTACCAGTGACGATCAACAAGATAGCGAGGACTGAAGACTGAGCAGTAACCTGTGCATACAAGTTCTGAGTAGTTGCGATTGCGGTATCGACGGTGGTAGCTAGTAGTTTGGGAGAAGTGTGAGTAGTTGTGAGCTGGAAACACAGCTGTCGCAAAGGTGACGCTCTGCGAGCTCGAGTGTTGACAAAGGTAAATTAGGGAGATGGCAGTGGTTGAGTAGCAGAGACAATGAATGGGCTGTCGCTTGTCACTCTGCCCGAGGTAGTTTTCTCAGATTGGGCAATGCCATAATAGCCCTCACATTTGGCGAGCTTAACGAATGGAGTAAGCGGGGACTTACACATTGATGGTATGTTGCAAGTGAAGATCTTTGCGAGTTGAACTAGTAGATTGTCGAGGTGGAGTGTGAGTTGAGTGTGTGTGGTTTGCAAAGGAATCTAGACTCTGCCTTGGCGCTTTGCACGGCACACTTACGCTCAACAAGGCTATACTGACGGCTTGGCAAGAGGCAGAGTGGGTATCTGCAGGCTCCTTCCTTGCTGCTAGTGCTTCCTTGTCAACGTAGAAGGTATTTCAACAGCTTGCGGTCGTTTCTTTGTGGCAGAGTGAGTGTTTTCAGCCTTGTCAAATATGGGTCACGATACTACTGAGGACGAGGACAAGTCGCGTAGCAGGCGAGTCAGGACATCACGCAGGTACTCTATGCCATTATTCATTCTCTGTTGTTTTGCTGATACTGGATCAAGGATTGGGTGTCTGTCCTGGTCTGAGACTAACAACTGCCTCCTCATTCTATAGTCCTGATCAGAAGAGGAAACGTCGCCATTCTTCTCCTTCTTCTGACGAAGATGGCTCAATACGGCCTGACAGGAAGGAATCGACATCATCGTCCAAAAAGATCAAAAAGAAACATTCGCGACACACTACTGAAGATTCAGATGACTCGACAACGACAAAGAAGAAGACCAAGAAACACTCTCGACACTCTGATTCAGACGATTCACCTTCAAAAAAGAAAAAGAAGGCTTCAAAGCACAAGAAGAAACACAAACGGGACAAGCATTCCTCGGCTTCAACAAAAGCTTGGGTACCTCGTGTCGTTCATCCTCACTATTTACCATCTTGTTAACCGATGTTACTTGTCAGGGTGCGCGAGGAGTCATCACCATCCACGACAGGAACTCAAAAGATCCGGAATTCAGGACATGGCTATACGATATAAAGAAGATCGCATTCGAGGTCTTGAATCCACAGGCTACAAAGGAATACTTTGCCGAATACGCTGAAGACTATAATCTTGGATCACTACCACACGAAAAGGTAAGGAAAAGACGTTTATCGTGCAGTCTCAACCCACACATTCTGTCTGACAACCTCAACAACCTTTACCAATAGTATTACAATCTTGATGCATGGGCAAAAGCGCAGAGTAATAAAAGCATTGTAAATGACGAAGACGAGGAGTTCGATTTCGGGAAGGATGAAGAGAGATTACGAGGTAAAAGGCCAACTACCTCATCTACTGCCGCAACTGGCCCTTCAATGTCCAAGACACAACTACAGGATTTGCAAAGAGTGGAACGTGAACGTGTCGAAGCCGATCGCATGAGGAAGCTCGGGTTTGCCACGTCGCGAACGTTGGGTGTTAGATATGAAGATACAATGAGCTAAATGGGCAAAAGAAGATAGACTGTATACTCTTTAAACTTATATATACTTGTTCAAAAATACAATTTATAACGGCTTTTACTGTCATGGGTGATGTACTGGGCAAGAGCCATGTGTGGTCTTTGAAAACCACGATTGTATACAGTCTTGATGAAAGACACACAAGCAGTTAAGCCTAGCGATTCGTTGTGCTATAGACAAGTGATAAAAAATGTGAGGCACAGCTGCACAACACAATCGTCGACAGTTGAACTTACATTTGACGAATTCCTCAAAGCATATGGCACATTCTCGACCCGGCATGTCTTGTGTGAGGACTTGTACTAGAGTTAAAAATGAAATCAGGCTCTTTTCTTCGAATCTACAATTCCTGCCAGCAAACTTACCAGTGTATCTGTTTCCATTCACAATCAACCCTTTACCCCCAGTCGAGATTTTACGTAGACAATCTCCAACATGAGCTTCCACCTCCGCTTCATCGAGAGTGCCATCAAACCTCGTTTGACAAACAGGACACTCGTTCAATATAGATTCAGCTTCAGATGCGATCGATCCTGGACGTGGCGACACTGGATCGATATGTCGAGGTATAGCCAACAAATTACGGTTACTATTCGGCAAGGTAGCAGTTTTGCGAAGTGCAGCTGGTAGTGGCGATGCTGCTGAAGTCAATACATCTATGCACGAATCACACACCCGATGTGGTTGAAGATTAGGAGTCAAGGCGATCCTTCCATTCGTACAATTCGAGCAATAGATCTTGCCGCACCATCGACAATGATGTTTGCGGAAGAATATCGTGAATTGCCTAGAGCACTTTTGGCATGCCATGACTTCATCATCGGCAATCCATCGCTCTGGGCGAATGTCTGTTGCAAAACTAGCTGGTTGTGGTGCAGTATCAACAGTCAGCGATATACTTTGAGACCCGTCGCTAGTTTCTGATTCAGGTTTGGTTGAAATGGATAATTGAGAGGGTTGTCTACTGGCTGCAGCGAGAGCTAAAGGTGAGTTGAAACGTTGAGAAATTTCATGAAGAATGAAACGTAGACAGATGCACGGGCGAGAACGACATCGAAATTCACCTTCCGATAAACCTGATGCTATGGTCACTTGCTGAAGATCTGGTTTGCCATGTACGTCAGAAGTTGGTGAAAGTATCTATGAAAAAAAATGGAATTGAAGTAGCTTTTGAAATTTAGAAAGTTACCGTTTCGATAAAACGCATGCAATTCAACGTACTGTGCCAGCCTTATCCTTTCCTTTCGCCTTTCTCCTAGCAGCTAAAGCTTGAGGAGTCAACTGCTCTTCGTCACTCTCGTCAGGTTCCTGATCTTCATAGTGACTTATTGCCTCCTGCAATAATTCTGCACGTGCCAAGTGATTGGACACGAGATTCGACGCTACACGCTTGCGTTCAGGATTCGTATCAGCTTGTTTTGAAAAGCACGTTAGATTCTGAGAAACTGCAAGGAAACATCAATCAATTTATACTTACTCTTCAGGCCAGATAACAGGATTTGAATAGCTTGCTCATAGCTACTAGATTCGTTGGTCAACGACACGATATCACGACGAGATAAATCCAATTCATCTTCGGAAGTATATAGGACGGCATTAGCTCGAGCCATATAATCATTACTCTCTGGAGGAGAAGGGTGATCTGCTTGACTACTGTCATCCGATAATGAATTCACATTTACACGGCGCTTTCTAACCCGAATATATCTCCTTCGTCTAACAAAGCCAGATAATCCAGACACAGACAATAGCCCAGATGGTAGCTCCGACAACCACAACTCATCGGGATCTTCAAGTGATTTTGCATATTGCCAACCTTCAGAGTCTTGAATGGGGTGTTTGAGATCGACCTTCCAGTCACTTAGCCAAAACCAAGACCTAATTATTTCTCCAGACACTGGATCCTTCTTGAATGGAAGGTGGACCGTGTCAAATGATGCAGGCCGTCCACTTGCAGTGGACCAAGGACCACGATAATCAGCTTTTGTGAGGTTTTGCGGAGAAAACTTTGATGACAAGAATGTCGATCGTTGGTTTTCATGGAGTATTTCAATGACAGCAGAATGTGATGACGATGGAGTGGTTCCTAATTTATGCGGAAGGAATGGTTTGTAGATTGTGTCGATGACTAACCAACAACAATTGCACCTACCGTGCTGATCATGCCATTCAGACTCAGCAGCTTCTAAAACTTCACAAATGTATGCTTCCTCACTTTGAGCAGCTAGATCATACGCGGTTTCACCAAAATTATTCTGAATCGTGGGGTTTGCTCCATTTTCCAGCAACAGCTGCACAATATCTAAGTATCCTTTTGCAGCTGCATTCACTAAATTGCAGGAATACAGTTCGTTAGGATAGACAATCCGTCTGTCACAGCAACTAATTGACTTACTGAGAGCCGTTTGACCAGTCTTGGATTGAGCCGACACGTTAGCACCAGCGTCAAGTAATAATTTGGCGATCTCAATATGACCACGAGAGGCACAATTATGTAGGGCCGTCCAACGATCTTTGTCGTGATGATTAACGTTGGCGTGCTGCTTTAACAAGTATCTCGTGACTTCAACGTGGTTGTGATAAGCAGCCTTGCCTAAAGCAGTTTCATCTTCTTTATCTCCTAGATCTATTATTGCTCCAGCCTGCTCAACCAGTGCTTGTACGAGATGTGTGTGTCCTTTTGTTGCTGCGATGTGTATTGGGAGCAGTCCAGATGGCGTATTTGCAACATTCACAGAATGATTTTCTGTTGTAATTAGACCTAGTACGGAATCCACATCTCCAGACAGGCAAGCACTTGTCAAACTATCGACAGGAGGAGGTGATGCTTCTTTTAATGTTGATGACTGCAGAACGGTCAAGGCAGGCGATCCGGAAATCGAATAGCCACCTCCATTTAAGTGTAAGTTCCCATAAATTGGATGAGGCACATTTGGCAATACGGGAGAGGTTTGTGTTGGAAGCTCCATATATTCCACTTCAAGCTGCTTTTCCCCAAAGATGGTGTTTCTCAAAGGATTTAACAGCTTCTGAAGATCCTAAAATTGTCGAGGTAATATGTACTGTAATCAACGTAGTCTCGCTTTTTCAGCTGGCTGACAAGTGTGCAAATTCACTGTTGCATGTCGATTAGGAAAAACAGACGCAAGCTCCTTCCGAAACTACAAATGATCGAAGGCAAAACGATAGAATTTTGACTGTTACTACTAGTAAATTCATCTGCGTAGCTCTCTATAAACATGCGCGACTATATGATACAAATGTGGAGACTAGGACGACAATACTTTAAAACTATGGGGTGCTCTTTGTGATTAATACTGAGCCTCCACATGTATACTTGAGCTGACTGGCCCATAATAAGCGAGCAGCATATGTTGCAGATTGTGACACAAACGCAGCAGCAATTGTGCTATTAGCCGCAATGCGATAGTCATTATCCTGCCGTATGGTTCCTAGTGCTCCTAGCGCTATTGGCTCGACCTTCCGCTCCTCAAACTGCGTGATCAGTTTGAGCAGAGGGAAGGTTGGCACTTGGTTGCCGGCCGGCGATTGTGCCCAAAGAGACCTCCACCATGCAGCCTTCATGCCCAATTCATCCACTTGTCCAGCGAGAGTCGTATCTGTTCCATTTAGAGCATATGCAGCTCCAGATTCCGGTAGAGCAAATGGTTTGTTCTTTGACGATGAGAAGCGTGTATAAAAGTCGTGATCTGGACGACCAACAGACTGGCAGTTGACTGATCCAGTGACATAGTCTCTGACAAAGCATGGTCCTACGGCAAAGTTACCGTTCCTTGTAGTGCCTGCCGAGTCTGTTCTGTACATATACATGGACAATCCAACCCAGTCAACATAGGCATCGCCGGGATAATATGGTCCATAAGCATCTATAAGGCAAACGATTGCGTTTAGAAAAGAGGAGGCGCATATGTTTAAACCATGAGAACTTACCATCTAGTGCATTAAAGACACCATCACCATTTGAATCCAGATACTTGAATTCTGGGGAAGTAGCTGCGACGGTATAGCCGAATGGATAATTGAGACCTGGATTTGGTGCCCACATCATAGCAGTCATGTTGGTGACCTGCCTGATAGCAGTAGACAGTTTACGGAAGGACAACACATATGCCTAATAGCGAGAATCGTCAGCAACAGAAAGTCAACCCAATTTCGACTGCCACTGCCATTGGTAAACGGAACGTACATTTGGGTGTAGTCCGTATGTCATCCAGCCTCCGTTCATTTCATGGCCCCATCTTAGTATAACTGGGACGTTGTAATAAGAATTCAAATGCGCCATTTGTGCAGCGACAGCAGTAAAGAAACTATCCGGGACCACTTCTAATGTGTTGTCAGGTTGCAGGGTTATTTCGAATATGGCACCGAGAGCGCCCACTTGTTGGGCTTGCCAATTCATCATATTAGGCTATTGTGAAAATAACGTCAACAACAAACTTTCACAGTGGGGCCAATTGTGTGTGACAAATATAGGGCAAACATACTTGGAAGTCCCAAGTGGAGTTGACTTGGATGAAGGAGTTGATGACTGCTGGGTTCTGTCCCTTCAAGGACGATACCAGAGCGCCTAATGAGTTTACGACAGGTAGAGTACCCCAATCTGGCGATACGCCAAAGAAGGTAGTATAATCTGGTGGTTCTACGGTTCCAGAAGCGACACCCTGGAGATGATTTACATTTCCTGCCCAGCAGTATGTATTGCTTGAATTCAGGACGATTACGGGCGTTGGAGAGGGAGTTACATAGGCCGGTGGAGGATGTAGCAGTATATACGAGTGCTATAAAGAATGGTCAAGTAAGCCTCTTGCAGAGCAGGATAATCAAGGGTGGGAGTCGTACTCTATCGTAGATGGAAAAAGATAGGAAACCCAACCCGCCAAAAGACATTGCCAGAGACAAGAAGACCTACGAGACAAATGAATTCTAGTCAGTTCTGATGAGTTCGCATTGACTTTAAGTTCAAGTTGCCGTGTTTTGATGAAGAGTGATTCGACATTATGTAGATTGTGTTTTTCAGCCAACTTTGTGACGAGGAGCGGCAGAGATAGAATACAGAATCGATAGAGTACCAACCTTTGAGAAGAAGAGGAAGCCGCAGCATGACCTGTATGAGTCTGCCTCCATATTGTTGATGTCGTTGAAAACAGCAAGATTTTTGCAGGGGGTGCCTTGTTGAGATTGCGGTGATGAGTGGAATTGTGCGGTGGCAATCAGCGAGAATCCTCACCTGTTGACAGTACAAGGCACTTGCGGCTGCTTTACAGTAGGTTCAAGTAGTGTACTGTACTGTGTAATGTGTGGATTCGACTATGAATGAATGAATCCCGCGCCAATCTTGCTGGGGCGATGAAAGAGTCCAAGACCAAGGACTCAAGCAAGTATCAGACCTATGGTAACCGAGAGCTATTTGGGAAGGCTCTCTACTTGAATGTCTCGTCCACTTTGTTGCTGGTGGTTCCAGGGAAAGGAGCAAAACACAAAACCGCAAGAAGAACGGCCAGCAGGAAAAGAAGGAGGGCAAGCTGACGAGAAGGCGGAGCGAAAAGCTAGGGGAAAACCAATGAGACGTATAGCGTAGATATTAGGTATCTAGTGCTGCACTTGCACCTATATCGGTGAGTGAAAGTTCGTGCCTGCGTAATTTACTAAAACTTGTTTTGCTGTTAACAGCTCGCTTTGTGTTGGTGTTTCAGCATAGGAGTACGATGAGGAACGCTTGAAGACTGGGCACGAAACATTAACTCTCGAATTATCCACCATATTGCAAATACTCGTCCCTGTTGTCGCACATTCAACACAAGCTGGATTGTGGAAAGATTTATTTCAACCATCCAGGAACCAGCGACTGGAAAACTTTATGAACAACCAAATTCAATGTCTGGTTTATATTATGCTGTCGCAAGAGGCACGACACTAGGTTCGTGACGGCTGCTGCTGTATCCTTCAACCAAAACCGTGCAACACATGGAATCACTTCTGAAACATCATTTTATTTACATTTCGATTCCATTTAGAGTCTAATTTGACTGGGGGCTGGCAAAGGAACAGGTCTGCCATTGAAATCAAAACCACATCCCAAACCTCAACACCGAGTAACATCAAACTTCCCGCTACAGGTTCATGGATACTCCAGTATGCTTTGGAAGAAGTTTGACAACTGTGTTGACGCTACCGAATGGGTCTACAACAGAGGCCACTGCCAGCAAAGATACTGCAAACAGTGCTTCAAAATCATTGACATATACGTACTTAGGTTGACGTATCCGTTCGTGACGTTCGCATGCTCGACATTGTCCACAGTTTCGTCTTCGAACAGACTGATGGCAGCTGTACAATGAATGGGTACATGGCGCAAAGGCTGGAATCGGCGTCTTCTTTGGTCAAAATCGCAAAGCAAATCTGTCAGAGTCACCAATGCCGGGTAAGCAAACAAATCCACGAGCTGAGCTGTGCGCTGTCATTCTTGCTCTGCAGAAACTCAGACAAGAAAGACTACTCTATCGTTGAGACTTGGTCGTTGTATGGGTCTGCTCAGAGTACGTGAGCAAAGGATGAAATGAATGGCTGAGAAGTGGCATGACCGAGGATGGCTCAATTCGCAAGGCAATTCTGTAGCTAATCAGAATCGTTGGCAAAAGCTCATCTTTGAAGTCAATCGCACTGCTGACGTTTTCATCAACAAAGTCGCAGTAATCCGTCGCCTGACTGAAATTTTGTTGTAATTGGGGTTCTGTGCTCGTTGTCCCAATATTAGGTCACGCTGGTGTCAACGGAAATGAACGAGCTGATGAGCTTGCAAGATCGGTCATGTATGATGACGACGACGGCTAGAGCGAGATTTCTAGTATTGGAACTTGAATGTACTGAATATACTGATAATAGAAGTTTCGTGACCTTGTATTTGCAAAGTTTACAATAACATCTGATCAGTTTCCGTTCATCAATTTTCCACGTCGAATCCATGCGTATGTGCACCTATTTTGATGCTAAAGTGCGTGATTTTTCAAATTCAATTTTGACATTTCAGAAAACCCTCGTCGACAACGACTGATTCTTTCAACCCAACGATTGCAGACAGAGGTTAATAAGAAGAATTGCAAAGTACAGAGTCAGGTAAGCAGCTAAATCGGACTCAAAGTATGAATGGTGTTCATTGTTTGCAATTGCGTAGTCTGTCAAATTCCAAGGCGAGCGATTAAACCGGTCCTTAATGTTGTAAATAGGAGCAATCGAGAGGTGGAGCTCAACTGAACCACGAAACCCGCAAAATCATTGCTTTTCCCGGTCGCTTGTTGGGGACATAAGACCTCTTCATTGAGAGTTTCCTGCATACCATCACTGTTGCACTCAATTTGAAATGTCACAATATTACGCCGTTGCCCGAGGAAGAACGCCGGGTATTCTATTGGAGTTGACGTCTTATGCTCTATCTAGACGCTTACCAATGTTTGATGTTTGACAGGTGTCTATTCAGATTGGAGCTTGGCAAAGGAACAGGTGAGATAAGGGGCATGATGATCCTGTCATCTTTTGAGTCTAATTACCTAGGTCAAATCCAGGTAGATGGATATTCAGGAATGTTTTGGAGAGGATTCGATGATTTTGATTGTGCGTTAGAATGGGTGTATAATCAAGGCCACTGTTGTCAAAGGTACTGCAACCAGTGCTACAAACGAATTCAGATCTACGTGAGTATTCCTTGTCAAGAAACCCAAAAATTGGCACAGTAGCTCATCACACCGCCTCTGAACAGACTGATGGTTCTTGTACCCAGAATGGTTACTATGGCTCAATGGCGGGTATTGGAGTATTTTTTGGTGACAATCGCCGAATGAACCTATCGGAATCACCAATACCTGGCAAGCAAACGAATCAACGTGCAGAGCTATATGCTGTGATTCGAGCTCTACAACGACTCGCACAAGACAGAAACCTAGACCAAAACGACGAGGTTGTCATATGGGTTGACTCGGAATACGTGAGCAAAGGGTGGAATGAATGGCTTCCAAATTGGCAGGAAAACGACTGGTACAACTCTCAAGGGAATCAAGTCGCGAATCAAGATTTATGGCAAAAGCTTATCGGCGAAGTCAACGAGACGCCAGCTGAGGTTTCTATTCAAAAAGTCGCAGGTAAACGTTGGTGGAAGGCATTGTGTCTGGTCCCGAGTCTCACTCTTTTGGTGTAGGTCATGCTGGTGTCTATGGGAACGAACGAGCTGATGAACTCGCAAAATCTGCCATATAAAATAGTAAAATAGTTTTGGAAGACGAGAACGACATACAAGAACGGCATACAACGTTAGAATGGCGCTTTATTTCAAAACTACAGATACCTGCTGCCTCACTAAACACTAAATTGTTGGTGTTTGTGGAATTTGGCATTTGTAGATTGTACGTGTGATCGCTCCTTGCAGTATCAATTTCCACTGATGGACGCGTTCTAGTCATAATTTGAAATTCTTCACCAAATTGACCAAACTGGATTCCAACTCAACCGCTCGAAGAAAAGACACCCTGTTGATAAGAGGAGCGAGAAACACGTTGGCTGCTGACCAGGTCTTACTAAATTTCCTCATTGCTTGGTACCGTTAGCTTTATGTTTGTGGGCATTTTGCTCATCAACCGCTTGATACTGGCTGTCTCAACTTACGTTTATTAGCTATCAACCCGACACTGATTCTTGGAAGGTAGAATCAAGTCTATTCGTGACTTAATAAGGTATGAATGCCACATGGCCGGGAACAATTCCTCGTTTGTCCAAATATTTGACGAAATCTCACCAGATTAATCGTTCAAGGGCGGCAGCTAATAGTTGAATCGAGTCAGAGGGAGGTCAAAGATATCAAACATCATTTCAGGAAATCTAGGTCAGTGATTTACTCCGAAAAGATAATCAATTTCATCTCAGTTTTCATATGGTTTCAACCATTGACGTGCAACTTCTCAGAACGCTGTCTCAAAAAAACTCGCCCAAACCCGCTGGAAAGCGGGGATTATTGAACATGGACTTTCTGTTTGGTCATGGAAAAGATCAAGATAATGCTGGTGAATCTACCATGGATGCTTCATCCCCTACAGGCAATGGTGCGCCAGACGGACGTAAGTTGCGCTGTCGCATAGGTCCATCCACAAAGACAATGGCTGTCTATAATGTAAATGACGACGCTCATCCAATGTTTGTCGATGGTCCACTCTTTGTTGGGCATGTATGCGTACGAATCAAGGTATTGAACTCGTTTTTAATTTCACCTGGCAACTTACAATAGACTATTACATACTGAGTCACTCACCCCTTTCCCTGTAATTATCACTAGAATTTCGAAGGAATCACAGCTGATGGCTCGCAGCCGATAAGGTCATCACCCTACTTTGGCACCAAAAGGAGGATGTTTTCCATTCAAGCTCAAGGAAGATTCAAACAGGTAACCAGAGACAGTCTAGTATATTAATTCTGATGATTTGTAATCTCACATTCCGTCTTAATCAATTAGGAATACTCTGCAGATGATGTCGTATTTGGATCCGAGTTTGACGACAAGGTGTCTCCTCCAACCGGAGCATGGATTGCAATGAAATTTGCAAATCTCATCGATCCTGCACTCGCTGCGGATTTATATGCCGATAAGCCGTGGTTATACTCACCCATGTTATGTGCCATGAATATCCTTAACGTACGCAAAGCACCTCGTCCACTTCCATCACCAGACGCTCTTAGCAAGGCCTTTGAAGGCTTATCTGTGTCTAAAAGTAACCCTCATGAAATCGCCATAAATGCTCTGAAGTTGACAACCCCACCAACACCAGCAGATATAGTAGGAAATTGGGAATGGGGTGGTGAAAACGAGCTCAAGGAAGACTCTGGCCTTTTGCTTCCGAAAGGCGAAGACGCGCCATTCGCACCAACTAGTGTATCAGATCGTAGGAAGCACTTCCAAAAGGCTGCCAGTCGAAAAGTAGTCTGCTTCAAACCAGAGTTTGTTTATAACTTTGAGGTATGTTCAAAGGATTTTTATGCTGAATCCATCAATATTTCACTCATTTTTCTAATTTCAATTTTACAAGATATTTGCTCCCTTTATGGACTTCAATACCTATGACCTCAGTCTCGGCATCAATGTGAATGTGCTCAAGTATGCCAACTATCAACCCATCCGACTCTTTACGAAATCCGCTTCCAAAAACATTCCCTTCTTTATAATTGAATTTGATCTGGTTGATAGTCATGGCCACGGGGTAGGATATGTTAGAGAAAATGGAGGGCTGCGACCACCTTCGTCGCCGAAAGGATCCAAGTCCGATGAGGAAGACGACGAGGTATTCCATGATGCGGAATGATGGAACAAAATAATCAAAACGTAAAACCACGAACCTCAGGTCATCGAAGGGAAAAAATGTAAAGGGCTTTCAACCGATGGTCGAAAGATATTCATAGATAGAAAATAGTAAAAAAGCAAATCAATTGGTTCATCAACTCAGCGAGCTTGTCAAAAGTTTAAAATATTGAGGGGTTGGCTGGTCGGACATTTCGCTGCAGAGTCACACTCGAACTTTGTTTTTTCTTCCGTCGTCGATAGAGAGGAGATGAACTTTCCATCGTTCGATGTCTCGACATGTCTCGCATCGGCCGGCAGAAGGCTCCGTCTGCATAATGGAGACTGCATAGACTCTTCCACATCTGCGGCAATTTCCTGCATTTTGGCAGAAAAACTGCCAACAAGCTCATCAGCCACGTATGTTTGGGACCATTTTTAGTATTGCTCTTGATAAGGCCTGCTTTGTCCATTATCTGATCTGACTGTTCGTTGTGGTTTTCATCAAAAAGTCTGCAGAATCTTGACCTTTTACTGGAATGTTTGGGGAATTCTTCAGCTTTGGTATTTTCATAGTCTTGCGTCGATTCTAGATTGAAATGCAACTGAATTTTGAATTTTAGGCACAAGGGCTACAGGTGGCTGTCACTTCCTTACCCAAGCTCTATCAAAATCCAAATCACCGCGTCTATGTGATGACTGTAAGTGAAAGGACGAGCCCATCATCGAGAGCCTCTTCAGCTTCTTCAAGGCATTCTCGACGCTCGTCCACAACATCATCAAATCGGACGACTGGACATAACAACCGAGTCAAAGTGGTTGGATTGATAAAAGTTGGCCAAAAAAAGTATGGCTTCTGCTCTCGTTGCTTCGAAGAAAATGATTCACTCAAACTGACACTTTTTTTGTGAATTCTAGTTTATACCTTAGTGTATGTCACTTGGCGGCGTTTGCAGGATTGCATTCCTTCTCTAAACAACCTTGTTCGCTAGGATACGAATGGACATCTCCAACGAGCCAATCCTTTGTGTGTCTTGGATTTCTACGTTCATGAATCTTGTCAGAGACGGGGCTATGGAAAAGTCCTTTTCGAAGCCATGTTGAGACAAGAGAGAACTTCAGCGACACGATTAGGCTATGATCGACCCTCTCATAAAATGATTGGCTTCCTGAGACGACATTATTTCACTGAATGTGAGTACATTGTTTGTTTGTGTACTGCATCTTTCCTTCAGCCTGATTCTGACTTGTCTAATTAGTCCTACCGCAAGCCAACAAGTTTGTCATTTCAAAAGCCTTCTTCCCAACGCCATCTTCAACTCGAGCTGCTCCTGGATCACGGCTGTGCTCTCGTGAAAAGTCGGGCATATGGTCTGCACCTTCTGAAAAATTACCAGGAATGTCCCTTCCACCCATAACTGTTGCTGAACGCGCTACGTCATCGGCCACGCACCTGTCTTTTGGAACTTTTCGCGATACAAGTCTCAAACTTGAACACCTGACCAATGTCATAACCGGACAACCGAATAGTTCATACCATTGGAATTCGCCACAGACAAGCAACAACCATCGAAGGTCGACGCTGCCATCATCTCTTCCTCCACTAAAGAAAATTGAGCTTCAAGGAGAGAGAATACCTTGGAATCATAACCACAGAGTCCGTGGCAACAACTACATCAATAATCACCTCGCTACCGCCGCGTACTTTTGATCTCAAATATGTACAAGTCAAATGAATTGAAAATATGGTTTTAGAGCGGTAAATGCGCGTGAATCGTCTTCGTTTGGCTTTTCTGAACTGGCGACATCCAAGATTCCATTTTCTACGTAGATCAGGCAGGAACGAGCTGAAAAGTACGCAGAAGTAGTAGAGTACATCAAAACTATTGTAGAACTGGGTTACAATGTTAAGATTCTTTGCCTCGCATTCAACTACCGACTCAAAAGAGATCAAGTCGACGACAGAGGAGACACCGTTGGAGACCGCGCCAGGGCAGCCAAATCATGCTCAAACACTGGCATTCTTAGGTAAAGAGTCATGTCGACGGCGATCAAAGGCACAAGAGAAGGGGTCATTGGCTCAAATTTCAACACAGTCATTCACACATACACATAATTACACATTCGCACCCATCAGAAACAGCTACAAGACATCCAATTCACCAATTTTTTGTAATTCATATTCACAGGTCTGGTAGCCATGGAGCTGTCGAGGATGGACGCCAGACTGACTCTAGTTGCAAAATCAGCAGACCGACGCTCGTTGTCTGCCTTGGATTTAGAGGATGACGATGGTGACAGTGTTGCAGAGAGTGCTCAGAATAAGAGATTTCATGGTGGACTGGTCGCCAACCAGGATCTGGATCCGATTACTGAAATTCTCAAGGCGCAACACACTTGGAGAGACTCTGTTTTGGCTGCTGCCTCCTCTTACGGTCATTTGACAACAGAAGGCATGCTCCAAAATTTGTCTGTGTCTATTTCTGCTTACTACTGCAGTTGACATTGCAATTGTAATCTAATCCGTCAATTTTCACAGAGGCCGATACTATTGCTGGACTAGCTCGACAGCCTCCCAACTCTCACGAAAAGGAATTGGCTGCTTCACTTCTCGACATTATAATGCCAACAATTGACACAGCAGTATCCATACCAACTATATTGCTACAAAATTTATTGATCTCGACCCTGCTCTCACGGCAGCCCGTTTACGACGCCCGACTCAAGACCGTAATAGGATCTTTGTCGACTGTGCTATATGATAAAGCTTTAAAGCCCATAAGTAATGAGCATACAAAGACAAGAACTCGCATTCTGCTCGTCCAAGAGCTCGAAAGGGGATGTGGTGAAGCAATTTGGGGTGAAACTCACGAAGGGAAGAAGGAGAGGGAAACTCAGCGTATAAAGAGGGTACAAGAAGCTCATAGACGTAGTGTACAAGATGAAATTCGTGAAGCGAAGGAACGAGACTCGGCGAGAACAAGTAGGTTATTCGCCGTCGGGCTTGGTATGGTTGGTACAGGATTGCTTGTGGGAGTCACAGGTGGTTTGGCGGCGCCGATCATAGGAGTCGGTCTTGGATCAGCTTTTACAGCTTTGGGCATCACAGGAACAGGACTTGCAGCTCTGTTTGGATCGACTACTGGTGCTGCAATGGTTGGTACTTTCTTTGGCCTCGCGGGTGGGGGACTTGCTGCTTATAAATTCAATCGTCGTCTTGCCAATCTGTCGGAATTTGGCTTCCATCCCATCACACCACCTCAACGTACCATGCATCTATGTATATGTATATCAGGCTGGCTAATCACTCCCGAAGACCTCACAGAGCCATGGAAGGCTACCATTCCAAACCACTTTCCATTCTCAGAAGCTTCGTCACTAGCCTTTGATACTGAAGCCTTGTTGAAGCTGGGCTCAGCTCTACAAGACTTGTTGAAATTCTCAGCAGGATATTATGCAACCCTGGGCGTTCTACAACAAACCATCTTGGCAGGCCTTGTATCTGGTCTCATCTTTCCTGTTGGTAACGAAAATTAAAACCTGAAGTACCCTATTTCATTTTTCATTCACAACCAAAATTCATTAGGCGTGATGAACATGTCGAATCTCGTCGATAATCCCTGGTCAATCGGTCTAGATAGAGCTCGAAAGGCCGGTAAACTTCTAGCGAGGGTAATTACAGGTTTATTGGAAGCATTTTTGGTTGTTCCAATTGTTCATGAATACCATATCTAGGACGTGCTGCTCAAACGTATTCATGGTGGACGTCCTGTTACTCTAATCGGTTACTCTCTTGGGGCCAGGGTTATTTACTACTGCTTGCGTGAACTGGCTCATGAGCCTCACGGTCTGGGTCTCGGTCTGGTAGAAAATGTATATTTGCTTGGGGCTCCAGTGCCAGCTGACGTCAAAAAATGGGCAGCCGCAGCTACTGCAGTATCTGGACGTATCGTAAACGGTTATAGTAAAACGGATTGGCTTTTGGCGTTTTTGTTTCGAGCTGCTGATCTGACCACTGGTGTTGCTGGAACTCGTCCCGTCGAAATACCTGATCTTGGAGGCATCAAGAGCCGTGTAGAAAATGTTGAGCTCTCCCATATCGTAGCAGGTCATCTCAACTATAAAGAAAGGCTTCCACAAATATTGGAATATATTGGTGTTGAGCGTGGGGACGGAGAACTCTGGACTGCAGGTGGCTCTCTCATTACTCCTCCAAGAGAGTCCCATCCTGATTTTGGGAGGTCGTCGCTGGATGAGCAGAGAGAACCATTGGCCAAGGAAAAACTGAGAGGGCCATTCAAAGGATTCGTGAAGAGCCGTCCTTCACTCGATGAACAACGACCGACAACGATAAGGCCAAATCTTTCATCGCTTGAGCCACTTTACGAGCAAGCCGCCAAATCAAAGCAAAATATAGATGCCCAAATTCAACAGTTCAAGAAGAAGCATGGATGGGTACAAGTATCATCTGATAAAAGCATGTAGAGTCTTAGCATTCTCATCATCGCCGCAACATCGCTGCATTGATTTATATATATAATATATATTAAACATAGAGAATTATTAACAGTGTAATAATTGTGCCAGCTGTGTATTTACGTTTTTTGTGGTAGTTTAGAGGACGGATGGTGTCGCGCATCAAACGACCGACGCCATTCTCTCCAATCAAACTGGTGTATGTCAATCTCCTTACTTTCAACCATGTGAGTCCAGGCACTGGTGCTTAGGTTGATAATTGGGTCTGTAATCCATCTTTCTTTTTTAAATGTCCTCTTGACGACACTCTTAACCGAGAAAAATAGCTGTATTCCGTAGTAGCGTTGTCGAATTCGCCATTTCGACAGAGTTTCGTTACTTAAACCCTGCGGTGTGCTGTGACGTAGAGCTTCGACTCGCTCGACATAATTCCAAAAGACTCCCCACATGTCACGACGTACGTGGGACCTTGTCCTATCTACTACACGAGCCATAACTTCCACAGCTCCACTCCAAACTGTAATCGACTGGTGGTCAGCGAGATCTAGATCTAGCACTTTTGTAGCGTTTGTAAACGCTTCTAGAGCTCCAAGAGCATCGTTTCGGAAACTTCGTATTTTCATTATGGGTTCTATTATACGAGGCGAGGGAGGTTGGTGGTTGCCAAGATATGCTCGTAATACGGAAGTAAATGGCAATATATCGGCACGTTGTGCTAGAGCGTCAAGTAGGCTTATCCAGCTTTCGTCATCGTGAGGCATGAATCGAAGCCTATTTACAAGCATATGGTCACTGTGAGGGTGAGCAGGAGGATTCCACCATCCATACGACGCAATATCCTGTCCTATGTTAAACCAAGTGGTATCTCGTAACGGATGATATTTTACAGCTCGTGCTAATATTAAATTAAATATTCCTAAACTCGGAGAGACCCTATCTCCCTTCATTTGCTCCCATACGTTGTAGATGCTCTCAAAGTCTGGTGACGTTTTTAGCTGGTGAACCCATCGGGCTAGTCTGTGACGTTGGACACGTGTCCAACACATCCTAATGTGTCCTGTACAGCTACTGATGACCAAATCTGCTTTCTGCTGGTTTTTAAGTATATGTTGCGTACAGGCCGACAGGCGTTCGAAAGCTTCCTTATCACCATTTAACTCACAGAGTCTCTGAGATCGACTGAGGAAAACACTGTCTATATCGACGGCAGGTTTTGTATCTTCCACTGTCACATTACATCCACTCATGATACGTCCCACACGAACCGCCATTTCGGCCACTGGCGAGGCCACTCCAATTGTGTCTAGACTAGTAAGCAACCAATCGACGTCCGACTGGTTGCCGAGATAAGCAGCATTACGTAGTATTACAGAGATGAGATTCTGGTCCAGATAGGGATTAACATTCATTACAACCAGCCGGCCCAATTTCAAGATAAACTCGGGTGTGGCGCTCTTTGTGGCAACTAATAAATCTAATATACTCGTGTGAACGAGCGGATCTAGTATTCGTGACCTTTGCCAAAGTGGCTCTAGTGTTTGCAACTTCCTGCCCAATGGAGAAGTCCATTGCAATGAAGAGCCATCTTCGACGTAAGGCCTTCGAATAAACTTGGTGAGTTGATGATACATTGTCAGTACTGTGTTGACAAATGCAACGAGGGAATCATCTTTTCCGTGAATTATACTTGACGCCAAGTTGCAGATGATGCCACCAAGCAATCGCTCAACTCGTCTAGATGGCCGTATGTCTCGAATGTCCCTAACTATTTGATCCATCTGTTGATACATCTTGGATTGCATCAAGGCGCGTATGAGTTCTACATATATTGCGAGCTCTATCTCAGGGTTGACCTCCTTCAGTGCGTGATAGACGCCCAGAGCGATCACTGGATTTCTACTGGTCCGAGCTAGAGTCATGACTTTTAGCAACTTTGCGGCGTTCCAAGATTCTGGCTTCATTCCCATGGAAGTTTTTACATGTATGTATGCTAGGTGGACATTCTCGTCCATTGCTGTATTTTGCAGCGTAGCTTTCTTTGTGATAGCCAGCCACGTAGCAGCACGTCGGAATCTTGGCACTAGGATGTATCGGTTCATGAAATCTAGCAGCTCGTCCGATGACATTGCGTTCGTACCTGTGCTAGATTCTATCGTTGCATTCGTACCTGTGCTGGATTCTATAGGAGCAGATGATACGGCAAAGGGTGTTATTTCGTTTTCCACTAGAGGCTCAGATATCGTTCCAGTTAATGCTTGGTCAAATACTGCTTCTGTCGTCCTGTCGTTGGGTTTTATTCTAGTTCGTGGAGCCGGTGCCGGATATATATGAGACTCCATAACCATAGGATGCTGGTGTTGCTGTTGTTGTCGGTCTTGTTGCAGGATTGTTACTATGGGTAGAGCTCTGATAAGTGCTTTTTTATATGGGTCGGATGAGTTTACATGAGCAGCAAGTGGCATCAGAAGCGGTATCGTGGCCACTCCTCTTCCTAGACCATGTAAAACCATGTATGCTAGGTATGGATGCCGCCTTCTGATGGATGGACAGGAAAGGGCGGAACTCCTTGATGCCTGAGGTCGAAAACATCGAGATTCCAAGTTCCACCAGAACCAAGGAGGTAGAAGATGCAGGAGATTAGCAGCCATCACGAGAAATGTGTGTCAGATCCAATATCCATCAAGTGCAAGTGCCTAGTTTGAAGTCATGAGTCACTTTCCAGAGTTTTCATACAGTGTCAAACGCGAACGCATCGGTATCGTTCACTCATGCTTACATCAGCAGTCAAGTAGAAGCGAGAAATAGGCGATTCAGCCTCGTGTTGACCTCGTTGGTTGGAGTTGTCGTCGTGATTCTGACGGGGACCTTTTTCTTTCTTTGACGAGAGAGAGAGTGACTTCAGAGTTTTGTTCATGTTTTTTGTAAAGTTCGGCAAGACTGCACCTACCAAGACGATCTTTTCTCATCAAGATTTTGTTCATTTCACGCTTGCAAACTTACAAGCTGCAAGGGATCCTCGCAACGCAAAAAAAAAACACGCAACTCGTGTTTGATTGCAAGATGCTATATGTTTTGCCATTAATTATAATATCGCTTTTTGTACAGTGTTGGATATGTCGTGCGGTCAACGCATTAGACACAATTCTATGAGGACGAAGGGCCTGCTTTCGTGACGAGGACTTGTCCGCCACATTGGTACGAGAGTTGGGATCCAAATAGCATCCTTGTAGCTGGTGGGAAGAGTGAGGTGGTCAAGGACGTCACCACCGACGGATTGTAAGAGATGCGATAATCTCGGTTCTGCCAAAGTGTGCTGGTTTCTGCCTCAGCTTTGGCTTCCTCAAAGTTGACTACCAGCTTGAGCAATGGATATACAGGATTAACGGCAGATCCTACATATACAGTGATCACAGAATTAGTTTAAGCGTCGTAGTGGAGTGAACGCCTTTGCTACGTCTCAGTAATAACACGGCTTTTCATGGTCGCAACGACTTCGCAAAGTATTCAAAGGTATGCAAATTATTACCTGGTATTAACGTGAGGATGGATGTCCACCATGCGGTTTTCATCGTCACTTCATCCACAGTCTGCGCGACAACATTGGTAGCATTCGTAGCGTATGCTGATCCAGACTCTGGGAGGGCAAATGGCTTATTATACGCCACAGCGAAATTAGTATAGAAATCCCTATTCGAGGTATTACTGCTTCTAGGCTGGCAATTAAGGGTACCTACGAGGCATTCAAACAAGGAATTAGCTTCGAGTTTGGAGGATAACACACGGTTGATTGTCCTACCAGATATGTAGTCTCTGATAAAGCAAGGACCGACTGGAACATTAGCGTTTAGATAGTCACTGGCAGCTGTGGAGTTTTGGTGGTATTGATACATGGAAAGCCCGACCCAGTCTACATAACCAGCACCTGGAAAGTATGGCAAATACTACAGATGAAAAGTAGAGGGTATGAGAGTTTGGGACTGAAATGGTCCTCAGTGAAGATTACTGTAAACATCCACATACTGGGTCATCCAGAACGTTGAAGGCACCGTCGTTGTTGGAATCGAGAACAGCAAAGTCCGGGCTAGAAGCATTGACGACTGCACCATAAGGATAATACAGACCAGCATTCGGAGCCCACATCATAGCCGTCATGTTTGTGGCGGCATGGACGTAGGTCGCAAGGGCTCGGAAACTAGCAATATATTCCTATTAAAGAAAGATTTAGATACCTACATACATGCAGCTGAACAACTCCGACTTGAACCATGTCTTTGACAGAAAAACATAAAGTAAACTGGAAGCTCACCGTTGGATGCTGTCCATAGGGCATCCAAGCACCTTTGAAAGGAAGTCGATGTGAGATCGAGTCGCGACATAGCAAATCACGGACACAATTTGATACGAAACAACAATCCCATTGTTTAGCTATATACTCACCATTCATCTCATGGCCATAACGCAATATTACAGGTACGCCGTAATATCCATTCATGATTGCCATTTGCTTGGCGACGGCTTGCAACGTTGCGTCCGGTATTAAACTCATTCGAACACTTGGCTGCAGTGTTATTTCAAAAATGCCATTCACGCTTCCGACCTGCTGGGCTTGCCAATTCATAATGTCGACTTGGAAATCGGTTGGAGTGAGTGTAATAACTAAGATTTAGTCGAGTTAGTCATGGACGATGAATGTGGCCAAAATTGCGAATAATTACAAGAATTAAAGACCACTGGCTTGTAAACGCCTCCCATTCGTTTCGAGGCAAGCGTAACATTATCAATTTGCCAGTTCAAAGACATTCCAAACATGGTAGTTTTATCTGGAGGTTCAACTCTTCCAGACGCGATGGCGATGGTTGAAGTCACAGGTCGCCAGCAAGTTGGATCTGTGCCGTTGATTGCGAATATCCACGGCGTAGTAGAGTTGCTTGGATGAGCGAGAATATAGACGTGCCTAATGTATATGCTGTACGATAGAAATGATAGCCCTCCCAAGCTCATGCCCATAGCGAGCCAAACCTAGAACATCGAGTAACGTGCGTGAGCCATGCGATCTAAGATGGTTTTTAAGTTTGTGGTAGCCAATAACTGTGGGCGAACAGGAAGGATGGCAGAGATCTCGCAAGCATGAAACAAGGCCTTTCTGGGTGAAATATTGCAAGCGACACACTGACTTGTGTCCTCAACATGTTCATTTGATGGGCTACCGCTGCAGTGGCGGCAGGCAACTTAGGGAGTGCCACTTGTCGCGATGAGAAAAGCGTCACTATGGCCAATAGGGACCTACCTTCATCCAGAACAGGCATCCGCAGCATGCTCTTTGGCTGTCATCTCCCCCACTCATTTGGCCTCTGTATGTTGGAAGTGTGATGAACTCCGACTTTTTGGGCAAATTTCACAAGTGGAGCATTCTAAAAGTTTGAGCTGGTTAGATTCTAACCGTAGGCAGCTGAGAGAAGCACTTACATAGATTGATACAAGTTTGCTTACTGTCGCCTTGCAGAAAGAGTAATGGGTATCTGTGATCAATGAAGATTGAGTTCATACGAAAAGGAGGAAAGGAGGATCCATTTGCTTACAACATCACCGGGGGTGTCTTATCGAACAACGAGCTGAAGGCAGACTTTGAGTATGATCAAGCAACTGGCTAGACTCTAGTGACTCTAGCCTTGACCAAAACCTGTACATTGATCACGCATTTTCCCTTTTTATAGCAGATCTATCCTACACGAGCTAACTGCAACCGAATTTGCTAGGCTCGTCAATTACGACGATGATTGCAATTGACACTTTTCTTTTTGTATTTCTCGAGCCAGTAGCAAACGTTTATGCTGCTGCTTCACTTATTCTTGAACCTACTTTTGTTGAGGAGGCGTTTTATCCAACAATCCCAATCCCTCATTTTCCATCTGAATGGTTGTTTATCGCCAGGCTCTATGGCATTGTCTTGAGTGTCGTTGGCATGGCACAATTCTTTGCTTTTGTATTCGGAAACCGCAGAGTTAAATGTAAGCAGGCGGGTCGACATTACGAAACTTCACACATTCGACGAATCTCATACCCGAATATGTGCTAGTCTGGGTGTCTGTTGCATTTCTGCCGGGCGATGTTATGCACATCGTGTCGTTCATCTTGCCAATATGGAATGGGCCGGTTTCATCTTGGAACATGCCTGCTATTCTTGGAAATGTCGGGGTATGTCTTGATAATGTCGAGTTCAACCAACCGGCTTTCGCAAATCGGACAATCTAACTCTACACCTCCTTATAGATCTCGCTGATATTACATTTTGGGAGGTAGTTGCCTTTCAGCGTTTTGTTTTGATGGTTGACTGTGGGCATGTGACGTCCCTCGCGACTATTTGTTGACCAGCATTGTTCTTCTAGGTTGGCCATGTTAACAAATCTAATAGCATACGAAGATGGAATATGGGCAGAGAAGGGAATTGGCAACGATAAGAACAAGAAGAAAGTCTAGGATTGCTATATTTATCAATGTAAATTGAACTAAGATACAGTGTGGCTGGATTTACAACAGCAATAATTTAGCTAGTCCCTTCTCAGACGTTGCCTCGTTCTTTCATTGGTGAAGCCCGATCACGCTCGCGTCTTCTTGGACGAATTGAGCGCAATCGGCGAAGAGCATCAGTGATGAGATATTCGTATTCCGATTTTAGAATCCATGCATGATCCATATCAACGAACGTCTTTGGAAAACGGTAGCTGCAACGAAATTTAAAATGAGTCCATGGTAGTTGAAGGAAACAGCGAAACAAAACGTCGCTTTTCCCACCTCAACCACAAGAAGAGCATAATAATCTTGTGAATTGACTCCAATCTCCGTAGTTCCTCGCTTGTAGCAATTTGGCCATGAGGTTTAGGCACAATTTCTCTCAAACGTACTTCATAACCAGTGCTATGGGCGGAGGCAAATTTTCCCATTGCTTCCACCAATTTGCCATCTTCCGGATTTACCGGCGCCATTATCATGGTATATCGATCAGAGAAAGATAACGTGAGCCGTTCTAGCAATGTTGCTAACGCTTTTTGCGTCCGTAAATTGCAAAGAAAGTATCCACTTCCGATGTTTGCGAGCGCCAAGTGCTCGAAATAATCGAGGAGAAGGGCTAGAGGCGTATCTAACAACGTAGAGGTTCCATTACATATCTTACAATTCGTCCCGACTAGGCCTCCAACAATCCGTGCTCAAGGAATTTCCAAGTATTTGAATCAAAGTACCTGGAAGTCTCGATTTGAATGCTTCGATCTGTTCAAGCAAGGGATGTAAGCCTGCGGTCTGAAAACATCGAGAAAGGCGTCAGCTGTCGTCGGGAAACGGCAATGAAAAATGCAATGCAGTAATTTACACGTATTGGTACTACTGGTGATTTTAATGCCCTCGCCACTATGGAATGATCAGGGGGTTTCTCCAAGGTCGTTACTTCTCCAGCCGAATATATCGTGTTAAACCTCCCAGCTCGACCAGCTATTTGTTTTATTTGCGACACTGTAAGCACTTGCTGATCAACACCATTGTATTTTTCGACTCGTTCTACATGACAAATGTTAATGGAGCGATGGTGCTAACGCGGATTAATTATCACACACCAAAAATAATTCTTCGAATGTTCAAATTCAGCCCCATTCCAATAGCGTCCGAGGCAACTAATACGTCAAAGCCGGACGCCGGATCATTGAATAATCTAGCCTGTTCAGATCTTATTTCTGGCGGAAGTCCGCCATAAATCTGGAGGAAGGGGGCAAGTAAGTTACATGGCACTACAGCTTGAAAAGAAACTCTGTGTTTCTTTGGCACGTAGCATTCGCCACTAATCACACACTACCCTTGTTACACTTACCACTGCACATCGGAGTCCGGTTGCGGTCTCGATCTCACGTTTGAGGCCAAATATGTCCATCCTTGAAAAAGTAACGACACAATCGCCCTTTTGGATCTTGTCTAGTCTCCCATTCAGTGAATGTGGAGACATGGACAATGATGTCAGTCTCTTGTAATGACGCACTGTCATGGAGTCACCCGTCACATCACACATGGCCTGCACACGGTCGACAATGGATTCTTCTCCACAAATATGAATCTCTTTAGCTTGTAATCCTAAGATACTGTTGGTCCAAGCGAAGCCACGACTATCGTCTGACATCATTTGGCCTTCATCTATCACGGCTACATCCAGCTTTTGGAATAAGGGTGCCATCTCCACCGTGCAACTTGTTACTTTGGAGCCTTCTACTTCTCTTCTTTCTTCGCCCGTTATCAGGGAGCAGGCCACTCCATTCTTATTCAAACGTTCATATATCTCATGAGCCAAAAGTCGTAGAGGCCTGTGAATTGGGTCGGTGAGATAGCCACATGCATGAGGAAATGAACTAAGCATTACCCTAGATAAGTCGCAGTTGTTGCGGTGGATAGCCTAGACAGAGCTTCGTGAGTCTTGCCACTGTTCGTTGGGCCGACATGAAGATGGATATGACGCTTCATTGTTCTAGCTCCTTCGAACCAGCTGGAGGGATCCTTCCAATCGCTCAACTCAAACAACATGTTGAGAAAGTCTTGGGTTCCGTGCTCTGCACAAAAACGATAGAATGCTGGAAGGAGCAAGCGATCCAAAGATCCTAAACAAAAAACAGGTCAAAACAATCCTTTGTGTTTCAAAACTTGGTTTTCGGTGAATGATACTTGAGTCAAAGATTGGCAATTGAGCAAAGTCAGAGAGAGATAAATCTTGCAAATCATCAGCCAACAAGCGGTTGATGAAAGAGCTCATGAGACCATCATATCTTGAATCTTCGACACCGACGATGGCGCAGCGATGCCTGATTCGAGCAGATCTGTGTTGAAGAGCAAGTTGTTAGTCGTGTCTACTCCATTTTTGGTATTTGATGTCATGATCGAGTGCAAGCGAGATAACATGTAAACTGAAAGGCAGGAAGAAGGAGGAAACGTACGTTCTAAACTGGGCTAGATATGCTTTTAGATTGTAGAGCTGGAGGGATTCAAGATGTTTTTGATATTTATCTTTTTGGTCATTTGTAGTTTTGTTTTCGTAGGAGCTTCTTGCAACCGTAGGAGATGGACTGAAAGATCTCCATCCTGTATATTGTGATGCTGCATAAGGACGTGTCAAGGGCGTCGTTCGTGTTCTTGACAAAAGCCGTAGCATCTGATTTACCTGGACACATAGAGAAACATCATAGAGTTTCCAAACCAAGAAATGCAAGCATGTCGCAGTGGAAGGTATGCTTCGAAGATCTATTCTTCTCGCTGTACGGCCAGAACTATTCGGCGAGAATTGGTCTTATGTTTGCAGTTTGCTGCCAGTCAGCAGTTTCAACGTTGCAACAGTTAGAACCGGATATTCAGAGATTCGAAATTCGGTGTATTCAGTGCATTCTGTTCTGAGGAATCCCTGTGATTTTCATTCGCGATCTTTGTTCGCATCTTGTAACTTCTAGACGAACCATTCTTAAGCAGGGACGAAACAGACAAAAGCGATATAAGTTTGGTCTCCTACAACCAACGACTTTGCCAAACATTGAGAATATCAAAATACTGACAGATTCGCCGTGGATCGTACTATAGCCTGAACTTTCACTGGAAAATCACAAATTCCACGGAAACGTGACAAGAATTTTTGTCGGCCCACTCACACGCACACATCGCGAGTCAGTCTTCTATCTAAAAGGAAACATGTTCAAGAGAGCAAAATCAATCATAAGGAAGGAAACTTCTTCCGGCCTTCCAAAGGCCTCTGCACATCCACCTTTGCCAGAAATTAAGAAACCTACTATTCAAGTAAGAAAATTTAACGCACCCAGGCCAGCGATGCATGCATCGTGTCGCGTCTCCTACAACCATTCACCGTTCCTTTTGCTTGCATTCCCAGGCACACACCGTTGCCAAGGGCACAGCAGTCGACATTAACGCCATTGCCAACTCATTCAACAAATTACACGTAAACCAAACCAAACCCGACGAAGATGACGACGAGATAGATACTCCAGCTGCAAGAAAGCTGAGGGAACTCCATAGTGCCCTGAAACAGAAAGGGCGTGCATCTGAACCTCTTCCAGACAACAAAGCCGGAGTACGACAACCGTCCTTCCATATGTATGCAAACCAATATTGACCTGACTGTTATCGTGGCTATAGATCTTCATGGACTTTCGAGAAAAGAAGGTATTCGACTTTCAAGAGTCGTTAAAAAGGGATGCGATGCTGGATGATGGAGCAAGTTCGTCGTCATCGTCCGGAGGGACTGGATCATCGGCATCAAGCATATATCGAGCCTAAATCACGGATATAGGTTGAGCTGCTCTACTGCACGGAAAAAGACTAGCCTAGTACACTTCGGCTTGACGCCCAAAAATCTAGCATTGTACATACCAGCACATATTGTCACATAGTAATATTGATGTAATGCATGCCAATATGGTATTTTGAAGAAAATTTAATTGACTCTTGAAATGGTTGAAACAACTGGCGTCGCGTCAAGCAGGTCGAAAGATCAAAGTTTTGACAATCACTGTTGTAGGAATACATGCAACGAAGGCGGTCAAGTGTGCTTGACACGTTCATTTTGCCAGCGCCCGGGCAACATAGGCAGGTACAAGATGTCCATTGCTCCAATTTTCTCTCGCCTCACAAGCTTGCAATGCTCTTGATCATTGAATACTATACGTCGCCAAACACTACGGCGGTGAATGGTACAGAGATAGTGGCCATTATTACGCGTCATATAAAGGTATCTTCGTCCCTCTTGAACTGTACAATGAGCTTCAAGATGTTGCAGACTAACGCATTGGAATCTAAAGGAGCAGAATCAAGGTCAATGGCCAGAGCCTTCTCTTCACGACTTACTGGTCGAAATAAAGGACCTGGCCATTATTACCATGGATGCTGATGGAGAAATCATGACAACTCCTGTTTCTGTTGCTGCGTTGTTGTGGGAACGAGTACGTCGATCAGCTCAATCCCTTTTGTCGACACTTTTCCATGACAGAGCCTTGGTTTGCTAGATCCAACGTGTCTCGTCTCCAGACGACATCTTCATCATGTTTGAGGCCTGGAAGGATATGACAAAGGCCATTGATGAAAACGCAGCTGTAACTCTTTGCGCTTCTTGGACTATTGTTTGATGTGGGCTAGAAATAACAGTTTATTTATATAGGACTACGAGGACGGAATCACCATTGTGCGTCCTCTCACCCCCCTGTGCTCAATGCAAACAACTCCTTACAAATCGCTTCATTAGGATCGAGAAAGCCCTCTTGGTGAATTCGTACGACGTGCCTGTCTAGAGTTTTCTAGCATGCCATTCGAGGAGCATTCCTGGTTATATAGTGCATTCCTCGAGTACGTGAATGTGTCAAAGAATAGCATTCCATCGTTTACTCTTCAAAAGGCTCCACCACCACGACGACTCACTATTGCCAGTAATACGTCTGGAACACATCGCATTGGAACCCCTCGATCAAAAGTCGAGCCAGAGGAAGAATATAACGCAACTTCTCCTCCCATCGAGTCTCCAACATTCGGTTACGATCGAGGACAAGATCCTCCCTCACCAATCTATACTCGTACAGTTGACCGAGATAGTCCTTCAAATATAAGAACACCTCAAATACCCCGATATTCCACTTTCGTAAACCGCAACGACGATGATGACGATGTGGTCATGCAAGATCAAAGTATGACGGTTCTAGCGGTATCCCAAAAGACTCGACGTCAGCCCATTCCAGAAACAGATGAAGTCATGCAAGTTTTGGCCATACATCTTCCTAGAAGTGAAGGGTTTGTGCCAATATACAATTCACATCGATATGTTGAATCACAGATTGAAGTGTTGAGATGTAAGTTAACTTTCACTATTGTTCATCATTGGGCAAAATGTACTGAGCTGATTGAATTCCTAGTGGCAGGAGCTCCCGAAGTCCCTATGGATTTACAAAATTCTATGGATCAAGTCATGGCAGCAGCTGGTCGATTTGCTCAAGCAGATTTGCTCTCGTGAGCAGGCAGTTTCTAACTCGATTGAGTTATTATGCCCCAGATATCCATCCAACTCACTGAAGATTGTTATCGATAGGTTTTTGCATTATATGCGAATGGGAGAATACGAAGGAGCTTCCAACAGCTTACATCGATTTCATGATCACTACGTTGGCATTGATGATCCGTAAGTAATTCCGTCATCAACCGAAATTGAGACTTGGAATGAACCTCATTTGTGCCCTGTCCTTTTTAGAACTTCTATGGGCCAAATCTCCTTGCTTAATAAGGCTGCACTACACCTGAGGTTTCAGGGGAAAGACGAAGCTATCCTGGTAAGCGAAAGTCTGCATTCGTTTCACTTGAAAGACGTTTCAAGCTTTATTTCAGGATTTGAGAGAAGCTGTGAATCGGTCAAGAGAACAAGTGCACACAGTATGTTTGTCGTTTGCATTAAGGTACATAACTTTTCTGGAACCTTCTTTCAAAGCAGAAGCAAGGGTTGATTTTTAATCGTTTTCTGAACTAAGGTGGCTGGATCAACTGTCGTTACCAGTCTCTCTTCGCACCTCAAGTGCATTGACTAGCAATACTGCTCTACCGTATAATCTATCAACCATTACCGACCTCGAAGAGTCACGACGTGCTTTAGTTGGTGGCAAGGCTCCTGATGTGGTATTTGGATACATGACTCGTGCCATTGCCCTACAATTAGAACACGAGGATTTGGATGGCGTCGGGTTATCGGAACCTCAAGGGTTTGGAATTATTCATCAAGTCGAAAGCGCCCTCTGGGAGTCTTATGGTAACCATAAAACCTTGCTGTTCGACGTTAAAACGTGCCTTTGACAGGGTTTTAAATTATAGGGAACTCTCCTATGGCGAATCTTTGTAACGAAGTTGAGATCGTGCAGCACAGGTCTACCAACAAGATAGAAGATCAAGTCATAGCACAATGTCGGTACGCTAGAAAGGCAAGTTGCTCAAATTTCAAGAGTAAACACTTGAGCATGTATTGATGTTGAATTTCGAATATTGTAGAGTGCAGAAAATGGTAGATACGACGAGGCCTTCCGCACCTTGGACAAGATAGAATCATGGTGTCCTCTGCCGCTAATGGATGGTGCATCACTTTGGCTGGATTGTAAAGCATCTATTGAGTTTCAAAAGGCATTTCTGGGGTGTGTGTAGTTTTAACTTTTTCTTGAAGCTTTCAAAGTCATCGTGACAATCACAACGACGACAACTGAAAACTCTCAACTTTTCAATTTGGTTTTTAGAGGAGAATGGGACTCTGCTGAGAAACTGACGAACCAGCTGACTGATATTAATTGGTTTGATAAGCAGTCGTTGGCGCAAGTAGCATTCTCTCGTCAATTATTGGAAGGTGCCAAAGGCAACCCCACAAGTGTAAAGAGCGCGCAATGATTTCTAGAAAACCCTTTGCTGAACTCCTTTTTAATTTTAATCTCCAGGCATATCTTGAAATAGCAAGTTTGATTGAGAAAACTCCAATCGCAGAGTCTGATGGTGGAATTCTTGGATATTTGCTAGCGCTCGCTGATATACATCTGGTATTCCCAAGTTCAAATCCTTCCTTTGGAGTTTTTAATAATTCATGTTCTTAGAGCTCTGATGCCCCATTATCTGCCCTAAATGTCATCTTTATTGCCTTGACATTATCGCAACAATTATCAGCACAAAATCATCATCATTGTGCTCTCGTTCGACTGGTAGACGTGCTCTTGTATTTGGATATGCCCTTCCAGGCTCTGCAAGCTAGTCGACACGTCCTACCAAAAGCTCTAGGTTGCGGTGATTTACATCAAGAAGGGTCTTGTAGAATGATGTATGGGAAGGCCATGGTTGCAGTGATTTGCACAGAGCAATCTCAACCAAATATTGTCCCTGAAGACGATGACGATATAGATATGTCAAGAAAGAATGCCGACTTGACTTTGGCAATAACTCAATTTGAACTTGCTCGAAAGTGCTTTGCGTTGATGGAGGATACTGCAATGCAAGCAAAGTGTCTGTATTTGCTGACTAGAACTCTAGACATGGCAGGACGGATAGCAGAGCGTGACGCTACTGCGTCGGATCTTTTGGCCTTGATTTAAAATTAAAGATTTGCCCTTGATGTAGAATTAACCATAGGGGGCATCAAATTGATGTGTGGGTGTTTGAGAGTTTATGAGGATGGGGTAAGAATGTACAAATTGCATAGCAAATATATAGCATCAACAAATATTATATAACAAATTCCATAAAAGTAGCCCGTTTGTGAGCTGGTTTATACAAGACCATCGCCGTGTTCGTCAAGCTCTGAATCAAAAGATTCATCCCGACTGTGCCTGTCTCCACTTTGCCTCAATATTACTTCCTCTTCGCCATCCTCGCCAATTTCGACGTTTACAGCGTTCCTCACCAGAAATGATATATACACAAAGACGCCGAGCCCCAATATCATGGATACGACGAGGATTCCAATTCTTAGCGGTGATGACGTACCGCTTTCCTCGGCAAGAGATTTGACCGTAGAGCCAATATAAACATGGAGGCATGCCTTTATTAGAGCCACTGACGTAGCAATTATATATGTCGTAATGTCAACTGACGACGCGGCAAAGACAACATTCATGATTCCCCATGGATATGGCGCTAGTCTGATCAGGATGAGCAGCTTCAATCCACCCTTGTCGATTACTGATTGAAGCTGAGAAAAATTGTCTGCTATTCTTTGTTTATATCCAGACAAGAGTTTGCGAGCAGCCAGGAAACACAGCATCGCTCCTATTTGAGACAAATACTGTTAGGAATGTTGTTGGTGTGAAGACAACTTTAGAAATTGAAAAAGGGGGATTCAAAGCGTAAAAGCCTACCAGCCCATCCTCCAATGTAAGCTGGAATTAAACCAAGTGGAAATCCGTACGTAAATCCACACAATGTTCTAAACAATGGCAGTTGGCAGTTGAAAGTCGATAAATGTTTAGAACCTTCACGGTGCGTAAATGCGTGACGTACAGCAAGGTTCCATATCCAAACATTGGTGGAAAGCTGGATATCAGAACGAGAGTTCCAAGAATGACGGCCCCACTAGTAAAGGGAATTTAGTTACTAGTGAATGTTGACGATCACACGGTCAAAAACGCCAAAGAGCTCATTCAGACCCCATACAGCAGTTAATAAGACTGAGATTGCGATATTCTGATACTTACAGCCAGCCAAGTCCTTTCAAGATCTCGGCAAAGTCAGAGAGCGCTTGCAAAATTGGTTTCCAAAACACAAGCCCAATGACTAGAAGGCAGAGGCTAACAGTTCCAAACAGGTAGTACGGAATTGCTTTCCGCGAGTACGCGAACTGCTTCACTCTTTCAAAATCCATGACAAGGTACGATATGCTTTTGCGTCAGTTTTTAGTTTGGTGAAGAGGAGGACAATGCCACGCGACGCAAAATACAGAAGGTTCAAAATTGTGGAAACGAGGTATAATATTCGCGCTCAACGTTTTTATGTATAGAGTATGTGGTCCATGAGCAAATGGACAAAATCAGAGTAGACACGCAGAAGAAGGATCGAGTCCAAGTTCGATTAGATACTTGTCGTTCCAAAACTTTCCCAGATGACGATTTCCTTCGTCGCAAAGGATTGTCAGAATTTTCTTTCCCTATATAACGAGTTAGAAATCCGCAATGTAGGTGTGGTGATAAAGCTTGGTTACCGGTCCAAGTTGCCTTGCAATCTTGACTGCAGCGACGCAGTTCACTGCAGAGGAACTTCCCAAGAACAAGCCTAAAGAATTGAAAGTGAGGCCGTAATTCTAGAGCGAAATTTACTGATGACAACGCTGGAGATACCTTCTTGATCCATGAGAAATCGGGACATATTAACGGCTTCTTGATCGGTGACCTTGATTGCTGTGTCTATCCAAATCCGTCCCTTCTCAAAATTGGCGGTAATTCTGTTGATTCCAATACCTTCAATAATAGTATCAACCTGATGTCGTTTTCGAGTGCCCTCTGATTCAGTTGGCGAGTACAAAATGCCGTGTAGTACTCGATGGAAGAGTCCAGAGCCCTGAGGGTCGGCCAACACGACCATGAGGTTTGGCAGTTTAGGCTTAAGATACCTGCACATCACAGAGGGCAAGATTGGTTCCCAAGAAGGAAGATTAACTCCAAGAACAGTCCATACCTCGCAACTCCAGCCAATGTTCCGCCTGTACCCGCTCCCATAACAAATGCATCGATACAATCTCCACATTGACGAAGGATTTCAGGACCAGTAGTTCTAAAGTGTGCCTAGGTTTAAATATCAACAAAACAAGATTCAATGACATGATCAAACAAAGTATATAGTGAGATTTAGACCTACCTCAAAGTTAGCCAAGTTTTCGAATTGATTACAAAAGTAGCCTCGGGCTGGACTATTAGTGCGCATAGATTGTTCATTCAGTTCATCAGCCCGACGTTTGGCCACGTTGACAAAGTGATTTTGGTGTATTATTGACACTGGGCGAACTCGTTCCACAACAGCACCCATAGCAATCAGGAGTTCGTACTTTTCTCGGGCCGTATCATCTATTGTGAGAATTCAGCAGTGTTGGATGACGACCCTCTGCACCAAGAAGACACAATCTGTACCTGGCATGACTATGTGCACATTATATCCTTTTGACTTGCCTATGACAGCGAGTGAGATTCCCGTCGAGCCCATTGTGCCTTCAAACAGGGTAGAGCCCGTGTTTGGGGATATGAGGCCCTTTCTTTCAGCATCCTCGATAATGTTTAAGGCGACTCTGTCTTTTGATGAACCGGCGAGACTCTGGAATTCACATTTTCCCAAAATGGTACAGCCTGAGTCAACACTATGTCAAAGTTTGCAAATGGATATAAAGCAAACGAGTTGATACCTGTGAGCTTGGATAGACAAGTGATCTCTACGATGGGAGTATTTCCAACAAGGTCTAGTGATGTTTTGATTTCGCCACAGTTTGGGGGAAATTTCTTCCTGGATCTCCATATGTACAGGGCTACCAATGCGGTCGAGACGCATATAACTCCTTGGAAAACAGTTTGCGACATTGCAGGCTCATTGATGAGTGGTTCTCTCGCCCATAGTCCAAGTTTTGCCACTTCAAGAGCAGAAGGAGCCACAATCACAACATGACGCGAATCTTAACGGGCCAGACTGGCGTTAATTGGTGTAGAATGCTGATGGTGCCCTTTTGATCTCGGTTACAAATTTTTTCATGGACTTACAATTCGCCCACTCACGTTTACATTCTTCACACGTCATAGACACCATTGTTCATGGAAATGACGGACAAGAAGACGAAAAAGTCAGCGGCAAAAGCTGCGGGAGCTGCTCGTACGTTGATCAGCATTGGAACTTGCGTGATTTCGAAGGGATCTGTTCAACACTAACTAGCATCCCAAAACACAGAGCTGCAATCTCCAGTATACGTTCCCGAATCGAAAGGATGGGCTCTCACTCAGCTCACCACATCATGGCTCAATCCTCTTCTCAAGCTCGGTATGTAAAACCACAAACATGAAACGCAGGCCCCACGAAACCGTGTTTTCGTCGCAAACATCAATTTCTGCCGTTCAAGCCCTCAAGACAGTCTCATATGAGTGCTCAGTTTCATTGCACAGTTTATTGAACCGTTGAAATTCTAACTCGCTTCTCAAACGTAGGCTACAAGAGGACTCTGGAACTCGACGATATCCCTCCTTTGGAAGATCATAACACTGCTGAAGTGCTCGCTTCAAATCTTCAATTCTGGTGGGACCTGGAAACCAAAAAGGATGCGCCTTCCTTACTTTTTGCATTGCACAAAGCTTTTGGAAGGACAATGTACCTCGCCGGCGCATTTCGATTTGTTGCCGATTCTTGCGGTTTGGCATCGCCTGTCATCATGCTGCAAATAATCTTATACTTGCAAGGCGTAAACACTAGTGATAATGGTTATACAGGATATGTCTTGGCTGTAGTCATATTTGTCCTGCAAATGTTGCAAACATCGTGCATGACACAATCTTCAAACATGTCAATCAAGTCTGGATTTAGATTACGTGGCTCAATGATATCAATTTTGATGAAGAAGAGTCTGAAATTGTCTCCTCTCTCGCGTCAAGAATTCACAAGTGGCAAACTTTTAAACATAATGTCGACGGACGCATCAAGAATGGAGCAAGTGTCGTATAACTTTCATCTTATCTGGTACTTAACTTGATTTTGTGTATTGCGCTGGACTCTGCTGATGCCCTCGAATATTTATAGGTCTTGTCCATATCAAGTCGTTGTTGCAACGGTGTTGCTGCTATACTTCATTGGTCCATCGGCGCTAGTTGGACTAGCGCTCTTGGTGGCTTATATACCAATACAAAGAAGTTTAGGAAATCTTCTTACCTACAACCGAGTCAAGGCTAACGAACAAGCCGATATGAGGATCAAAATTACGCAGGTAGATCTCACATTCTATCTAGTAAAGGCCACCTGTATACTCTGATTCCTGACGTGCTACTCTCCTTTAGGAATCTTTCAGCGGAATACGGTATGCGTTGGCTAGCTGTTCTAAAAACCTGTGTTAGTGGTACTGGCAATTTACTCACATACCTTTATCGTGCATAGCGTGATCAAGGTAATTCACAATCCGTTTGGTCAGGCGACTTCCTCACACAATCCCCTTCCTGAAGCTTTACGCGTGGGAAGAGTCTTTCTTGAAAGTACTGAGAGCGATTAGATCTGTTGAGGTTGGATTTCTGCGTAAAATCATGATGGCTCGTGCCGCAAATTCCAGGTAAATCTCTGTCACTTCCAAACTTATAAAGCATACTAACGCTCTTTGAAATTCTTAGTATTTCACAAATTATGCCAGTATTTGCCGCTATATTCTCATTTATCACCTACGTTGGAATCGGGAACGTACTGCAACCTGGAAAGGTGTTCACCTCATTGTCATTATTTTACTTGCTGCGTATTCCGCTCATACAGGTATGCTTTGAGGGCTGGTTTGTTCAAAACAGCAAGAATATTACCACTCACCTCGTTTTGTCTGTTAGTTGCCTTTGATGGTCATGGCAGTAAGAGGTTTTCTTACACTTGTTGATTTCTCTCCTTGTCTCTCACTCTATCCTCTTGTTAGTACATTGATGCGTACACTGCTATCAAACGTATTGAATCCGTGTTGATGGCTCCTGAAGTGGAAGATTCAAAAACCATCACAGAATTCTCGAAAGGTGCTGCTATTATCTTTCGCAACGCAACCTTTTCTTGGTATGTATTTCCAGGCTTTGCTATTTTAATTGTTACCACTGCTTACATTTGGTCAAAATTTCTTTAGGGATGCAGAAGACCCCGAGCCAGATGACCATCAACCAAGCAAGGTGGCAGCTGAAGACGATAATGAGAGAGACCTAGGGGAAATCTCATTACCAAATCCCAAAGTTGCTGAATCAGCACCTTTTCCTGCTCCAGTGTCTCCTGTCGTTGATAATTTGCTGGTTTCTGGTAATGTATCCACCGAGGAGTATCATAAACTCAAGACGCTTAGATCTGAAAATGGCATTGTGACTCCTTCTGGCTCTCCACTGGTTACATCTCTCAAAGTTGATGGCAAACCGTCAGACACTCTACCACGAAAAAAAGTCATGATTGACCCTGCTCACGATTCTGATACGGACGGTTCAGACGATGATGAAGAGAACGTCGGTCGAATACATCGTGCTGGCTTTGCCTTGAGAGACTTAACCTTCGAGATCAAGAGAGGTTCTCTTGTCGCCATCGTGGGAAGCGTGGGCTCGGGCAAATCGAGTTTGCTTCAAGCTATTGTTGGAGAGATGAGACGTGTGACTGGTGAATACGGGGTGGAAGGGACAGTCGGATGTAAGTAATTATATTGTTGCAGCCGTGGCGTGTCCTCACAATTTCTTTTTTGGGACAGACTGTGCACAACAAAGCTGGATCCAAAACTGTACTCTCAAAGACAATATATTGTTTGGGCTGCCTTTTGATGTAGACCGATACCAACAAGTCATCAAGGATTGCTCTTTGGAGAGAGATTTAGAAATTTTACCTGGAGGAGACGAGACAGAAATTGGCGAAAGGGGTATACTTTGACAACTCATGTTTACATGTTTCTTTTCCTGTATTGAAACTTTAATCCAATAGGAATCAATATTAGGTGAGACTCGTTCAACTAAATCGACAAGTGTTCCAATCTCATCTTATGCTCCATATTAGTGGAGGCCAAAAGCAACGTGTTAATCTGGCCAGGTGTACATACTTTGATTCAGACATTACACTTTTGGATGATCCGCTGAGTGCTGTCGACAGGTACCTATATATAGGCAGTTAAATTCCACTCAGTTTCTAACATATCTCCTTTAGTCACGTCGGTAAAGCTCTTTTTGATAACTGCATCATGGGAGCGCTTCGCAACAAGACTCGGATCCTCGTCACTCATGCTTTGCATGTACGTTTTCGTTTGTATGCTGGTCTTTACTCTCGCTCATCATCTCGTCTAGTTCGTTCCAAACGCAGACCATATTATTGTCATGGACGGTGGGCGTATTGCTGAACAAGGCACATTCCAAGAACTCATGGCCCTTCAAGATGGAATTTTCAGAGAAGACTTTCTTCAATACGGGGGCGTCGAGGATGATGTACACGAAGAAGATATAAATCTAATGGAGCTGCCTACTCAGGTGTCCACTCCTTCATTACTGCCGCCATCAACACCAGGATCGACTACACCACCACATCGCAGGACTAGTGTAAAGGACTCGCGTCTATCTCTGTCGGTTCCTGAATTGCCTGTTGGTATGGGCTCCCTTCACAAGCGTCGGTAAGTTGTGTTGTTGTTCATTGCACCATATTAATAATACAGGCCCATAACAACGATTAAACCCTTTAGAGCTTCTCGAGCATCTATTACTTCGACCAATGTTTCAACAGCAGAGGACGTGGCTGTTGCTACAGCTAGAACAACTTTAATCGTCGCAGAAGAAAAAGAAGAAGGATCTGTAGACATGGCAGTGTACGTGTCTTATAAAACTTGAAGCATAGAATTCTGTTGAGTTTCCAGAATGCGATACTCACGAACATCCATCATGTAGATATGTTGGGTATAGTCGAATGTTGGGCGGTGGACTGGTTGTTTCAATTGTCTTGGGTTCAGTGATATTGACTCAGGCAACAAGAGTGGGGACCGATCAATGGGTTAGTTGTTCTGAAGCGAGTTGCTTCGCACTCATCCGACTTTGTCTAATCTAGCTTCAATTAGTTGGCTCAATGGGCAAATCGACACTTTCCTGCGCTCGACAATACTGGATATGAAGGGATTTATGTCGCGCTGGGCGTCGCCCAAACTCTCTTCTTGCTCTCACAGTCCTTGGTATTTGCTTGGACGGGAGCAACCGCTTCCAGAACTATGCACGATATGGCTGTTGAACAGGTTTTCCGAAGTCCTATGAGTATGATACATTCAATGAACCGTGATAGTTGTTCATATCCACTCAAACGTCCATTCATAGGTTTCTTTGATTCGACTCCGCTGGGAAGAATCATCAACAGATTCTCGAGAGATCTCGATACTGTTGATTCGTTGATTCCGGAAAATATTCGAGTGCTGCTTTATACCGGAGGTCTGACGGTGGCTAACTTCGTATTGATTTGCATTGTAAGTCCTCTGTTTTAGAGTGTTTCGAAAACTCCATTGAACTTCACCTCTTTTTAGATCTTTCCTATATTTTTGGCTCCCTTAGTGCCAAGTCTCTTCTTCTATGCATTCGTGCAGAGATTTTATAGCTCTAGCAGTCGGGCATTACGCAGAATCGACTCTACGACGAGGTCGCCTTTGGTAAACGACAATCTTCAATATCTTGCGCCCTTGCAATGATCTGATGCCCCTCTTTAGCTTGCTAATTATAGTGAGCAATTGACGGGATTGGTTACAATCCGAGCGTATGGTGTGCAAGATCGATTTTTGAGAGAAGGGCGAAAATTGTTGGATAACAATGATAGGTGAGACAAACTTTGCTGAATTCTGTGTTGAATTTAGCTGACTTTATCTCCAAGGGCCTTTTATGTTTCTCTTTGTCTAAACCGTTGGCTCACAATCAGATTGGTAATGCAGAACCTTTTTTTTTGGTGATTGCGCAAAGTCTTACGTTGCAACTCCATCGGAATCAACAGGAGACGGTGACCGCGCTCCTGATTTTCCTTGTTTCAATCTTTTCCGTCTCGAGTCGGTATGTGTGTTATTGAATCGCTGTCAATAAATTGTTCTTACCTCCCAAGTATCATACAGGTACTCTCTGTCGCCGGCTATTGCAGGTCTCGTCATAACGTATAGTCTACAGATCTCTACCACACTAAATTGGGCCGTTGAAAACGTCGCACAGGTACATTTTTCGCATTGTTGCACAGTCCTTGCTTGTCGTTAACAAACGTCATCCTTTGCATTAGACCGAAAACAAGTGAGTTCACAAGGAGCAAATACGACGTCTTCTGTTGTGTTAACAAGTTTGAATCTAGTGCAAACGCATTGGAGAGGCTTATGCATTATGTGGATCGATTACCCTCTGAAGCAGCGGCTGTAACGAGCAAACGGCCACCTTCCAACTTTCCAGCTACAGGGCAAGTAATTTTTAAAGATCTTGTCCTGAGGTATAGGGACGATCTCCCGGCCGTTCTTATGGGTGTTAATTTCCGGATTGATGGTGGAGAAAAAGTTGGAGTGGTTGGACGGACGGGGGCTGGTAAAAGCTCGCTTATTGTGGCGCTCATGCGATTGGTTGAACGAAGCTCTGGTCTGATTAGTATTGATGGAATTGATGTCGCAGAGATTGGTCTACGTGACTTGCGGTCAAGGATTTCCATTATTCCACAAGAACCAGTCCTGTTTTCGGGCACGATCAGGTCGAACCTCGATCCGTTTCACGAGCACAGTGGTGAGTTATTTTGAAAGTAGTTGGCTTGTGACGATTCCAAAAACCAAATGAATCAAATTCTTGGTTACTGGTGCCATCGGTGTCGATTTTAACATCGACGTTGTGGATAGATGCTGATCTTTGGGACAGTTTAGAGAGAGCTGACTTAAAACCGACAGTGTCAAATATGCGTGATCAGCTAGAAAGTCGAGTTGCCGAAGGTGGTGAGAACTGGAGCACAGGACAAAGACAGGTAAGATGATTAGTTTGGGAATGCATTCTCCTACATAGTGATAACCCCTCCCGTGTTTAGATGATTTGTTTGGCAAGAGCCATGTTGAGAAGATCCAAACTAGGTAACGACTAAAAATACTCGCTTTCAACCCAAAAGCACTGCCCTGACGCTTAAAACTAGTTATTTTGGACGAGGCAACTGCTAGTGTGGATAGCTCGACAGATGAAAGCATTCAAAGGAGTATTCGCGTAGACTTTGCAAAGTCCACCGTGATTACTATTGCACATCGGCTCAATACAGTAAGCCATGTTTTTGTCAAGAAATTCAGAAGCAAGACCAGTAACGAGCGATTAATAGGTTGTAGACTATGACAAGATACTTGTGTTGGGATCTGGACAAGTTCTAGAATTTGGGTCGCCATTGGAACTTCTTTCCAATCCAAATTCTGTGTTTACTTCGATGGTGAACGAAACAGGAGAAGCAAACGCAAGGCTGCTGCATTCGTTGGCCAAGAGTAAAAAGGCCTAATATTAGCTATCATAGCCTTTTGGGAAGTAGGTCTAAATGGTGATCATAATGGTCATTCGAGAACTGCTGTTATTCGAGCGAAAACATCTTATGTCTGGCACATCATTTGGCAATATAATAGAACATTCTTTCAAGCACAGCTGATCGTCCCTTGTTCGTGGTTCGCGTCACTTTCTGTTGTAAACTCAAACAGAAGGAGGTTTCTCTTTGACAAATAGTTGAGAAGAAAAGAAGCTTTTCTTTTAGCTGGCGCCATATCTTTATCATTTTGCGAAATGACTGTCGACAAGTATAAATATCTCTCGGGGTTTGGATCGCATCTTGGTGATTCGACGTTTACTGATTCCAATGACGTTTACAGAGTCGAACACCCGTGTCAAATAACTAATTTTGCACTCTAAAATAGCATCTGAAGCACTTCCCGACGCTCTACCGGTTGGTAAGTTGCGTATGAGTCAACATCTGATGTTTGGATTGTTCAAGCTGATTTTTGGATTGCTCAAGTTTTCAACATATCTAACGCGCCTCAACTTCATGTGCACAGGTCAAAATTCTCCTCAAGTATGCCCCTACTATCTAGTTGCTGAGCATTTGAGTGGTACTGCTTTTACTGCACCGCGTGGACTGAACCTCTCATCGTGGCTATATCGAAGTAAGGACAATGAAGCTATTTACGTCAGATCTTTGAAAATTCTAAGTTCCTGCGTCTTCCTTCCACAGTTCGACCAAGTGTCACGCATTTGCCCTACTCCAAGATAGCGTCAGACAACATTGTCAAGAATTGGTCGCCCTTTGACGGAAACAGGGAAGTGGAATCTACTCCAACACAGCTCCGGTGGTCGCCATTCGATATTCCGACTAGTGGAGATGTCACATTCATTCAAGGCATCAAGAGCATCTGTAAGCCTTCTCATATACTGAAACTCAAGTACAGGACACCAACCATCTTGGTAATCCTTAGGCGGTGCTGGAGAACCTTCGACAAAGAATGGTCTAGCCATCTACGTTTATGGCGCAAACAAAAACATGACCAACGAAGCATTCTACGATGCTGATGGCGACTTCCTCATTGGTACACGGGGATGTGTATGTCTCGGCCACGATATTCTACTCACAAAATAATCTTTAGTCCCACAAGAAGGCAGTCTCAACATTCAAACAGAGTTTGGTTGGCTCCTTGTTCAACCCAACGAAATCTGTGTCATTCCCGTAAGTTTGATGTCGTGTTTCTGGATGTCTTTGTTTCTGTTCCGAACCAAACCGTTTTCCAACACTCTTCATCGTTTGTTTCTTGTTAGCGTGGTATTCGATACTCTGTTAAATTGCCAGATGGACCTTCAAGAGGATATATTCTTGAAACATTTGACAGACACTTTGAGTTACCTGATCTAGGGCCAATCGGTGTGTTGCTGAAGAATCTTTCTTGTATTTGAAACATCGGGTTTTCCCCTCAAGCTCACAAACGCTGTTGTCTCGGCGTAGGCGCGAATGGACTGGCAAACCCAAGAGATTTCATGCACCCAACTGCCTGCTTTGAAGATATTGATGGACCCGGTGTCAGCTACAATCTCATTGGAAAATTTCAAGGCAATCTATTTGCTGCTGCTCAAAGTCACAGCCCATTCGATGTGGTCGCTTGGCATGGAAACTATGTACCGGTAAGCGCACGTAATGAGCACGAATATGATATAACGCTCGACTAAACGTCACTCTCATTGCCTCTACAAAGTTTAAATATGACTTGGATCGTTTTGTGCCGTACAACACTGTATTGAAAGACCATTCAGATCCGTCCATCTTTACTGTATTGACGGTAAAGACTGGAAATCCAGGAGTCGCCCTTGCCGACTTTGTGATATTTCCTCCACGATGGCTAGTCGCAGAAAACACTTTCAGACCACCATACTTCCATCGTAACTGCATGTCAGAATTTATGGGGTTGATATCTGGTGCTTATGATGGCAAAAAAGAAGGGTTCCAACCAGGTGGTTGCTCATTACATTCGATGATGACGGCACATGGGCCTGATGCCGCAACCATGGAAGCTGCTTCAACAGAGGTTATTTTCTGGTTTGTTGTGTACAAGTAGATAGAGATTCTTACCTCAATTGAATGCCATTAGAAACTTGTGCCATTCCGAATCAATGCTGGGTCAATGGCTTTTATGTTTGAGTCATCGCTGGCACTTTCAGTTTCAAAGTGGGCTCTTGAAGGGCCAGGATCAGAAGTTCTGCAAAAGGACTACTACAGTGAGTGTTGTTTGGTTGCTGGTGTATCTTTGAGGCCGTTTTGACAGGGTTTGTTTAACGATACGTAGAAGTGTGGGCGGGCCTTGACAAAAAGAAGTTTGACCCAACATGGAAGAAATCCACGTTATAGCTTGTTAGGCATCAGGTGAAAACAAGCAGCGCTAGAATTGGCAGGCGAGCTGTTTTATGAATACAAGTTTACTTACAAAATATAGTTTACAACTTATAAAAGCTTTACTCAAATACAATTTTCGTACCGCGTGTAGATTCGAGTGACGAGGCCTGTTTAAGTTTTTGTTGTCGTTTCAATTCCCAAGATGGATGCAGAGGTTTATCAGGCTGGATCTTTGGATGTGGTTGTATGTTTCCAACCGTATCTGTAGTGTTACGAGACTGTGTTTGTCCTGTACTTGGCTGCCCATCAAATCTCTGATGTTGATTACCACCAGAATTGGTCCCAGACTGTGTTGAACGACTATATCGGGAGTTTTGTATGTGTTTGGCACGATCACCGTACAAGGACTCCCACTTTCTATTGTGCCAGAAGAGTTAGACTTTTTGTCGACACCCACAAGATTCTCGTACCTCCTTCTAGCTTGTTGACCAGGCCTATTTCGTCTCGTATCATCACTATCACTATCGTATGATTGATGTATTCTAGCTTTAATAGATGCTCCTTTACCATCACCGGCGCTAAGAAGCTGCGGCGATGACTTGCTAGGACGTTTGACCTCATTTGAAAGACGGTCATCATCGCCAATACTCCTATCCTTTCGCTTTCGTTTCATTGCAGGCGCACTGGCCGACTCTATGGGCTCGATCGAATCCTTTCCTTTAGGATCTTTAGACTTGGGTTTGGTCTTTTTCGTGATGAAGTCTTGCACCTCAGATGATGCATGTTCCAGCGAGTTCACATATGTCTTTGATGATATGATTCGTTTCGTAACTCTAGATCGGGAAGAGGGCTGTTCATCGAATGTAGCTGTTGGTGTCATTTCTAGATCCTTGTCCAACAAAGCTTCCAGGTCAGCCTCAAGCTTAACAAGATCTGCCTTTCGTCTCACAATAACTTCTTCAGGCACATCGGTTTCACTGTTTATAAATTGATGAATGAGCATTCCGTCAATGCGAATCTTGAAGTTGATGTTCAAGAGCAAATTGTTTACCCGAGCTTCAAACGTAACGCCTTTACTCGTTTGAGCACTCGTTGTAGCTCAAAAGCCTTGGCCTTCTTCCATGCATTCAAATTTAATCGTTCCTGCATTGAATAGTTGCGTCGTTTGTCAAATACTAGAAAAAAAAAACACTTGCCGACAAGAAAGCTTACGAGTTTCTGGTCTGCCGACTTTTGGACAGCCTCTGGTACTTGTAAAAGGGGATGATCAACTTCCTCCTCTGTTGGATATTCGGTATCCATGCTATGTTGGGATTCTGTATGTTGAAATGCGCCAGCAAAACCCACACCAACGAGACTAGGCCCTCGCAAAGACGACAGTTGCGCAATGAATATTCATTAATGACAAGGATTATGGGGTGCTGCAAGTCGTCGCTTGGCATTAGTCTGCTTATTGACTTCAATCACAACATTGCTCAAGTGCAGGCCGCCTGGAATGAAGCGATGCCTTAATGCCTTAATCCTTATCTCGCTATCGATGTAAACCGAATTCGGTACATGAATTCGCCATGTGTAGCGTTGATTGAAACTACTGGCATACATACATTTCCATGCAGCATCATATTTTTCCGCTGCCTCAAGAATCGTCTGCATTTCAATGGGTAGCCGGCTGCTTAGCCTCTAAGGAAACGAGGATTCTGGCTTAAATGGAAATTGGAATCATATTGGTCGTCTTTTGGTATTCGACATTCAAACTTGAAGATGAGTCTGGTTATAAAGACAATTTCCTCAAGTTAGTTGAGACGACACTTACGCCTATTCAATGGACATTCCTGATTCCAGTGAGAGCCGTTACTGATCAGTGGTAAATAGGCATCATATTCAAGCCATAAAGCATGGTATGGATTCATCTCGTGGTCAGGTGTCATATTCCAGCCATCTTTTCGAAACTCTGATATCCCTCGAGGTCGGATATATGATGCTTGATTGTTGGATTATCCGATTCCGTTGCAACAATGTGTTTAAGAAGGATTGTGGCACTAAATGAATTCACCTCTAGCCTGGAATATGTAACAATGCGTACTTCCTTTTAGACACTTTCTGATGATGTCTCTATCCAACTATGTAGAATGTGAGTGTCTCATCGAATCGCCCAATTTATGTTGAGACCTTTTTGCTGAGTTAATTCTTAATTGTATTTTGGCAATCAGGGAATGTTCACGATCCAAGTATTCAAACCACAAGAAGTCTACGACTATGAAGTTCAATAGGGCCAACCTAACCACATTCGTTGGGCTTCAGCCTACTGCCAACATCATGCAGGAGTGAAGTCATGGACTTTGACACCACCATCCAAAAGACTGACGAAGTGTAGGACGATGACTTTAACGTTTGGATGACAACTACAGATTTGAGAACAAAGGACATGATGAGTGAAAAAGCTATGAAAGCTAGGGAATTGCAGACCATCGATGACAAGAATGAATACTCACCCATGTCGTCTGGCTGCTGGCCCGTCCTTGTACCGCTCAACGACCAAAAACTGCGACTTGTCAGAGCTGACTTGGAGCTACATAAACGAGAATCAGCGACCCGTCATTCTTACTGAAACAGATGTCTAGACTCTTGAAAATACAAGTAACTGACATACTGGAGTGTACCCATAGCAGAAAGGCTCATTTTTGAGGACCTCATCGGCCATGGTTTTCAAAGTAGCAACCACTTCTTTTTCCTTGCCGGCTTTAGCTTTGAAACTTGCAACGATGATTAATTGGGCCCCTTCTTTTCTGATATGCTGGTATTTGGGATCCAAGACATCCACATTTTTAACCTAGTCACGCAGGTTACATCATGGAAGGTTTGACCGCCGAAATGACACCCTTACTAACGGCAGACCATCTCTCATTGACAAAACTCTCTTGAAGCGTGATTGGAATTGCTCCGTCTGGGCTATTGCGTAACACATGTCAACACTTTTATCAGGAAACAAGTATTCCCATTTGCCAGAATGCATACCAAAAGCTTGGACAGAGGTTGGGTCAACAGTTTCTTCAAGAAAACAATATTCATTTGGATTGCTTACACCAACCAAAAACTCTAGCTGGTTGAATCCTAGAATTTGCATGGTTACGGAATAGCTTTGATTTGGTTGTTATGTCACAAAACTAGCCAGCTGTGTTGTAATACAGCGATGGCTGTCGTTTCTAGTTTACTTTTGCGCTTCCTCATATTCAGACTGTAAAGCGGACTTACAGCTGATGCGTGCTTCGGCTCTTCCAGCCTCTCAATAATGTATTCGTCAGAGATCAGTCTACTTACCTTTCACATTCTTTCGCAACAAATCTACCACTTCCTTGTACTCGGGAATCACTTGAGCTCTGAATTCTGGTTTTAATAAGCCTATTGCCAAAAGTGCTCTGCCTGACATTATTATTTTATCACTGTCTTTGTATCTGGGTAAGATGATTTGAGCCTCCTTTTTATGTTATACAAAAGCAGTGTAAATACAGTTTGGGGATCTGGCCCATGGTCAAGCATACACGTCTGGGACTATAGATGCTACCCTGTGTATCCTATATCGCGTATCCTACTGCTCTTACCTTGTTGGTTATAGGGGTAGGGGCAGGGATAGGGTAGGACTGGGGGTAGGAGATACAGATAGGGTAGAGGACAGGAGGGGGGATAGGGGTAAGTAGGAGAGAGGGGGGATGGGGGGTGGGAGTAGGGCAAGGGTACATATAGTGGGGGAGGGGTATTTTGGTCTACCATTTAAAAAAACGGTGAGAAGGAGAGTGGAGATTGTACATCTAATAAGTAAACCAATTACTTGAAGTCAAATGTGCTAGCTTTCATTCGTAGGCGTGCTGGTTCGACCTCTGCGTGATGTGCTCGAATGTGTCTGGCTTATGAAGCGAAGACACGCAAAACGAATAAAGAGCAGGCGTGGATACCACGATATAGATGAGCCAAAATCATCCCCATGGCGCAAATTTGAAAAGCAGGCGTGCTGAATTCAGCAACTTGTTGTAATGAGTTGTGGATATGATATATC